AAGGTGTTCAAGAAGGGGTCCCATGGTGCATGCTTTTCGCGGATGATATTGTGCTTATCGACGACACACGCGAGGGACTAAACCATAAGTTGGAACGATGGCGCCTTGCCCTTGAGACTAAAGGATTCAGAATAAGTAGGAACAAGACTGAATACATGGAATGTCGTTTCAGCGGCCGGGAAACAGAATCAGAAGTGGAAGTTAGGATTGACTCTCACGTAGTACCTAAGGTAGACAAGTTCCGATATCTTGGCTCGGTAATCCAGGCGGATGGGGAGTTAGACGGGGATGTTGGACATCGTGTTGGAGTGGCTTGGGCCAAATGGCGGTTGGCCTCAAGGGTGTTGTGTGACCCGAAGATTTCTCCCAGGATGAAAGGTAAGTTCTACCGATCCGTAGTCAGACCTGCTATGTTATACGGGGCAGAATGTTGGGCGGTTAAGAAGACTCATGTGCGTTGTTTGCATGCGGCGGAGATGTGGATGTTAAGATGGATGTGTGGGAAGACAAGGTTGGATAGGATTTCGAACGAAGTTATCCGACGTCAGGTAGGCATGGCGCCGGTGGAGGATAAGTTGCGGGAAGCGAGGTTGAGATGGTTTGGGCATGTGAGACGGCGGGATGTTGATGCTCCTGTGCGGAGGTGCGAGAGGATCACGGTTATCGGGGGAAGTAGGGGAAGGGGTAGACCTAGGAGGAATTGGAAGGAGGTGATTAGGCAGAATTTAGGACTTCTCACCCTGACTGAGGATATGGCCTTAGATAGGAACCTTTGGAGGACTAGGATTAGAGTAGCTGGTTAGGAGCTCGGTGCTGTAGAGGTTTTTGTAGTGTGTTGTGTTTGTTTGGTATCTTCTACTTTTGCTTGCTGGACTTTCATTTCATTGTACTTGGTGCTTTATCCTGTTATATCCTGTTATATCTTGGTATCCTGTTATATTGTGTTCTCTACCATATTTTTTGTGCAGGTTGAGCCGGGGGTCTCTTGGAAACAGCCTCCCTACTTTCAAATAGGGGCAAGGTCTGCGTACACACACCCTCCCCAGACCCTACTGTAGTGGGATTCAACTGGGTTGTTGTTGTTGTAGTAGTAGTTTCACCATATCAGTATTTGTTGTGTGATAAATTTGTTATTCTGAATTACATGGTGGATATGCAACAGGTGTCAAATAAAGTTGTACGAGAAGTTATAGAGTTCATCAGAGGGCATGCATTACTCTTTGATCAGATTCTTCGTGAAGATCTTTCTGGTGCTGATGAGTTGACAATGGAACAGATAAACTTGGTAGTCAGCATACTTACCAAGGTTCGTGTCAAAGGAGAATGCTAATATGAATTACGGTGGTGCTATATGATACTCCCTCCGTCCCTAAAAACCTTTCTGCTTTCTTTTTTCATCCGTCCCAAAAAACTTTTCTCATTTCTATAATGGTATGTTTGGGAACATGGATTTGGATTTCAAATCCGGATTTGGCTTAAATTCCATGTTTGGGAAAGTTAAGCATTTTGAATTTGGATTTGAATCAAATTCTTTACATTCAAAACAAAGCTTAATTTAAAATTCATGCACCTTCCCTTGTCATTTGAAATTCAGGATTTCAAATTCTGGAATTGAAATGCATGAATTGAAATGAAATGCTAGTTGCCAAACACTACCTAAAAGAATTACTTTTACCCCTACTAATTCTTAACCTACCTATCACATCACATCTATTCACTATCAATCTACCCATTAAATCCTACTTTTACCCATCACATCCAAGGACATTTTGGGAAACACAACACTAAAATACACTCCCCTTAAATCTCTTAAAAATCAAAATCTCCCATTTTTCAAGGACGGAGAGAGTATATACCTATATATTGTTTCATTTTTGTATTGTCATTATAATGGCCACATTGGACTATGTATTTTATTTCTCTTCAGATATGGCCATATGATGAAAGTGATGATCTTGGGATTGTTCAAGGGTTGTTCACCATGATGCGTGTTGTTTTTTCAATCGACCCGGAATCTTTTACCTCAAACAAATCAATACGCTTTGTGGAGGTAATTTCGCTTCTCGTCATGTAATTATGTATTGGCTTGAGGCAGTTGATTCTTGATTCATCTCTGAGTGAAAGCATGGGAGACATCACTGTCCACTGTTGGGATACTAATGGTATTCTACTCTATTCTTTTCATAACTTGTGCAGAATCAAAGGAAGGCTGAAGTAAACACATCCCGTCTCTGCTTTAGTCTGAGCTCGTATCTATATTTTCTGGTCACAAAGAAACGTCTGCGGCTGCAGGTAGTGTTGACTATTGATATTGGGGAGGGAGTATATGCTATTAGATTTTAGTGCAATGAGATTATGAGACCCTCAAATGTGTTGTAGCTCTTTTGATACACAATACTCCATATTTTATTTTATGATAACATAAGACACATAATTGAAATGCACTCCTTTATATATGAAATACTTTTTATACGTCATTTGAACATTAAAAGTTTCTTACAATGATATATTTTACTTTTAAAATTTTCAACAATCATCTAAAAACAAAATTTTCCTTATACCAGGCCTATTTTTAGGCTCAATGTGTTAGTCAGTCTTCTACTACCCGCTTCATGCCTAGCGCCTTATATAACATGGTGTGCCTAGGCAGATTCTCAATTTCTAGCTAAAATTTGACCTTCTTAGGATCTGCATTGAAACTATTATTCTGAAATCTGGAGGATTAAGGGGCCAGATATGGGGTTTACGAAAAAGATATCTTTCTATTTAACGTGGAACACAAGTTTATATCCTTAACAATTGAAATTTGCATCAGGTCTCCGATGGTTCAATGGACTATCGTTCTTCTGCTGGACAACAACAGCCAACATTGACATCACTTGCATTTCTACTCTACTCTCTTACTACTTCTTTGGAAAAAGCTGCTGAGGAGAGATATCTTCTGCTCAACAAGGTTGCATATGTTCAATCTTGGCATAAAAAACTATTGTATTCAATTAGGAATTTAATATTCATTTTTCTGCAGATTCAAGATATCAATGAATTGTCAAGTCAAGAAGTTGATGAAATTATAAATATGTGTGCTCACGAAGGTTCTATATCATCATCAGAAAGCATACAAAGAAGGTTTGTGAAAAATTTTAAAATATTTTTCTAATTATTAATGGTTTTATTGTGTGTAAACCAAAGAATTGTTATTGAATCAATTTAATTAGTAATTATATTCATTAGATTTCTATCTCTGTTTTAATAGCTATAAATTTGTACAGCAAGGATCTTTTAACTCGGGAACCCAAGGTCAAAAGAACCACTGGGAAATTTGTAATATTGATAGTACAAATTATTAAAAGTCCAGTATGACTATCACCATTAAAAGCCAGTGCCGTAGGAACCTTAATTGTGGTGTATAAGATTATGTGTTCAAATCTCACATTCGACATTTTTTAGTGTTGAAAACCTTTTTTTCTTCAGAATGTCTAGTACTCTTTTTAGTCCCTAAATGAACTTTTTATTGCTTTCTCATAGTCTCCAGTGTTCATCTATGACCATAATTATCCTTTTTTATATTACTAATAATTATGATAAAACTAACGTTTAGAAAGTATAAATCGACAAAAATGATCTAATTACTTCTGTATTATAAAACATGACATTTATTAAAGGGACAAAGGGAGTAATATACTACTCCGTATATCATACAAAAAGTTAACAAGCGCCACTAGCTAAAGTAGTTGGAAGTGGAAACACTCTTTGCATATCCAAGTGGCACAAAATAAAATAAAAATGAACCGGTTAAAGTTAGCCGATTCAACCTGGTCCAAAGTGGTCTGATGCAGCAAATGTTACACGGCCCCGAACCAGAATCGTGACTGGTCACTAGCTTTTGGCTGGTCCTGTTTAGAAAATGCCCCCTACCCCTAGTGTATTATAGAACATTGCTACATTTACCACTAAAGATATAAAGTGACCCCATCTATTCACCAAGGCCCCTCTTGATTTGCAGGAAAACAGGTGATTGAAAATATTATCCATGAATTGTTTTGTTAATTCCTATGAAAATGCTTTTTGAAAAAACAAGTTCAGCATAATGCTCATTACACAATATATTTAAAATTCAAACTGCTTTGAAAATATACTCCCTCTTTTGGTAAGATGATTTCATTTTTCACAATCACCGAATTTCATTCAAGAATGTGTCAGGCGACAAATCTCAAAAACTCTATTGTTCTTTAGAGATATGTTTAACGGAAAAAATCAGAAGCCTAAAACAAGACCAAATATGTACCTTTTTGGTCTGACCACTTGGAAATATATTTTCCTTCACACTGTTTATAATCCATAATTTTCCACTATCGTCATCACCTCTTAAATATCTACAGGAGATATTTAGCAATCATGGAAATGTGCCGCATAGTTGGAGACAGAAATCTGCTCATTACCACATTACTTCTGGTTTCAGAAAATGTCATGAACATTATCCTCTTCCATTTTCAGGACAGGTATGGTTTCTATCCCATTTCGTGATCTTATATTTCTTGATGTTTTCAATAAGGAGTATTTTTAAAATAATTGTTAATAATGTATTTCAGTTCTTATGAGTGTGATCCCACTAAGTCCGTAAAAAGGCTCACATATGATTCAAAGCCTGATGCTAATGATGACTTGAGCATGCTTTGTGGAAAATTAATTTCTACCGTAGAAAGGCTTGGGTCGCTAAGTGAGGTATGTCTGTTCTATTTTCTATAAACACACTATCTGTTCAACTGTGTTTTTATTTTTTCATTAAAAAGTAAGCTGTTGTGTGATTTGTGTCAGCATAAACTTTGTTTTGGAAACACTTTTACCAAAGCTTCTTAATGTTTTTGTTTGTAGTAGTAATATTCCTGCTCCGCGCCTCGGTTGCCAAGCAATGGTGATGTTCATAAGTTTTTTAGTGATGTTTTTAAAGTTTTTGTCCCAAAGAGTCTTGCTTGAGCAAGCAAAGCTAATTAGTAATGTAATTTACTAAATAAAGAAGAACAAACAAATTATAAATTTAGCTTATGAACTAAATTTTAGAAGTATATGTAGGAATCCACAGCTTTTAATAGTCTTACCTTGCCAAAATTTAAAAATTATACCTTAATCAAATATGACACTATTCCTGGATGGACTTTATTTTCCCTTTAGTGTACTTCTAGCAATGTACCACTCCCTCTGACCAAAAAAGAGGCTGGTTTAAGAAAGATTCAACTTTTTATTTTAGTCATCTCAATTCAAGTACAAGTTTTACAAATACTCCATCCGTCTCATATGTTTCTTCCCGTTGCACAAAACGAAGTAAAATCTCAAGTTTTTTAATTTTGTTTTATTTAAATATATAGAAATAAAAAATAAAACTTACATATTTAAAAACTACATAAAAAGCTAAACAAGCGGTGGCAAAAATATTTTATTTTGTCATGAAAAAACGCAAATAAATAAAATTTCCCGTGAAGTTGGAATTGTGCACCGGGAAGAAAGTTATGGGATGAATGGAGTAACTAGAACTTGTGGACCGGTTTAAACAGAATGCTCTACTTAAAGATGAAAACTAACATTCAAAACTGGATTTCTTTTGGAACAAAATGTTCTTGAAACAGGATTATCTTTTCACGCTGGATGAAGTAATATACTACGTATGTATATACAGCTTTATATATTCTATCTCCTTGTATCTTGTTCTCTACAGGACAAAATCGGACATGAGCTCAAAGTGTTCCACAGATTGTCAAGTTCACTCAAGGAACTATCAATTCAAAAGCTAGGCCTGTGAGTTGCAAAAAAGCTCAGAAACTTCATAAATCTTTGTTCCTCTCCTTGTTTTGAAGTTGCTGTGTCCAAAACAGGTCAGCTTCTTTCTTTTTTCCTTTCTTTCACTGATCTTCTTTGGTAGATAACTAGATATTTCATGCAATGATAAATACAAAAAAGGGGGGGAAATGAACATAGGTTTTCCATATTTTTGTAATGAGAACTTCATAATGTATAACAGGCACAAAATTTTATTTTTGATCCCCCATATATTACAGGGATATATTAGTAGCAGATTTAGTACCTCAGTTATTTCCATGACAATTTATTTGCCCTTTAATTGCCTATGAGGAAAAGTCAACATGAGCTGGTTGATGAGAGTCATACTGTACAAGGAGCTCATAAGTCATATTTGCTGCGCTGCATTTTAGTCCCATTGCAATACTTTATTCCCCATAAAAGGTGTACCATATATAGCCTATAGGCCCTCAGCTATAGGGTTTTACTCCCTCCGTCCCTCAAATTCTTTCTCCTTTTTTTTGTGTCCCACAATCCCCTTCTCCTTTCTATCACATCATACATATTCACTAATAATCCATTCATCACATCCTACTTTTACCCATCACATTAAAGATATTTTTAAAAAAATCAACACAAAAATATCTCTTTCCTAAATTTCCTAAAAATCAAAACAAGGAGTGTGTGGGACGGAGGAAGTATTAGATTTAGTCCTTCAGTTTTTCTCCTGTCCACTCTAGTCCTTTAATCGTACACATGTAGTGATGTAGGGGCAGATCTCAGTCACTCAACTAATCCCCTTTTGTTTAATATATTGATTCTAATATATTCATACTCCAATCCATTTTTAAGATAGAAAATAATATTAACATAATCTAATTATATCTTCATTTTTTTCGCAAGAAAAAAAACATCTTCATTTTAAATATAATTTCTCACCGATAACTTTCCAAATAATAGCCATGTCAATTTTTTTTGTAAAGGGGATGTGAATATCCCTGGGTGTAAGGATTGGGTTTGGAATAAACTAATTCCTCTTGTGCAGTATTATGTGTGGGATTGAGCAGGAGGATGCAGACCATGTTTTGTGGAACTCTAATATTTGCCAAACATGTATATACTAGTGTTTGGCAAGCTTAATATATCTCTATGTTGCTGCAAAGGAGATGAGCTCTGTTGGAGTAGAGATCATGAAGATGATGAATACCAAGAGAGATAAGTTTTTGCTTTGGCAAGAGGATTGCTGAAGAGGGGACTATTATCTATATTCTCTTTTTTTTTTTGTTAAAAATATTTTGGAGTAGTTACTGTTTGGTTTGATTATGTTTTTCCACCAGTTTTGGCCTCTGTCTGATTGATTGTGTACCCTTGATGTGAGTGAATGTATTTTCGTGCTTTCGGTTCAAAAGAAAATAAAAATCGCGCATGTTCATCGGAAATAAAGCAAGTACGAAGTAAAATGCTCCCTCTGTTTTAGAATGTATTTCCTTCGCTATTCTAAGGTCAAAAGTTAGATTACTTTTGTTATTTAATTTCATTATTAATTTGATGAGAGTAGTAGTTTTATACTTCATCTTATTTCGTTAAAATTTTCATATGCGGAGTAATAGTTTTTAAATGCTCAAAATAAATTTTATTTTTAAATTCTACCTAAACTTCCACATTTTTGAAAAAAAGCAACTTTCACATTAGTTGGATTGAAGATAAATTAAGTTTACCNGCTAAAGAATAAAGAACTGCAGAGTATACTGCCTAGCCTGGAGAATTTTTTTTGAAATCTTGCTAGTCTGTAGATTTAAAAAAAACATTTTTCTTATATTAAAATAAGGCTTTTAATGTTATAAATTTTATACAAAAATAAAATTTATAGTTTCATTCAATGTAAAAAATATACTGCAAAATACTACAGTACTTGTAACACACAATGCCATTGTAGACATTTTGCAATTTAATACATTTATTTAGAAGATAAACATATAAGAACTCTTACTTTTGGACTGTATAAATTTCATATTTAAGCCTTGTTAAGCTACAAAGTATTTTTATCTACAACAAAGGCCACTCTTCCCATAGAATATTGAGACAATCAAATAGTCACATGATATGAAGAACACCTTTGCCATTACCACATAAATAGACAAGAAAAATGCCATTTTCCTCACGTCCCATTACAACTGATCTTAAAGTACATACATACTTGAAAAAAGCTATGCTATACTCACACTACCGATAACACTAACACTAACATCGTCGGTGTCTCACACGACACAGATAATGATTGTTTGTGAATGATCGTCTCTGATAATGTCAATCTTGCTTAAAGAAAATAGTCAATGAATTAGGAATCAAGCAAACAAGGACCAGGCACGACCACAAATTCCTGGCCATAGGCATTGTCACAATGGGCCGAGACGAGACTTCCAGGCGAGGCCGAGCCCAACTGAACAAACTGCAACGTTATGTCGGTGCAGGGCGTCGATCTACTGCAATTGAGGTTTACCGTCACGTCTGTACTCGATGTTCCATATATGTTCCTGAACACAACTCCACTTATCTCCACTCCCCCACTCCCCTATTTTTTAAAATTCAAAAGAAAAAAAAGGTGATATTAGTGCATGTCATAAAAATAATGAATGCCTCTACTATAGGCTTAAGAAGTTATACAAAATAAAATTGAGACCACCATTGTTCAGTTACATATTAGTACGGAATATAATTAAAGGTTTTATTATAAATAACAATAATGAGACAGTGGCACCGTAGTGTCAAAAAAAAGTGTCAACTAAACGAAACCCATAAAATAAATTACCATTGTCTTTTGGCAAGATTCTCGACCATCGCAATAAAATTGATCAATGATGATGGGGTTGTCAACAGAGTTCATGAAAAGATTCTCAAAAATTACATCTTTTACATACCCTCTCCCAACCTGTGAAATTTTAAGAGAATAAAAAAATGGAAAGAATGAGCTAATTATATTTTAAAAAAATAACATTAGCTTATTTGAAAAGCCTCATTAAAACACATATAGATAAAATACAAAAAAAGGCGTAAGGTTGTTTGATCTTCGTGATATCAGAACTCTTTTATTAGTACGGAGTATTTGGTAGTAAAACCTAATTAGACAGAATTCGAATTTTGATATCACAACCCCGCAAAATGTGGGTGTTTTGACATCTTCCGATTTTCGAGATATCATCTCGAGGACTTTGATATCTTTCTCAACCAGTGGCTTTCTCCGCGTTTCACTAATAACCATCATTTCAGATATTCCTTAAAATTTTCATTTTAGATTTCAAAATTTTTAAACATTTTCTATACTAACCATATTTTGCTCACCAAACACACTTATATTTTAACTTCAAAAAAAAAGAAATAAAATGTACCTGCCATGTTTTGATCCTAGCTCCATTTGTTGTCCCATATAAGAAAGCATTGCTAACATGAATGTTCTCAACTTGCACAAAATTTCCAGATTTCCCTAAGCTTCCAATACTAGATTTATTTACAACAAGGACAAAATGGTCAAGAGCAGTAAATTGCAACAATGAAAAATTCTATTACAAATTTACACTGTAATTGAATAATAATTCTTGAATAATTTGAAGTAAAAAAAAAATTTAATCCCCCAAATTATTAACCTGATTCCATGGCCCGGACCACATGCAACATTATTTATAAAGACATCAGAAGTGTAGTCCCCAATTGAGACGCAGTCATCCCCTGTTCATCAAAATAAAATTCTCATTTTTTTTTCGCGGAAAATTCGTGTTCGGTACTATCTTCGTCTTGAAGTATTCATTCAATGATATTTTTTCAAGTCAAACTAGACAAAAGAATTACATTGAATATTAGTACAAAAGTGCTTACATTATACTCCATCCGTCCAAAAATTTCTTTTCCGATTTTACTTGACACGGTGATTAAAAAAAGTTAAAAAGTGTAAAAACTTTCCATAATTACCCTTGATGTGATGGAATAAGGTGAGCAGTGTAGATAAAAAAGTGATGTATGATGGCACATTCATTTAAATTGTATTATCAAAATAGGAAACGAAAATGAAATTTTTGGACGACTAAATAAAAAGTAAGAAATGAATTAATAGACGGAGGGAGTACCCCATATTTATCTTTAAAATATGGGATGCAAATCTCTTTCAGTTCGAGTTAAAAAAAATCAAACCATATGAATACTCTGGAGCAAAATGAGTAGTATCTATTTTAATTATGTATTACTCTCAAACACGCATTTTCAATTTTAAAATATTTGTTTCTTAACAAATTCTAGCTATTCAACATCTATTAAATACAGAGTATTTTTTAGCAGGGAGCTATATATTTTAATTTCTTAATCTCCGTGAAACCAAATTATGAAATCTTATTTTAGAACGGAGAGAGCATAAATTAAACATACCACTGCTAATATTGGAGTTGGTGATGGTAATATGGTGAGAAGAATGGATATGAATGCCATCTGTGTTTGGGCTGTCCCTTGGAGACTCTATCTTTAAATTGTCAACTCTAAAGCCATTGCAGCCAAGCAGGAGGACATGAGACTGGGGACTATTGGTAAACTTCATATTGCTTAGAGACCCTCCATTGCATGATATTAACTTCAATGCCTGCCCATTATTTTATCAATTATTATGTACAATATTTAAAAAAAGAATTATATTGTCAAAAGGATTTGGGGGGTTAGCGGGTAGGAACGAACCATTAAATGCATGATTACTTACGGCTGTGTTTGGGAATAACATTTGCGATTGGTATTAGCGTTTTGAATAATGTTTTAATGGAACAAATTAACGTTGAAAACACGTTACGCTGGATGGCATTTCAAAGATGCAAAAGCTAATTCCAAACATAGCCTAAGGGTCCGTTTGGTATACGGAATTGACGGAATTGGAATTAAATTGGAATTGAGATTCCATGGGATTCAATTCCATAGAATTGAATTATGTCAATTCTAATTCATTTTTTGCACTATCAATTCCAAATCCACAAAATTTTTGTGCTACCAAACACCAGAATTGGAATTGAAGTCCTCAATTCCAATTCCATAGTTTGAATTCCATGTACCAAACGGGGCCTAAGTGTTTTTATGAATATACTCCGGGTATATATGATAGCTTACTTACTGTGGGGGCTAAGTCTTTGCACCCTTCCTGCAAAAAAATAAAAAAAATGTTATCAAATTGACAATTTATTAGATTTGTTGAAATAGTTTTTTTCATCTAAAAGATACAAGAAATTAATGGGGAGTTCATAGTTAGATTATTTACCTTTTTTTTAATACCTATAGACTCCTATTTGCATTTTAGAAACATGAAAGAATAACTTAAGTTTTTAAGGGTGGAATCACAAATTCATATAGGATTTAACTTTTACCATCCATTCTCTTGGTTGAAGGCTTCATTTGGGATAAGATAAACGTTAATGTTTTGAATAATTTTTAATAACACCCGCTAACTTTCTACTATTCCCTTTGTTCACCAAGACCATTTCTCTTTTATTTTTTTCACTTTCAGCAAAACATTTTTTTTCAATTAAAATGACTAATATATCCGAATAAAGTGATTGCAATATATTTCATCCATTTTGTATTGATATGATAAGTCATTTAATTAATTTTTCTCTTTTTTTCAACGCTAGTGATTTAATTGGAAAGTTAAATTACAAAGACGGAAAGAGTACTCAGTAAAAAAGAGAAAAAAGAGGAAGTAATTCACACCAGGTTTGGATGATCTCTACAAGATTGATCCCACCAAGCCTTTCCGTTGCCATCAATTTTTCCAGGCCCATAAACTTGAAGCCCAATAACATCTTGGAATGCAATCCATTGACTTTCATCTCTTTCGGCCCATATGCTTGGGGACTTGGGAGCCACTATCGTTCCCATTATCTATATATAATCAATAAATCAAATGTTATTAATAAATACTTTTCACTTATTTCAAAAAATAAATAAATACTTTTCACGCAAATTTTAAGGGCATCTACAAAATAAATATTATCATTTTCTATGAGATGTTTTTTTTTGCTCTTAAATTTCTTGCAGTTGTTACGGGAATAAAGTATTGTAGAGTATATGGAGAATTAAGATACAATAATAAAAATATATATAGATGAAATTTGAGTTAAGATAGCGGGGAGATGTACCAAGAAATGAACATTTTGGGAATTACAAGGGCCTCTAAAAGTGATTGGGTAGAGCAAGAAATTGTAATTTTGAGGAATGGTGAATAACAATCTTGTATCGCCATTCCATGAACATACATCTTTCCACGCACTTAAAAATGCCTGCAATCGTCAGTTTAATTAATCAAGCACTAAAAATGCTCTATTTAAAAAAATTAATAAATGTATTCAAAATTTTATCACTTTATAAATGTTTAGACTTTACCCAAAATTTATATGTAAGTTTTTATTACTTTTAAAATATACGGAGTACAATAACAACCAAATAAAATTATTATGGCACATACTAATTGCTACACTCAGGCGTTGTTTTATAACAATTTCAGAGTTTCTAACGCGAACGCTAATAAAAAATATTGTTTCCAAATGATCGAAGCCTTAATAAACAAATAGATCACGAATTGCATTTTTATGACATTCAAACATAACATCCGTATTCATCTGGAATAAAATGCTGAATTGGATTGAAATAAAATGGATTTAAAATCAATTAAACCCCAAGAATTTATAGGGGCAAAAAAGTAAAATGAAAATACCCGAGAATCATCTGTAATGCCATCACCAATGGCTCCATAATCAAGCACATTCAAACTGCTCTCAGAACCAATAATCACACTTTGGCAACTACTTCTCCAAGAAAGTAATCCAACAATTATGAATATTATTACAGCTAAAAATTTCTGGGGGAAAAAAAATAAAATGAGAGGAAATTAATTTAAAAGAAATAAAAAAAGTTAAATAACCAAAGCAATTAAAAGAAAATTAAGTTTGGGAAACGTTACCATTGCACTTGAAACGCTAAAGCAACACAAGAGAAACGGAAGATTATCTGCACAAATATATAAAATTAATGGTGAGGGCATTAATTAATGTGGGGTTAAGTGTAGTGGAGTAATCCTTAGTTGTAGTTAATTAATTACTGTAATTTTTTCCAAAAGGTGGAATTTCCACCCGGGTGCTACACCACGCTCCGACAGGATTGTGGGAGGGTAAAATATAGTGATTTTAGTGATCAATAAAAAGTGGTAAAATTGTAAATCATGGCGACTCAAATATTTAATTACTGTGATTAATACAATTGGACAGAGGGGGAGTTAATCATCATGAATTATTTTTAATTAATTAATGAGGTTTTTGTCGTACGGTACAGACCAACGGGCCTAACTAATAAGAATATTTGTTTTTAGTTCAGCTTTAACTAGAATTTAGAGTGGATAATTGATGTATGAAGTCTCGAGTCTAGGCATAATCGTAATTTTATTTAAAATACCAAAATTCAAATTTGATAATTGAGTTCTAAAAATAGGAGAATGAAATAGGATAATTAAGATACAGAGTATTTCATTGGAACAACTTGTTTTGATCAAGTTTTTGACCTTATTTGTAAATCGTAGTTTCGATTAGCATTAGAGTTCGAACGAAGTTTTAACCATATAGAGTGATCCTGAAAACTGTTTTAAAGATTATCCCTATAATGTTAAACATTAACCTTATATACCTTCTTTTAAACATCAACTTTAAACTCTAACCACGTTGCCAAAGCCCAAACGTGACTTCTTATTCAGTATTCACCCAAGCACCAAACCTGCATGAACTCACTAGAAACTTATAAAATATTATTTGTGTCACAAAATTTCCATATTTTGACATTTATGGAATCACTAACAAACAATGAAATTCATTAATCTTTTAAAGAAAAGAAAAAAAGAAATAAATTAAATATGGCGGGCCAGGTATTTGTCGATTTCGTCACATTTTTTTTTATGTCTTCATAGTTAAATTTTCTTATTTTTACAAGCCTATTGCATAAAATCATTCTATGTGTGAAGGACCACAATTTTTTTTTTTTTAAATGCAAGAAATTGTCATTTATTTCACACTCGGAACTTCGTTTTTTGAACACTGATTTTATTTTATTGTAGTAATATCTTTTGTAAATTTAATGTAATTGACAATTAAAATTCGTTCAATTTAATTAAAAAACCAAACTAGACTTATCATTTAGGACGAAAGGAGTATATTTAAATTTACATTAAAAATACGTAAAATTAGAAATGATATATTTATATTATTTTACAAAATAAGGAATGTAAATATGCAAATTAGAAAGAAAATATAATGATCAATTGCTTATTACGTAGTAATTAATTACCTATTGCTTGGTGAAGACAATGCAAACATTTGGAGAATGCAAACTGTGTACATATGCAGTAAGTGTGAATGTTTTTTTAAAGTGAGAGTAAAAAAAGAAAAAAAATTACTGATCAGTTATTAGCAGAATGGTTTACCACAAGGGTCTAAGACCATATATATACCCACCCTTGTTTTTTTTCTCTCAAGGTTAATAACTTAATTAAAACTTGAACTAATAACAATATTTTCAGCAATTAATTCTAATTCAGCGTTGATTCCATCAGTCAAAAGTCAAACGTATTAAAAATAGTATTCAAAAAAATTAATCATGGTGAAGTTGTTGGCAGATGGAAGATATACTCCCTCCCTCTTGTTTGGTTGAGATAAAAATGGAGAGAAAGGAAATAAAGATCAAGAAGAAGGGGATTAAGGAAAAAAAGAAGAAGAAATGAGATGAATTTTAAATTTTACTCACTCGTTTCAAATTAAATTGTATGTTTACTATTTACAGAGTCAAATTTTATTCACATTCTTTTCTCGTTTTCGTAAGTTATTTGATAAAATAATATAATCATGTAACTACTAGTTTTATAAATCTTTTGATGTAGTTCTTAAATACGGAGTGTATAATTTTTATTTTTTTATTCTATAGTATTTTCCCACAAAATGATTTGAAAAGAACTTCAATCAAATATTATAAATCGAAACAGACGATTGAAATTGAAACGGAGTAGAAGATTTATAGGTTTGAAAGGAAATTTGAAAAAGAAGTTGGTATTTCATTTAAGAAAAAGAAAGGGATACTTTATATGAGGCATCATTTCTTCTCAACCATATAATTCCATTTTTGTTGAGCTCCATAAATGTAATAAAGAAAAGGGTGGCTTTTTTGTGATAATACCACTTGTTATCATAATATAACAAGATTTACGGAGTTCAATTTGAAAAATTAATGGTTCTCATATTCTAATTGTTGAATGGCTACAGACTAGAGTAATACTGTATCCAATCGTTGATTTGAGTAGAGTGGCTACTTGGGTGGGGGGAGCGAGCGAGCAGGGGAGTAGAAGAGGTATGACCTATCAAGTTTTCAAACAGAACATTACATGAGACTCCTTATTATCAAAAGAAGGGGGCCATAAAAAAAATAACGGGAAGTATACGATTGAGGTTAATACGAAATACTACCTTTATTTATTTAAATATTTTTTGTAATAAAACAAACCTCCCAAAAACTCTATATTAATTATACTACTTTCACAAGCCTTACTTTTTATCAGATTTCATTGGATTTAATGTTGTATGCAAATACACGATTGTCCCTAAATCTTCTTCTTATTTAGACTTTTATGAGATTAAAAAATTGTGTTATGTTTTCCAAATTACTCTTAATATTGTAAGTAAAATTCTGATCTGATAGATAAAATAAAAATTAATAAGAATAAATTTGATTTTTTTTAATAGAAAAAAGAAAGGGACTTTCGAACAAAAAAAAAGAAAGGAAGAAAACTTTTAGTGACAGTGGGTACTTTGTTAAAATTGTGAGCCCACCAAATTAAAATTCTGAACCCACCAAATTCCTAAAATTATTAAAATCCACTAAATTCTAAAATTCTGAGCTCGCCAAATTGAAGTCCATAAGTTACATAAATATCTGCATATTAGATGTGGACCTTAAAACGACTAAATCACTACTCATATACTTCCCCGATCCAAAAAGAATTTCTGGTTGTGTGTTACAAAATATGATGTTAGACTCATAGCATGTATTCCTTCATGTGAATTTGGTTCAAATGAGAATGATGCATAATAAAAGAAATGAGAATACATACGATCCATTAGATTTAAGATTTAAGGGTTATTAAAAATAAAATTATTATCATGGTGGTAATTGTGTAAACAAACCAAACTTTTCTGCCAGTGATCAAAATGCAATACTACAAGTGCAAAATGCATCACTCTCACGATAAGATATATTCACGCAGTAGGTTCATTCTCACTTAAACCGCACCCTCCTTCATCTTATGGTTACATTTGAGAAGACATAAACCTCATATGGCAACAACAAACACACAAACAAAGGCAAATATATAAGGAGCATAATAAGGTTTAAATATGTTCTTATTTTTTTCCAAACCAAATTTGCATATCAAAGTTCATCATCAGCTAGAGGAATGTACATTGAGGCTTCATTTGTATTTCAGCTCAAAATGTCAAATGTTTTGAGGGGTTAAACGCTGAAAACCAAACACGCCCTAAGCCTTGTCTTGAGGCACAGTTTTCCTTGTTTGCTTTGCTTGAATTACGAGAGTATCAAGCGCAGAATATCTCCAGAGAGCTCGAACGACTTCTCGGTCTCCTCCAAACAATGGTTCTTCTGCTCTCTCGTCCAGTTCTTTGTAAAAAAAAGTGCATTAAAAATGATTAAAAAAGGTTAGTGGTTTTGCTGATAAAAGTTTTGAAAAGATGTGAGAATATATGGCATGAGTTGAAGGGCATCAAGAAAATGTACTTCAGAAACTTTATTAAGCTTGTCTCTGACATTCTGCAGAAGTTGGGAAATGTCACCCTCCCATTTGTAAAACTCCAACTCTTTCTTGTTCAGTATCTTTTCTGCTACCTGAATAAAAGATAGAGAGAGAGAGAGAGATTATGATGGACTAAAGCCAATATAATTCAGTTTACATAGAAACAATGTCCACTAAGTTGATGGACTAACAATGCAGCAATGCAAAAACTGTAGACTAGGCAATGGGGTCATTTGGTTCGGGTTGGGTCAACTTTGGGTCAAGATAGGTTTTGGGTCAATAGTATTCGGGGAAGTTTGGGTGAATTTCAATTCAAGTGATTTGGGATCCCTTGAATTTTGGTGTAGTAAACTTGTCTTCTAAAACCAGGTGACCTCAAGGACAGGCGGGAGTCAGCACCTCTCTACTGGTGCACCAAGGCATCTCATAAGATCAAAAAAATATTGTGACACATGGAAATAAAATTGAAGCACACTTGAAAAGTCTCGTACCTTCTTCCCAATCATGCGGCCCCCGGCTGTATGTGCAAAATATATGTTGTAGAAGTGGCAAAGGAAGGCTTGAGGGTCGTCTTCCGATAGCTCTTCAAGATACCGGGCATAGTTGAGACCAGGTTCAGATGGCTCTGGGATGGCATGACCTTGTTGTTTGAACCACTCCAGATCTTTTACCAAACTCTCCGACCTTTCCAACCCAGTATTTCTAAACTCAGCATCTGCAATCCATATCACACACCTACCAAATCACTTACTTGCATAGACAGCAAATTGCAGAAGATCACAATGATAAAATGTGTGCATTTATAAATCATACCACATTGCAAAAAAATGATCGTTTTGGAATTTATTTTTTTTAGCATTAGCATTTTTGAAGTTAATTTGTACCCTTAAAAATTATCCAAAATGCTAACCACAAACATTGTACCCAAATGAAGCATAATGTATCTGAAAAAGAGCATCTTAAATATGTATACACTTAGATAGTTCAGCTCACCCATCATTTTCCACCCCAATACTGACAAATTCAGTCCTTCAGGTTTAATTTAACACTATCAAATGCGATCTTGGACCAAAGCATCCAAGATCAACGGACCACTCACTAACCACTGCCACTATATTAATTCATGGAGGGAGACAAATGGATCATCCGTGCGAAACAAAACATGAAACCCCTTGAGGCTTCAGCTTACCGATCCAAACAAGTTCTGTTGTAAAAGATCAAATAATCAAAAAACAAAAGCCCACTCCAAACAAGTGAGGTGATAATTGGAGACTTGGAGTATGAAATATGCACTTTAACAACAGAACAGCTTGATTTAATAACAGAACCTAGTTTTTTTACACCGCATCTAATAATAGCTGGGAACATATGACACAAAGTCACAACAACAACAACAAAATCATATAAAAAATAGGGTCGGAGGAGGGGGTGTGTACGAAGACATTACTCCTACTCAGAAGTAGAGATGTCAAAGCAAAGACAAATTAAATATAGTAGCCCAAACAAATATAGAGCAGAGACACAAAAGGTACACATACTAGCAACTAGACCCAAAACGAAACAAAGCCAAGAATGAAAATTCAGGTATTATGCACCAGTATACCATATATAAAGATGGATTGTATAAAAGAAGGCAAATAGGTAGATGAATATATAAAAATGAACAAAAAACTCACAATCAGGAAAAGGAGCTTTCCCTACAATCTTCTCAAGAGTATCATAAACCAATTTGCTGTCCACCAAGAACTTCAAGTACCCTTCAACACTTGGCTCCCATTTAGCCACAGGCTGACCTTCAGGCTCCTTTTCCCCTTCTTTTGCCTGGTCCCTCGTATGGTGCTTCATGGCCACAAATCTCATCTCCTCCACAAACCCCTTCGCCTCCCCGGGGTACCTTTTCTTCGGCTTCTCAGCGGCAGCTGTTGCAGAAACCACCACCGCCGCCTTAGATCTTCTCAAGGAAAGATTTGATTTTTGACTGTTTCTGGAAATGGGTGTTTGCAGAAACGAGGTTTTAGGGTTATTAAGTGATGTAATTTGGGTATTGGCAAAAAGAATCCGGCATTTGGGTAAGGGTGTTGTGATGGAAGCCATCTCCAGCAATGAGTGTTCGAATTGAAATTGGAAACCCTTTTTTTGTGAAGATTGAAGAAAAAACTCTTACGGAGTACTTAATAACAATCCTGCAAAGCAAAGATATAGACACAGACTATGTGTTTTCAGATTGACTAAAAAAGAAAATTGGAGATTGAATAATTGGAGTCTGTAGCTTTGTAGTGTGCGAAGTACTCCGTATTATTGAGAGACAGCAGCGTGTTCCCCATGGATAAGATTCTTGATTTGGAATAGTGTACCCTACTTTTTGTTTAGTCTTGAATTCTTTGAAAATTGCATGATTTATTCTTAAACTTTAAAAAATATACTAAAAATCTCTGAACAATTTAAAGCGTTTCACCGTTTAGTCCTAAAGTGTTGAAAAAGGAGTGTGTTGCTCCTACAGACAAGAATTGCAAGCATGGTTCATCTGACCCTTGATGCTTTAATATGCCGATGTTTCCTCCAAATAGGCTTTTAGATCTATTTACACGAACTTTTATCATTATTCATATCTAATAATTCATATCTAATGTGAACCACTATATTCTGAAAAATACGGTTGAGATATATGTGATTCTTTAGTGGAAATGTGTATAATGATCTCTTTTATGGTTGCCGATGAAATAATTGTAATCTCTATCTTCTTCACATTTACATATTGATCAAGAGAATCAGCTAGAAATGGTGGAATTGAGATTGTGGTATTATTTGATAGTTTATTATTAAGGTTGGAATAATAACACTCATTTTTACTCTCTTTTTCAAGAGTAGTAGACACTTCTATTGTCCTTCAATGTTTTGTATCGAAGGATGTCCTCATTCCACTTTTGTTGGCTCTGATCTAACACTATGTTTGGTTCCAGTCATTCAGAGCATTTTCCAAACTTCATTGTCGACTTTTACTGGTTTGAGAGCCTACAGGCCGAACCGTGTTTGGATGACAAAAATAGAAAGTACTCTTAGTATGGAGTCGATGGAGCATGTCTTTATGTTTTCTCACTTTGCAAAATCTATTTGGAGACTACTCAAGTTGATGATGGGTGATGCATAGATTCCTAGCGTGACATTAATGCAAAATAAAAAATCATTACTCAAAAAAGAATGAACCACATCTTCGAGGGAGACCCTGCCGAACAGTTACTGAGAGGAGGAGGTAAATTGGAATTTAATCGTACATTGGTGGCAAAGAGTAAAGCCTGCACGTGAAACTTGCAGATCAGGAATCGAACTCGAGTCTTATCCCCTTGGTTATCCTTGCCTTGCCAACTGCGTAATGCCCACCGACCCAAAAATCCTTGCTCAAAAAAGTGATGTGAATGGAAGGAAAATGGAAAGTGTAGCAGCCAAGTGCGGATGCTGTGTTCTTTTGAGGTTTAATGTGTTTTGGCCCCCAATTAAAATTGAAAAGACCCCGACTAAAATTTGTTTCAGGGTACATAACTCATTATTTACAAAGAAAAAATTCACATGTCTAGTTGTGTTTCATTGGCATGATTTGATCCAGACTTCTTAAAAATCTAGTCTATATGATCTCATCTTGATCAAATTGAATCTAATACTCCGTATTATTGTAATTATATTAAAACTTGTCTTGATTTGATCTAGTTTGATCTAATTAGATCTAATCTGATTTGGTCGTAATAAGAATAAATAATAAATTGAAAAAATATGTTAAACAGAACGAACCCTCTATTTAAAAATTTCACATTAAAGAAATATTTGGAAAAAAATCATTATTTGTTATACTCCCTCCGCCCCAAAATCATTTCTTTTTCGCAAAACAAAGTAAAATCTTAAGTCTTTTCATTTCATTTTACATAAAAATTAGTATAAAAATAAAAAATAAAACTTACATATTACACCAAAAATTCTACTACCTCCAGTCCTGAGTATTTGTCTAATTTTGACTTTTTCAGTCAACTATTTTCAACCTTTGAACTATAATTACATAAAAAGTATTATATTTTAATTAGATAAAATAGTATTTTGAAAATATTTCATATACTCCCTCCGTCCTAATTATTTCTTCCCAGTCTGACTTTTCCCCATTTTTTATTTTTGGCTTTGACTTCAAATTTTACCCTCCTTAAAAAAGATTTTTTGAATTTTTTTTGCAATCATTCAAAATATAAAGTTAGAAGATAATTGGTGTAAATACATGAGAGTATTAATGTCATTTGTCATCTTTTTTTTCTAATGGGAAGGTAGTTTTAGGACGGAGAAAAAGGGAAAGTGGGAAGAACATTTTAAGACAGAGGGAGTAATTAATCTAATAAACTATTTTTGCATCAACATCAAATATCATTTTTCTTTAATTTGAAGTCAAAGTTGAGCAAAAAACAAAAATGGACAAATATTCAAAGACAGAGGGAGTACAAAATAAGAGGTGACAAAAATATTTAATTTCGTCAAATAGTCAATAAAAACACACAAATAAACAAAAATTCTCATGATTTTTGAATAGTAAACTGTGTAAGTCATTTGAGCAATGCCAAGTTCACAAAAACAATGCTCACAAAATTCACAAACTTATTATTTATGGTTTAAATTTTCATTTTAAAATTATTTTAGACTATTTAATTTTTTTATTGGAGCTCAGAAATAGTAAGTTTGTGAAATTTGTGACCATTCTGTTTGTTAACCAAGCATTTCCCAAGTCATTTAGGGGCAGGGGAGTATTATTTCATATTGCTTTATAAAAACTTTCTAAAGACGCTGCACCACCCTGACCCACAACTATCTGAATTGCTAGGGCAATGTAAAAAAACTTGATTGTGGATGTGCAATACTCCCTCCTTAGGGGCACTTTAGGAGTCATATTGCCAATTAATTGAGTCTTATGTGTCTTTAATTGTGATATTTACACTCTTTTTTTTGTCTTTAATTGTCTTTGATGTACTTAAGTATAGAAAGAAGTATGGTTTTCAGATTAACTATAGTCCACCGTAAATGTAGCTTTTCAGCTCCTTAGCAGCCATGCTTTCCAACCAGGACAGCACAAAATCAAGGGCAGATGTCACAGCCGACTCCCTGCAGTTAAATATATTACAACATATATTTAAAGAAATTAGTACTCCCTCCGTCCCATTTTATAACGCCTGTTTCGGTTTACGATGTTTGACTGAAGTTATTTTCAAATCATTTTATATGACAAATGGTATAAAATTAAAAAATAAAAATTACATATCAAAATACTATATCAAAAGATCTACCCAAGACTAGTAGTGACAACAATATTTTATTTTATCAATTTGCTAACGAAAATAGAGAAAGAAAGTGAATGAAGTTTGACCCTGTGAATAGTGAACAAGCATTATAATTTGGGACGGAGGGAGTATATGTTAAAAAATATACTTCCCTTCGTCCCAAAAAGATGTTCCTATTTTGACTTTAAAGAAAATTTAACGGAGAGATATTTTTGTGTTGACTTTCCAAAAATACCCTTGATGTGATAGGTAAAAGTAGGATGCGATGTATTGATTATTAATATAAAAAAGGGATGATATGATAGGTAAGGTAAGAATTAATAGGGACAAAAGTGGGCTTTCAATTGGAACGGGAAGGAATTTATGGGACAAGTAAAAAAAGGAAGGTGAAAGAATTTTTGGGAAGGTGGGACTATTAGGACCATATGAAAATGCAAAAATGAAGAATACTTTCAATGTTTCACTAAGCTTAAGCTTCAATGGTGCAGTCTCTATATCCCTCTAAACCCTAAACTATGTTAAAGCATCATCCACCCCCCCCCCCCTCCCCTTTTTTTTGCTCCAAATGATGATATAAATAAAGGTGCCAATCAATTACCTGCTAGTATAGAGATCCCATATTCTAATGCTACTGTGAGCCCCGGTAGAAATATTGATCCCCATTCTCATCATATTGTCATCATCATGCCACTTTTTTATAGTAGACGTGACATCAAATCCATTGTTTTCGGCCAAAATGGCCGGAACCACTAGAAGGGAATCAGAAAACTTGAGCAAGGCTTCCCTGTGATCGCTTTGAGCCCTAATACAATACACCAAGAAACATAATTACAAGCATGTGCTATTTTTTGTGGGCAATCTTAATGCAATACGAAGTAAAATAGCGACTATCTGCTTTGTCACAAAAAAAATTGATGCTTCTTAACGGGTACTTTTGTCGTGGTTTACTCCAAAGGCTAAGTCAGAGAATATTGATCTTCACAAGGCCGCCTCCAATCTCCATTAAAATGGATTCACAAATGAACATCAACTCGACTCCTCTAACTTATACGAGTAATCTTTTAAGCCCGAATATTGTTTCTTGTCATCTCACCCCCCTTCAAAAGTAAAAATGTAGTCGAAAACAATCTTGATGCACGCCAACAATGTAAATTGTAGATTTTGATACCCATAATAGGAAGCACAACTTTTTCCTGATATCCAAAACAAGGAACAAACAGAAACTGATTTCATCAAAGGAATCCAGTGGTACAATTGTGTGTGTGTATGTGTTGGGGATTGTGGTTGCAGTCGAAGGGACTTATGCAATTCAAATAAGATAGCTTATCTGCAATTGCATACATTGTTGGTGATCATATTATCACAAAACAGAAAACACAAGTTGTATCAAAAACAGAAATGATGATAGAGGTATACACTGACCGCCATGCAAATTCTCTCAATTCCTTGTATAGTACAAAGTCACTGGCTCCAGCTCCAGCCATAACCCGACTGTCCTTGCACATCAACTGGAAGCATTTGATTTCATATTTTCTTAGAAAAATCATACAATGCAAACAGTCTTGTGAAAAAAATTAACATGGTGCCAAAAAAGAGTTATGTGCTCATACCTATCCCAACACATCAGTGTTGTTATGTGCTCCTCAGTGGTCAAAGTCAGAGGTATCAAGCTTAATTTTTTTAAACAATGTCTCCAATATCAAAGTTCGGAATTTGAATTGACAATGGAGCACCGATTCATTATTTTCAAGCCCTTTCTCTTTTTTGAATGATCCATGTTCATACTTGAAATCGGATATAATCGGTTTCACATTTCAGCATCTTCAGAACAGACTTGGCTGAAAAACTTTTACTGGTTGTGAAACTTCATAGTGAAAATAGATGAAGTAAATTACTTCAATGTATTATCTTTTTAACATGTGGAAAATGTAAATCTGAATTTGATGGGGGTCTTCACTTGTAATTTGTAAATTATGATTTCTGGTTAACACATACTCTGTATTAGTTTGGTTTAAATTTCATATTCTGAAATCAGCTTTACACTAGTTTTGTTTAAAAGATATTAAAAATATTATTCGTAAAGGTGTATTAACTAGTGTTATTCTCGAACTTACTCCGTAAACTTGAACAACATTCAATAGTCCACATTCGCACATGTCAAGAAATATTGTAGTGGCCCCACACAACTCGACGACCACCCATCTTGAATAACCTGTAATAGAAAGAGAAAAAAGTTTTAACTAAAAGAACCTCTATGATCATTGTATGAGCAAATAAAAATATTAACCTTTGATTCTTTGAAATTCATGGATTTCTTCCGTCTGAACTGAATTTGCTCAGAATTGAAATTCGATGACATCTCAGGACACATTACAATACATGCGTCCGTGATAAGATTCGTAAAAAAATTGTTTAAAAAGCTTGGCTGCTACAGATGAAAGAAGAAGGTTATACACATCTTTCTTGTTCCTCACGTCCAACAATTTTTTTGAGGCCAAATCATTGAGCTCCGCTTTCAGTTGTGCCTTAAACTCCTTGAAGACGTCGACTAAAGTAGCAATTGGCGTATGTTTTGCCCTCACACGAGTGGCGGCCTGGAGCAACTGCAATGCTAGCACAATTAAGTAGTTTGCTCTCGCGCCAAAATGTTCTCTATGAGTATTAGCTGCAGCTAAAAGTTTTGTAGCAATACATGGTGAACGAAGCTCCATGTTAGAATGTTCTTCTGAGAAACAACAAATTTACAGAGTCATGCATTTTGCATTGTATACAATACAGATCAATATTATGTTGTGATTAAAAAATTAGGAATGGCTATTGAGTACCCACAAGAAGAAAAAATTGTTTTTTTGAACTACAAAGAAACAAAGCTTTTATGAGAACTAAAACGCTGACGAGTCTTTTGCCCCTCGGCTTTCTTTCCCTCTAAGCAAAAAACTCGTCAACTTTTCTTCTCTTTTCGTCCAATTTCTTTTTACATTTCCATCTATCCAAATCCCCACGATATCTTTCTTTATTCTACATGTAAGATCATTCGCAGTACATGATCCGTCGTGGCAAGATCATTCAAAAGCTTCGTTTCTTTGTAGTTCAAAAAAGACAATTTTTTTCTTCATGTGGGTAATCAATAGCCATTCCTAATTTGTTAATCGCAACATAATATTGATCTGTATAGTATACAATGCAAAATGTAGGACTCTGTAAATTTGTTGTAGATCATCTATTCTCAGAAGAACACTCTAGCATGGAGCCTTATTCACCACGTATTGCTGTAAAACTTTTAACTGCAGCTAATACTCAAAGAGAACATTATGGCATGGGAGCAAACTACTTAATTGTGCTAGCATTGCAGTTGCTCGAGGCCGCCACTAGTCTGACGACAAAACCAAAACATGTGCAGTATGCTACTTTAGTCGCCGCCTTCAAGAAGTTTAAGGCACACGTGAAAGCGGAGCTCAATGTTTTGGCCTCAAAATAATTGTTGGACGTGAGGAACAAGAAAGATGTGTACAACCTTCTTTCATCAGTAGCAGCCAAACTTTTTAATCAAATTTTTTTCACGAATCTTATCACGGACGCATGTATTGCAATGTGTCCTGAGATGTCATCGAATTTCAATCTTGAGCAAATTCAGTTCATACAGAAGAAATCCAAAAATTTCACAGAATCAAAAGTTAATATTTTAATTTCCCCATTCAATGATCATACAGGTTCTTTTAGTTAAACTTTAATTTGTTTTCTCTTTCTATTACAGGTTATTTGAGATGGGAATTCTGCGGTCGTCGAGTTGTGTGGGCCCACTACAACATTTCTTGACATGTGCGAATGTGGACTATTCAATACAGTTCAAGTTTACGGGGTAAGTTCGAGAATAACACTAGTTAATACACCTTTACGAATAATATTTTTAATATCTTTTGAACACAACTAGTGTAAAGCTGATTTCAAAATATGAAATTTAAACCAAACTGATACGGAGTATGTGTTAACCAGAAATCATAATTCCTTTTTCAGAGGGGCAAAAAGACTATTTTATCTTTGTAATTAAAATAAAATGAAGCAGTTGAAGATAAAGAGAAAAATCAAAAATTGAGTAAATCGAAACCCATTTCAACTTGATTGTACGTGAGTAGGTTCTAAACTGAAAAATATGCACCAGACCGCCATTCACAGAAATCGATGTCCATCGTCTTGTTGTTTCCAGGCAAAGAACGATCATTATACGGATTCAGATGATTCCCAAAACAGATCCGCTGACAAAGACTTCCCAGAAAAAACGTATCATTTGAATAAAGACGAGGATAGTCCTACCGATGATACTACTAGGCCGAGTCGGCCGAAGAGAATGATGATGATGAAGATGGTGGCTCTGGTACTACCGATGACGAAGATGATGGCTTTGAGACCTGACGTGACATATTTCAACTGATAAAAAATAATTCAGTCAACGTGTGGCACATCGGTGTAATGACAAACTTTACATTTCCATCCATCCAAATCCCTACAATATCCTTTGTAATGACAAAAATGATGTCTTGCCACTGCAAAGTTTGTCATTCCACTAATGTGCCACACGCTGACTGAATTATTTTTTATTGGTGTAAATATGCCACGTCAGGTATCAGAGCCACCATCCTCATCATCATCGGTACTAGAGCCGTCATCTTCATCGTCTTCCTCGGCAGGCTTGGCATAGTAGTACTCCATTTATCAACGATTGGACTATCCTCGTATTTATCCAAATGATACGCCTTTTCTAGAAAGTCCTTGCCAACAGCTCTGTTTTGAGAATCATCTGAATCCGTATCGTTCTTCGTTCGGAAACAAGATGATGGAAATTGATTTTCGGGAGTGATGGTCTGGTGCGTTTTTTTAGCTTGGAACTCACTCACGCACAAACAAGCAGAAATGGGTATAGATTTACTCAATTTCTGATTTTTCTCTTTATCTTCAACTACTACATGTTTATTTTTACTTACAAAGATAAAATAGACCTTTTGCCCCTCAACTTTCTTTCCCTCCAAGCAAAAGAATCGTCAACTTTTCCTCTCTTTCCACCCAATCTCTTTTTACATTTCCATCCATCCAAATCTCTACAATATCCTTCGTAATTCCACGTGTAAGATCACCCGCAGTACATGATCCGTCGTTTGCTCCGAAACATAAACATCAGAGTTCTCATTATCAAAAGTGAAATCACATTCATTGTCCATCAAAGTATCATTAACTCCCTTTTGATCTTCATAAGATATCCATTCAGTGGGGTTTGAAAGTGGAGTAGGCAAAGGCATGCTCAGATAAGTTTTATCTCCTCCTGACATTAGTTAATAGGTACTGAAATTGTTGGACTTGGGATATTCTGAACCTTCCACTTCTTTGGCCTCTTCTTTCAACCTAGCAAATCAATAGCTTGTGCTATCCCAGTAGGTTTGAAGGGTTTGACAAACAATTTAACACTTGGGTTCAGCCCTTCAATAAAACAGTCAAGTATATGAGAATCAGGTTGGTAGTGACAATGCTGAACCAATTCAGACCTCCAATCTTCAAATTCATCAATGTAGGATGCAAGAGATCCATTTTGTTCTAGTTTCTTAAATTGTTCTACAACACTATACCATCGTCATCCCTGAATTTGGAACTTAAATCCATGATGAATTCATGCCATGAAACATACTTCTTAAAAGACATATAGCTACTAATCCAAATTTCTGCCTAATCCACCATATGCAAACTAGCTATGTCAACCCACTTCTCATCGAGAATTTCACATTGGCTCCGTTTGGTACACAGAATTCAAACCATGGAATTGGAATTGGGGACAACAATTCCAATTCTATTGTTTGGTAACACAAAAATATGTGTATTTGAAATTGGTAGTGCCAAAAATGAATTGGAATTGGAGAATTCAATTCCGTCGGAATTTCAATTTCCAATTCAATTCCAATTCCATCAATTCCGTGTACCAAACGGACCCATAGAGTAAAGTACTTACAAGCTTTCTTAATCCAAATTCTGGTGTTGCTGCCATCGAATTTGGGAAATTCCAGATTTGGATTGAAGTTGAGAGATGTAGCATTCCATTGCCTGCCTTCACCACCTGACGAGGAATAGACTTCCTTCTCCTTGCCTGATTTTGTTCCCGATTTCTTCAGGATTAACATGATCTGATCCAGCTTCATGTCTTGAGCGTTGATCTTTTCTTCGATTCCTGTAAATTTGTCTTCCATGATCTTCAATTGAGCTTCCATGGCTACACAATTGCGATCTTGATTCAAACGTAGGCTAGCGATCGTGAATCGAACATGAAACAGGCTCCGATACCAATGTTACAGCAAGAAGATCTTGCTAGAGGAAATGAACAGGGAGGCTGGTAATCGTCTAAGATTTTTTTTTTGGATTTTAACTCTTAACACGTTTCTTTGAGTTTCTTTTTTTATTTGAATTTCTTCTAATTTCAGTTTCTTCTAATTTTTCTTATTTTTTTTTAAACTTTTTTTTACTTCCCAATCAAATACTTTATTTAAATATGATACTTTCTCCGTTCCAAATTATAATGTCTTTTCACTATTCACAGGGTCAAACTTTATTCACTTTCTTTCTCAATTTTCGTTAGCAAATTGATAAAATAAAGTACTATTGTCATTACTAGTTTTGTAGATCTTTTGATGTAGTATTTTAATATGTAATTTTTATTTTTTAACTATATGCCATTTGTCATATAAAATGATTTGAAAATAATTTCAGTCAAACATCGTAAACCGAAATAGACGTTATAAAATGGGACGGAGGGAGTATGTTTTAAATGTAATTATTATTATTAATATTACAATTATAATGTTCATAACTATAGTTTATAAATTATTTTTTTTATCACACTATTTTTACGATTTACACTCGTTATTATTTTTTATTCAACTTTTAATATGATAAAAACAATTTTTTGTATATTGATCTACATGATAAAATAAATAAACATCAATATTTTAAACTATAAGAAAAAATTATGGACAAAATAGTTACATAGAATGTTTTATTAATATATCTTTATATAAGACCCCTCACCGTTCTCTATTACTCAAATTTTTCTCATTCTTATTTATTTCAAAGTTTGATTTTGTTTTTTATTTTTCTAATTTATTTCAAAATTTGAAAGTCAAAATAGTTTAAGAAAAAGACTAAAATAGGAGTAAAATATAAAAAAAAGTATAAAAATAAAAGTTCATTGTCTTTATTCCAAAAATAAGAGTTACAATGAAAATAAAATAACAATCATGCAAGAAAATAGGTTTGATTACATTATGTGACATGTCTGATATTTAAAACAAAATCATGTAATATATAAAGTATAATAGTAAAAATATATTATTTTATAATAAATACTGCATAAATAAATTGAGGTGCAAGTAACCAAAATAACTTTTTAAAATTTAACATTTTAATATTTATGTTTTTTGCAAAAGTAGTACGAGTAGTTTTTTTGTCTATGCAAAATAACAATACGTTTTTATGTTAAAAGTATTCATTAAAATAATGTGATAATGATGATGATGATGATGATAATAATAATAATAATAATAATAATCACATTTAAAGTTTTTCCAATTTTTTTAAAGTTTTCCAGTTTCTTTCTGTTCATTCCATTTTCTTCCAATTTCTTCCAACAAATAACTCTTTTTTTCTAGTTCTAAAGAACAACTCTGTGAAAGAGAGAGTGCAAGAGAGAAGAATGCTAATTTTTTTATTCATGTCTCCGGAAATTTTTTCCCCTAAAAACACAAGAAAGTATTTTCTGAAAAAATTTAACTAATAATGTTACCAAATGTAGAAAAATGGAATTAAAGTTTTCCTGAAAAATATTTCATCCAAACCAAACACATCCTAAATTGAATCTAATTTTACTAAATTTAGTAATTCACTTACTAATCAAATTAAATATACATTTTTCACAATTCACGGTAAACATGTTACATAATTTGAGAATTTTTTTAGATGAAAAAAGAATATAACGAGTGGTTGCATTTCAATTACAAAGTTGGGTAAAATATCTTTTTAGTCCCTACAAAATAGATGTGTTTTTGTTTTGGTCCCTATAAAAAATTATTTACTTGATTCATCTTTGCAATTCATTCTTTTTTCTATTTGGTCCTTAAACGTCATTAAGTTTTCTAACTAATAAATTGGCATCCAAAGTGCCTACTCAACATCAAAATCCACTACTTTAATAAGCTTAGTGGATTCCAAAGTAATTCAAACACTAATTTGAACTCACTCATCTTATGTTCGAATTAGGGTTTGAAGTCCACAAGACTAGAAAGCCTAACGATGTTTAAGGACCAAATAGAAAAAAGAATGAATTGCAAGGATGAATTAATTAATTAAAATATAGGGACCAAAATAAAACACCCCTATTTTGTAGGGACTAAAAAGTTATTTTACCCTTAATTATTTCTAAATCATTTTGCTTGCTTGCTTGAATGAAGAGAATTGAGTTTTAAGTCTCTTTGAATTGAGACTTTTACTCCAACAAGTATGACTTTTTTTGCTGCAAATTCTAATCTTTTTTTGCTGAGAAATCTTGGGCATGTTTTGGAGTAAATCCCCAGCCCAGATCTAAGAAAAAAAATCATTTTTTACTAAAAGTTTTGATCTTTAATCTTTTTGCTTTGATCTAAAGTTTTAATCCATCTTTTTTCCCCCGAAATCTTTTTTTTTTTTGGCTGAAGATTCATTTGTTTTACTGAGAATTAAATCCTTTATGCACACGTGAATGGAGATTTTGTGTGAAATTTACACTAAATAGGACTAAAACATAATAACTTTCTTAATGTAGGACTTAAACTTTTTTATTTCTTAAATAGGACTTAATAATGACCTAGTGGAAGGAATAATATCCAGTAATGATGAACATTTAGTTGAATAATGACTACTTGATAATGACCAAAGGTCCTACATTGGGAAATAAAAACATATGGTCCTATATTGGGAAAGTCTTTATGTTTTAGTCCTATTTAGGCCAATTTCTCTTTTGATTTTCCAATGAGATTTTTGATACGCATTGATGTTCTATTCATTATGTGGTATGTCTTGCATACAAGGAGCACAAAAAACTTACAACAATTCTGACAACAATTCAATTAGGGCCCTTATGTTCTATTCGTCAAATGGATTATTTCTATCTTCCTATCCCATGGTAAACCTCTCATTCTGACCCGGTCCTAACACACCTCCGCATCCCCTCCACTTTTTATTTTGTTGACTTCGTGGTCAAATTTTTGACCAAAATGAAAAGTGGTGCAATTGAAAGGGATGCAGAGGTGCGTTAGTGTCGGGCCAAGATGGAGGGTAGGAACAATTAGTTTTACAAACGGATCACCGTAGGTGCTCCGATTGTAAGAATTGTTGTAGGTTTTTGTTGTGAGAATAACGGGCCACAAAGTGATGGACAATTGTTGTAAATTTTGTTGTTGTAACATTAAGGCTCCTATATTTAGGTGTGTGTGTGTGTGTGTGTGTGTGTGTGTGTATCCTGATTGTGAAGACTAATAAGTTGCAGCTTAGTGCCCAAGAGGACAGCATGAAAAGCTAGAGTCTATTGAATACCATCATGAACACTTAAAGTGGATTATAATCACTGGATTTGCAGGCACCAAATATCAGATTGAGTGCTGCAAATATTTTGAAGTCGCATGCAGCTGAAGCAGGGTACAAAAGCCATCCATTGAGTGAAGAAGAGCGCGAAAGTGTAGTCAATACACCGAAAGCATTTTCAAATGATGTGAAGGTGTTCTTCGTGAAGTAGCCTTTACATGGGATGCATCATCTTTCACGCCGCCTCCCGCCCTCCATTTGAAGGGAACCCTGTCTTATTCTCAAGTAATTCTTGAACTTGATTACAAAGTTATCTTCTTCTTTTTTTTTAGTTTATTGAAATTTAGTTTGTATCAGGTGTATTAGAGTTCATTCTTTATCCTTTTTTTAGTTTATTGATCCGGGGTCTCTTGGAAACAACCTCTCCACTTTAGGGTAGGGGTCTGTGTACACACATCCTCCAGACCTAATCTCATGATATTCAATTGGATTGTTGTTATTGTTGAACTTTTTGCAACCTTGTCATGTGAGACGGCGGGATGCTGACGCCCTTGTACGGAGATGCGAGAGGATTACGGTTATCAGGGGAAGAGGTAGACCTAGGAAGAATTGGAAGAAGGTGATTAGGCAGGATTTAGGACTTCTCACCCTGACTGAGGATATGACCTTAGATAGGAGCTTTTGGAGAACTAGGATTAGAGTAGCTGGATAGGATTTCGGTGTTGTAGAGGTTGTTTTGTAGTGTGTTGTGTTTGTTTAGAATCTTTTGCTATTGCTTGTACTTGGTGCTTTATCCGTATTATACTGTGTTCCCTTCCATATTTTTGTGCATGTGGACCCAGGGGTCTCTTGGAAACAGCCTTCCTACTTCCGAGTAGGGGCAAGATCTGCGTACACACACCCTCCACAGACCCTACTGTAGTGGGATTCAACTGGGTTGTTGTTGTTGTTGGTTTGTTTTAGTACTAGGTTGATTTTGTTTCTTTGTAACCATATAGTTTATTTATCTACTTGGCTTTTATCCATTTTTTAAAATCATTTGTTGTCATTTTACATCAACTCATTTACTCTTTATGCAATTTTTTGTTGCCATCTTTTGAACTTATATCCACATATGGTAATGAATAATCCTGCTATACAAAAAATTACTCTGAGGTGTTGTGGATTTTGTTGAAATAATTATGAGGTCCATGTATTTTCAAGAAACCATTAGCAACCTCTGTTAGTAGAGGAATTTTTTGGTAGAAATAAGAGTGAAATGGTAAAAAAACGGGTATTACTTGTAGTTGCGTAGTATATTTTGAGAAAATTTTAAATTTTTTTTCTCCACATTTGGTTGCACAGGTAGTAAAAAATCCTTTTTTAAGAAAATTATTTTCTACTCGAAAAGGAGAAAATGAATTTAGTTTGATTTGAACGAAAGTTTATTTTATTACTACTCACTCATCGGGTCCTTTCGTTTCTTGAACAAAACAAAGACCCCCCCCCTCAAGCCCCAGAAAATGGAGCTCTACAATTGAGATTTGGTACTGATCCGATAAAAAAACAAAATACATTGCCGAAAATATTTTTAAATTGTAAAAGATCTTTATAAAAAGTTCCCTTTCTAAAATATTCAAATATCAAGAATGTAGTAATAGAAAAAAAATTCTCTTTCTAGAAAATAATGAACAATGATTTTTAGATCAAATTCTTCTTACCAAACCATCAAAAAAGTGTGGGAAATTTATTTTCATGAAAATCATTCTTCCATAGAAATTAATTTTCCACGAAAAATATTCCTCCAACAAAATACTCTTGAAAAAGATGCATGAAAAAGAGAGTAAAAATAAGTGTTATAATTCCAACCTAAATAATAAACTACTCCCTCCGTCCCGTTTTAAATCGTCTGTTTTGACTTTTGGACATATTTAAAGAAAAGAAAAAATATAATTGATTTTTTGAAATTGTCATTACTTTTTAGAAGGAGTAACTATGAATTAGAAGATAAGGTGAAGAAGGGTGACTTATTTTAGGGGTAGTTTGGGTATTTTATTTTTAAAAGTTTACGATAACAACTAACAGGCAACTTATTTTGGGACGGAGAAAAAAGGTAAACAGTCAATTTAAATTGAGACAAAGGGAGTATTAAACAATACAACAATCCCACTTCCACCTTCTGTGGCTGCTGGTCTCAATCAATATGTTACATAATGCAAAGAAGACAGATTAAAATGATTTCAGCACAAAATGCTTACCGTCCGCAACCATTGAAGAGACCATTATACCCCTTTTCCACAAGGGAATCACAGATACCTCATCCGTATTTCCCGCATTTCTGGATGCAAGAGGAAAAGAATGAGGCAAAGCATTGATGAAACCAAAGCCGGCTCCGGGCTTCTCTTGTTTGGGACAACTTATCGCCATCGACCTGAATTTAAGGTTATCACCAAGAATATGGTGGTTGGCATTAGGTATGAATGATGATAAAAGTTCATGTAAATAGACCTAAAAGCCGATTTGGTCTACTCACTATAGACTATTACTTAATTTGGTCATACATTTTTTTAAACTCGATTTCGTAGTCGGCTATGCGATGACAAATTTAGGGTCTGTTTGGTTAGCGATATGGTTCTCATATACCAGAACCCTTTTGTGGTGTTTGGTAAAGCCCAAAAAAGGTTTAAATTTGATATCTCTCGATTTTTCGGTCTTTCCAAATGAGTGTGCTTTGATATCTCCCAAATTCGGGAGAATATGGTGGGTTACATTATAAACAAACGTTAAAATGTACTCTAAATAGAGCCAATAGCTTTTTTAGTCGATTCAGTATACATTTTTTTTTATTCGGGCATGCATATATTACTAGAAGTTTAGAACAATATAGGATCAAGGACACTTTCAAACAAAAATGGAAGGTGAAGTTTAGGAGAGGTCATACATGGTGGCTGAATGCCCGTATGCAGACATGATAAAGCCTTGACGTTGCTTGTGCTTGGGATTAGCTGAGCATATAACATATATTACCCCATTTCGCCTTATTGTGCGGCAAAATGAGCACATTTTCTTCACAGACGATCGCACCTTCATGCCTGTCACTCACAACAATGACAATGACAAAGATTAAATGAATAACTATATCTATACCTGCTACAACGATAACAACAAACCCAGTAAAATTTCACAAAATAACACGGTTTCGAGAGGAAATGTGTAGGCAGACTTTACGCTTCCATGAAAGTAGAGTGGTTGTTTCCAACACAACAAAAGAATAAATAAAGTTAACACTCAATATAGAGAATGAAAAAGAAGACCAGAGAGTCGGTATTCAATCACTCAATATCATAAATGAAAGAACCTACATATGGTTTGCACGCAATGGAAGAGAATCAAAGATTCATTTGTCAAACTATATCTGGTTCAATGATAATAGATAAATCCCATTTTATAACATTATTTTGAATATTATAGGGTTATTTAGAGAACTCTCAAGAACACTCTAGCAAATACAACGAGCAAACTCAGCAAAGCAATCTATTCATAAACGTGTGAAACACTCCCTTCGTTCCAAAATAAACATGAGTCTTTGACTTCATGAAGCTTAAGAAAAAACATCTAAAAATGAAAAATGTGTGATTAAAATTTGTATGAATGTGGAAGAATGTATAAATATTTTCCAAACAAAAACCCTATAGAAACTCATAACACCAAAAAGAAGCAATTCACCATAACCAAATGCCCACTCACTCCCTGCTTTACACTCCAATTTGCTTTTCACAAGTCCTACACAATATTTAAAGACAATAAAATTTTTTGATTGAGACTAAGTCAGAAATAAGATAATTAATGTTCTTTTAAAAATAAAGGGAAATGGTAATCAGCCCTAAAAAAGAAAAATGAAAAGACAAAATGGTATGAACAGATTGAAACCCAGAATCCATTACAAAGTTTAGTTGCGCAAGATCGATCCGATATCAAATAACCTTAAAATTCTCGATTATATAATTTCCACAAGCCGCCTCAAACCCATTAAGTCCCACAAAGATTTAGAGAGAAAAAAATCAATTCTTTATGGTCACAGAATAATTTTAATTTTTTTGTTTGAGGGGTATGGTCACAGAATATAATAATATGCATATGTACAATAAATAAAATCCATATGCACAGTGAGAAAGGCAGAGAGATAGAGCCGAAGTACCTCAAAAATTTTGCAAGGATGGATAATCAAATATAAGTACTATTAATCGTGAAATTAATATTCTGAAATTCACATCCGCATCGATTTTGTGAAATTAATATTCTGAAGCTTATTGGGGTAGCGGCGGCTATGTAGGACGGTGGAGACGATGCAGGGCGATGATTGATTGATTGGGATGGTGGAGACGATGCAAGGCGGCGATTGGGATGGAGGAGGAGGCGGCGGCGGCGATTGGGATGGAGGAGGCGGCGGCGGCGGCGATAGAGGAGGTGATGGAGAATGAGGATGGTGGAGGGGATTCAGGGACGAGGGAGGGGGAAGGAGAAGAAGAGCAGAAGAAAGAAATTGCACAATGAATATGATGGAAGAAGGAAAAGATAGAAGGACAATTAGGTCATTTCTCTCCACCCGATTCGGATTGATTTGATTATAATAAGTTTTGATCTGATCTGATCAAATTTGAATGTAATTATATCTAAAGATATTTCTAATTTGATCAGATTTGATCTAATTTCAATATGAATAAATAATATGTGAAAAATAAGTTGAGAATAAAATAATCTTAGTTTTATAATATCTGAAAAAAGTTTAAATTAGTCCTAATATTAAATCAAATCAATTCATGCAACATTTCGTTCAAGTAATTTATTATAATTCTTACTTATTCAGTTATTCTTATTAAAATCAAATCAGATTAGACCATATCAGAAATTACTTTAATTATAAAATACAATCAGATCAGACCAGGTCAATTTAGATCAGATCAGATATTCAAAAATCATATCAGATCAGGATTGTTGGTAATGTGTTGAATGCACTATAAGACTAGGGTATACGCCTTTTCTAACACTAATTAATTTTAGAAGAGTTGGTAGTTTCTGAGGTTCTACAAATGATATTGGATCCAAGGTCACGAGTTTGATTCCCAGCGGAAGCAATTGCTGAGGGCGAGATTGTTGCTCATGTATGTATCAATTATCCCGTAGCGGAGACTATGTGGGTCGAGCGTTTGTGTGCTGAATGCACTATAAAAGACTAGGGTATGTATGTGCATCTTCGGGTGAATTCCCAATCAGTGCAATTTTTGAAAAACCATTCCCAAATGGTGAAGGAGAGTCTAACATTGCGCAGAGTGGTCATATTTAAGCATTAACGGGACTGCTAGTACCGTAATTTTATTTTTTTTAGATTAACGGTACAGCCAGTACCGTTAATCTATTAGTTATTTATAATTACGAAATTAAATACATCCCTTTGTTAGATATTGGCATTAAATTTGAACAATAATAAAATTTTTATTAATTTGATGCACTACTATTGAAATAAAAAGCATACAAATAAAAGTTGTCGTACATATATAAAAACCCCACATTGAAATTTATAATTTAACTAAGTTCCCCGACGATGTCTTCGTGCTCGCATATCCATATTATTTGTGAAACGAGTACTCACTGGCCGACCGGCCTGTGACTTTTGCCCTGTAAATGGATGGACTAATTCATAACCAAGGGTAGGCCATTCAATTTCGTTTTGTAGTGGCATAACACTTCCAGAATATGCATCAAGATAATTCTGATGTGAAAACACTCGTGGGATGAGATCATCAACAGTAATGTTGCAATAACGACATACGGCATAGACATGCACACATGGCATGTGCAATGTGGCCCATTTCCCGCAAGTGCACAATTTTTGGCCCAGATGCACGACAATCTCATCTAATCTACCGGTAGCTCCAGCGTTACCCTCAACAACGACCCGATAAATCCCTTGTTGCGGATGATGTGGGATAACATGACAATGTAAACGATGGTCTTCCATGCGTCTCACCTCGTTCCAAATATATTTTGGGAACTTAAATCCCGCTTGTAGCCATGTAAATCCGTTTGTACGCCTTTCTGCAAATAATTTTACTAATCCCTCGTACGTCGTCTTCACAATGGCATATACCGGAAGAGATCGGCATCCCTTAAGCACGTGATTGTAGCTTTCTGAAAGATTAGTGGTCAGGATTCCATATCCATCCTTGTATTTGGGATATTTTCCCCAAATGTTTTTGATGGAATTGAGATTATCTTCACCAATAGCATCAAGGAGTTCATTGAAGACCTCCTCGAATGAGATATCAAGATAAAAAACAAAGGCCTTGTTTGAATGCAATGAGTACTCCACCTCATTGTTCTTGATCATTATCTCACCGTTCCAATGGGCTAGCAAGACAAAACTACCATCAGAGNACGCCTTTCTGCAAATAATTTTACTAATCGCTCGTACGTCGTCTTCACAATGGCATATACCGGAAGAGATCGGCATCCCTTAAGCACGTGATTGTAGCTTTCTGAAAGATTAGTGGTCAGGATTCCATATCCATCCTTGTATTTGGGATATTTTCCCCAAATGTTTTTGATGGAATTGAGATTATCTTCACCAATAGCATCAAGGAGTTCATTGAAGACCTCCTCGAATGAGATATCAAGATAAAAAACAAAGGCCTTGTTTGAATGCAATGAGTACTCCACCTCATTGTTCTTGATCATTATCTCACCGTTCCAATGGGCTAGCAAGACAAAACTACCATCAGAGACCATTTTTTGGTAAGAGGTTGTGAGAGAAGTGAGTAGATATGTGAGAGTTAAGCAAGAAATATATAGATGGGATATTTTTTTAGTTGGGTGGATTGAATGGTGTAGGATTGTTTGTAGTGTATTGTGAGATATTTTTTAAGTTGAGTGGATTGTATGGTGCTGGATTGTTTGTAGTGTAATGTGAGATTTTTTTTAGTTGGGTGAATTGAATGGTGTAGGATTGTTTGTAGTGTAATGTGAGATATTTTTTTGTTGGGTGAATTGTATGGTGCAGGATTTTTTGTAGTGTAATGTGAGTTTTTTTTAGTTGGGTGGATTGAATGGTGTAGGATTGTTTATAAAGTATTGTGAAATATTTTTTTAGTTGGGTGAATTGTATGGTGCAGGATTTTTTGTAGTGTAATGTGAGATTTTTTTAGTTGGGTGAATTGAATGGTGTAGGATTGTTTGTAGTGTAATGTGAGATTATTTTTAGTTGGGTGAATTGAATGGTGTAAGCTTTTTTATAGTGTAATGTAGACATTTTTTTAGTTGGGTGAATTGAATGGTGTTATATTGAAAATTATACAAATTAATATCTACCCAAATTTAATACAATAATCCAAACTAATAGAAGAATAAAAAGTTTTTATCATCCAAATTAATACAATAATAAAAAAAATTAAAGTATGATAAATGGATGGTCATCTAAGAAGTACAATAAATGGACGGGCCGTTTAAGAAAAGGTGCGCCGGTGCTAGTACCGAATTGAGGAGAAGGGGTGGTTTTGGATAGAAAATTACAGTATTATTTTTGGATTAACGGTACAGGCAGTACCGTTAATTGATTTAAATTTTTTTTAAACTTTACGGTACAAGCAGTACCGTTAAAATCTTTTTCCACCTGACAGCACTGAATGAGAATGCTTTTTCCCTATCGTCACTGAACGGGAATTAATTCTGCATCTTCTAATGGTTTTAGAAGAGTTGGTAGCGTCTGAGGTTCTACAAGGCGAACAGAACACTACGTTACTTCTTTTACAATTTATTTTTGTTTAATTAGATTTTTTATTCACTTGTTTCTTATATATTGTCTCAAAATTTTAATGATAACATCAAATTTTACTACATATGATATAAAACTGTTGTATTAACATATTAAGTCATACTTGTTTTAAAAAAACATTTTTTAACTTTAACAAAATACATTTATTTGTTTTCTTATAAGAAAAAAATTAGGGATAAAATATTTTGTTATATAATGACTTAAATTAGAGTAAAAGTATGAATTATTATGTTAAACAATATTTCCACGTCTTTTATAGTAAAATTTGAGGTCATCATTAAAAATTTAGGAAAATATATAAGAAACAAGTAAAGAGAAGGACTTGATTAAACAAAAATAAATAGTACAAGAACTAAATTGATTCAATTTTGAGTACAGTATAATTTGATCATTTTTAAATACTACATGAACATTTACAATACTTTATCCAAAGATTGAAGTATATATTAAAAAATGACTTCCTCTCTTGCGTATTGCTATTCAAATATAGGTATGGACCGTGTGGACAAAAAAACAACAATCTAGCCATTAGGTTCGGACCAAATTCGGATCAAATGAATTTCGAGTCAATCTTCGATCTAAAAAATTTAGTCAATCAAATTTTGATTCGATCTAATCCAAATCCGAAATAATTTAGATCCGGAATGATTGGACCGAATGGGACTAAAAAACCTTATTCAATCTAAAAGATCTAAACACAAAATTCTATTTTTTATATTGGGTATTACACGGTGGTCTTAAGTTTTAGAGTAATAGATATCTTAATTTGTTTAATTAACAAAGTTTTTTTACTAAGTACGGAGTAACACTTTCTAGAATTTTTAAAAATAGTTTACATTAGTTTTTTTTAATTATACATAGAATTAGTCCATGTTATGTATCTATTTTTAATTTGCCCATTTCTTCTTATTTTTTTCGTATTTGCAGATTACAAATTAGAAAGCCTAAAATATAACTAATATATCGAAATAAATATAGAATATTTCCTTATTTGGTCTAGTCAATCTGAATTGGTTATATCGTGAGTATTTCAGTCCAGTTTGATCCAAATCCAAAGAGGTCTAAGGCTATGCCTGCTTTCTCTTCGCCTGATTTGATCTAACATGAACTGAACTTTTTAAGGCTGATCAGATCTGAATAGATCTAATCCGATCGGAATAGGTTTAATTCAAATAATAATAATTAATATTATATAATTAATCATAATTTAATATTAATTACTATTAATAATTATTATTAACCACTATAAATTGTTATTATTAATATAGTGCAATAATAATTTTTATTATTATTATTAACATTATTATTATTATTATCATAATCAGTTTAGTAATTATATCTAATAATATTATTATAATTATCATTCTTATTCTTATTATTATTGTTATTAATGTTAAGTGTTATGATTATTAATGATGATTATTATTAATTATAACGTATGATAGTAATATTAATAAAAAATAATTTATTATTAAATATTTTTAATAATAATTATTGATTTTATTACAATAATAATATTTATTTTAAATAATTGTAATTTTAATTATTAATTATTATTACTATCAATATTATTTTAATAATTCTATCAATTATTATTATAATTCTTAATAAGTATTGTGATTAATAATGATGATTATGATTATTCATTATAATTTATTATAATAATTATAACAATAATAATGATTTATTACTAATTATTTTATCAAAAATAGGAAAAAAAGGAACACTTAAACATAAATATGTGTTAAAATCTAATCTAATTCCTTCCTTTGAGGAAAAAAAAAGGAACACGTAAAAATAAATAATATGTATATAAATCATACTCCGTATTATATTGACAAACCTAATACAACACATAATTATATATATGTAATTTTTTTATATATAAGTAAATCTATAAAAGTTTTTTTTTACAAGAAAATGCGTTTGTCAAATATTGTTCATCAACAGCTAATAGAATTGATCAGTCAAAACACTTAACTGAATAAGCCTTTCAAATCCGCCATCACAAACAACTAGCAAGCAACTGTTATCTTCCAAACAAGGCCATTGTGCTCTTCATTGCTATTATTCTATTAATCAATATATGAGAAATATACTAAATCTCCTCTTTTCTTGAAGTCCAGATAAAACCGCTTGAGTTTTCCCATCAAGTCTTCATATTCTTATCAAGATTCGTATAAATTGGTGTTTTCATTATTTTGAACTTTGAAAAAAGAGAAAAAGAATTGGAGTAGTGTGCCAAGCGTCAATCATCGGTTGCTTCACAATCTCTGTCAAGGAGCCAATTGCCACATAGCGTTCTACCGTATCGCCGTAGTAAGGTAATACTTTACATGTGTAAAACTCTATTTTTAGATTTATAGCATATGAGTAAAATCATTTTTGAACGCCCATTTATACATTTAAATTCAAAATATTACTTCTAGGTAGTCTTGATTTTCTGATAATAAGTGTCAGGTCTCACATTTCTGAAATATATTTTGAGGTTTCCCCGATTTTTTTGGTAAGAACTCCCCGAAGCTCACATTATCTGAAATATACTCCGAAATCTTTAAAATTTGTTACATTATACTCAAAGGATACATTATCTCAATTTAGGTGTTAGATTAAAAGTTTATTTACTTTGACAAATTGATAAATTTTATTTAAATTTAATAAAATAATAATTATGAATGTAAAGTTTAATATTTGTCAGAGTAACAAAACTTTCAATCATAAGGTCAAATTAACGGAATATATCTTCGGAGTACATTGCCACAAAATTTAAGGACCCGTGGAGTATATTTTAGATAATGTGAGACCTAAAAGTTCTAACCCAAAAAAACCAAAAGTACCCAAAATATATATAAGATAATATGACACATAAGAATTATTACTCGAAAATCAAGGGTACCTAGGAGTAATTTTCTCCATTTAAGTTTGTGGTCATTTCAGGGTTACAACTTTCAACCACATAAATAGATCAAGAAGAAAAAGAATTACTGATGGGCGGAGGAAAAAAAAGAAGAAAATATTAACCTTATTGAGGGGACTTTGCACAAATGAGGGGGTGAAATAGTCATTTCACAATTTCAATAGAAATGTGTTAATTGGTTTAGGCCTCTTTCCTTGAGGGCAGATGCGTAAATAGCCATTCTATTGGGTGGGATTTGTTGTGATTTTCCACTCTTCTTCAATGCTGAGTTTGACCACGAAATATGAGAAGCAAATGTTGACTTTTGGAAGTTATTGCAATGCAGCCTCCTATATTCTTGGTTATTTTCACTTGGCTCCACGACATCTTTTGCAAAGTGCACCCTCTTCTTTTGGCTTCTTTCCTTTTTTTTATCTGCACAAAAATTCTTAGAGTTATTTCACCTAGAAAATATAATATGAAATTTATGTGGAGCAAACGTGAAATACCAGTCATTTTATTTTTCAAAAGATTTACTTAGTGAAGCAGTCATATCTTAATTATGAATTCACCTTAAGCGAATCTCACTAATTAAAGATGTTCTAATTGTTAAATTTTATTCTCACAAATCTATACTCCGTGCTTTATTATTTTTCTCTAAATTAAATTAGCATTTTCTTTTTCTCGGTCGTAAAATTAAATTGTCCATTTCTCAAAATTTTCTTTAAAATAAAATGTGATTCTTGTAACAACTTTCTCGGTCGTAAAATTAAATTGTCCATTTGCTAATCATTAAAGGTCTCTTCACAACTGCGTTAGAGTTAACGTTTTGAAAAAAAGTGAGTTAACGTTTTGAAAAAAAGTACTCCCTCCGTCTCTGAAAACTTTTCTTAATTTTTTCATCCATACCAATAAACTTTTCTCATCTCTATTGAAAAGTCACTTTTACACTTATTAATTCTTAATTTACCTATCACACCATATCTATTCACTATTAATCTACCTACCAAATCTTATTTTTACTCATCACATCCAAGAACATTTTTAGAAATTCAACACCAAAATACACTTCCCTTAAATCTTTTAAAAAACAAAATCTCTCATGTTTTTAGGGAACGAGGGAGTATTTTATAGTAGCATTGACTTTTAGCATTTTTCTAAGTAAAAATATACCACCAAAATTTTATTCAAAATGCAAATTCCAATATAAAATTGCACTTTCTAAACAAGGCCTAATACCTTTTCTTAAATATCTGTTGTTATAAATTACTATCTCCGTCCCAGAGTATTTGTCCACTTTCATTTTTACACACCATCCAATACACTTCTTTAATTCATTTTATCTTGTAATTTGTATATTAAAAAATTATAAAAATTATATATTAATAATCTATATGTTAAGACAAATCAAACAAGATCACACATGACTATATTTAGGCTTACACAATGAGAGAATTTGATGAATCAAAGTGCTTAGATGAACAGTTCCAAAAGTCAAAAGTGGACGAATATAGCGGGACGGAGGGAGTAAAATTTAACTGAAAGATGGAAAAATATGAATAAATCCAATCCAAAAAGAAGGGAAAAGGCGTAAAGTGAAAGTTTCACATGCAGGGGATTCTAGAGGCCCCAAAGGAATATGCGGATCCACTAAAGCCAAATACTCCGTATAAGGTTCAAAAAAATCTTATCGGATATTAATATCGGTTAGGTTCATTTCAGTGGCCACGGAAGTGATTCCGTTTATAAAATTATTGATAATTCCTACTCCTGCTAACCTCCATTAAACCCACCATCGGGTTCCAATCCCAACCCATCCCCACTTACGTCAATTGCACCTTGTAAGTATAATTAACTTTAAAGTATTATGGGATGCAATTGACGTAGGTGTGGGGATGAGTTGGGATCGAGACTCGGCGGGATTGCCGGGGGTTTAGCAGGGATATGAATCATCAATTTTATGAACCACGTAGAGGCAATGGCTTCCGTGGCAGTGGCCACGGAATCACGCCGTATTAATATATACTCAGTAAATAAATTACTGTTAGTAAAAAAATTAGTTTAAGATTCTGAGTTTTTTAATTCTCGGGGGAATAGTAGTAGTTAAGTAAAATACATTCAAGTTAATTTCTCGTCCTAAATTATACTTTAATAATCATTTTCCCTTATTCAATTGCTATGTTCAAATTATTTTATCTTACACTTAAATTAATTCACCGCGGAGTAAATAATTAAGACATAATTAGTGAGAAATTAAAACCTGATGAAGAGATGCAGGAGCGAGGAAAATGGGTAGACGGCGGCGTCTTCCCGGCGCCGCCGGGAGTTTGTCTGATCTCCGATAGCGGCGGCATAAACCTGATCTGCAGCCGGCAAGCGAGGAGGACCACCGTGCCGGAAACCGCCATGGCCGTCGTCGCCAAAACCACCGCTCTAGAAGTCAACAACATGAGGCCGCCCGCCGCTTCAATTCCCAATTTGTCAAAAGATTCAATTGATTTTTAGAGAGAGAGAGAGGAAGCGTTTGGAAGAAAATTAAAGGAAGGGCGGTTGGTTGGGAAACTACGTGTGCGATTTCGCTTTTCTTTTAAAAACAAAAAGAGAAATGAAAAGGGAATATTAATGGAGGTCGAGTCAGTGTCATCTCACCAAACACGGCCTTAAGTTTACTTGGTTGGCTTGAGTTTGCTTCTTTGGAAGTTGGGACGGCCAATAAACGGCGAAAATTTAATACGGCCCCGCCAATTTCCTGGCCGTTCGTTTTAACGGTTTTCTAACCGTTCCCACATGGCAATGGGATCGATATCTAACTCTTTTTTTAAATACTCCCATTTTCCTAAAACATGATAATACATTTCAAAACAATGTATTGAAATAAATACTCCCTCCGTCCTATAATGATCTTCCCAGAGCACTATTCCAACTTCACGGGAATTTATATTTATTTGTGTTTTTTCATGGCCTATATGATAAAATAAAATATTCTTGTCACCACTTGTTTTGTTGAACTTCTGATGTAGTTTTTAAATATGTATGTTTTATTTTTTATTTCTATATCAATATTTAAATAAAATAGATTGAAAAAAACTTGGGATTTTTCTTCGTTTTGCGAACCGAGAAGATCATTATAGGACGGAGGGAGTATATTCATGATAAAAATTTATATGAAAACTCAATATAACTTTTTCGTAATAGAAATCATCCTAAATATGACTAAAACATAGAGAAAAGTATCAAAATAGGACTTTCATGTTTTTTTCCTGAAATAGGACTTTGGACTGTGGTAATGTGACTTTGCATTGTGGTAATGTGGCAGTGTACATGTGCAAATTACTATAATTTTTTGGTAATGTATATGACCATGTTTGCTAATGTAAGTCCTATTTCGGAAATAAAAACATGGAAATCCTATTTTGATATATTTTCAATGTTTTAGTCCTAGTTTGGTCTTTCTCCCTTTTCGTAATATGAGGTAAAAATTTAAATGTTTTGACTGTAAAATTTAACTAGAAAGTTAATTTGATGACGGGTGGAGTATTACGAAATAATATTTTAAAAAATCATTATATTATATTTTTAAAATCTTTTTGTTAACACCAAATGAAACCACAATGTTAAACGTTGACCAATTGTACACAATGAGTCCAAAATTTAGTTTAAACTTAGGCATTTTAAATTGGGCGTTGACTTATAATTTGAGACAAAATTACTATGGAGTGATTCTGACAAGAACATGTTATGTATTTTTAATAATAATTATAATAATATACAGAGTAATATGTAATGGTATTTGAAAAAATATAGTGGAGAAGGATACAATGATGTGGGTCAATGTTTCAAAATTTTGGAACTACATTGATGTTGCTGTGACAACTACTTTATGGTGTGATGAATCACTTCAAAACACAACACTAAATAATGTGTCATCATTTGTTAAATTATGGAGTAATACTTTCAAAAAAAGTGAAGATTTAAATTCAAAATATGTAAATTGGTGAATTTTGTGATTTTTTTATTTGTAAGACTAGCATTTTTTGTTTGTTGCAAGATACTCGAACAGCATGGATAATTTTTAAAAATGAGTCACTATTAACAAAAAAAACGAAAAATGTTAGGGGTACACCTTTGGTGTACCCCATATGTCCCTCACCCCCTCCTTGTCCACTAAAAAAGGGCAAAAAAATTTAAAAAAATAAGTAAATAAAAATCAAATAAAAATGTGTGGTGGAGAAGGGGGTGATGTAATTTGGGGTACACCTTTTGGTGTACCCCTAGCATTGCTCAAAAAATATATGTGGGTATCCTGACTTTGACACCACTTTTGACACGAAGCAAAAAAAAAGAAAATGTGTAATGATTATTAATGAAGGCTAATTATATAAATGGTATTGTCTTAATTCCATATTAATTCAACTAACCAATTTTTCTCCTCTCTAGCAATCATTTTTCTTTGTCCCCATTTCTCAAATTATTTTGTTCCATTAAAAAATGACATCTTTTGTCCCATTCAAGGAATTGTACACGCATCAAATTTACACCTTCGTCAAAGTAGTCTTATTTCTCCATCTCTCCTTTGGATTTTTACATAAAAATATTTTTCTTCGACAACTTATTACTTTTTTTCCCATGCTTAATCACTGGATTTTGGTTATCTACCCAATGCAAACCCAACATTTTATTCATGAAAACACACACACACACACACACATATAAAGTTGTGCTAATGAATTTTTTTTGTGTGATTAACTTTAATTTATGGTGTCACGGATACAAAGGTATTGGGGGAGCTATTTTCTTGTGAGTATGATCAATATATAGCACCAACAAGACATCCATTTGTTTGTTTGGTTGCACCACACTTCATCTCATTGAGGCTATGCTTAACATTAATTTCAAGACAAATTTCTATGTGGTTTTAACTCTATGTTCATTTTATGGATCTTCATACATAAACACTGCAAAGGAATTGAGCTTTTTTTTAAAAAAAAATCTACATATTATACCCATAAGAAGTGTCAGAAGATTGACATTAACACTACAGAAAGACAACTCTAATTTCAGGGATTAGCTTCAACGTACACATCCAATTCTCATTGTGGATTTCTACTTTTCAGATTGCATGAACAAAAAATCTAAAAAAATATTCATAAAGCCGATGCTCCATCCGTCCCAAACTAATCGTCGCATCGTCGATTTTGATGCTTTATTTAATTCATTTTTTATACAATTTATTTAAACAATTATGCAAAATTTCAAAATAAAATTTACGACATACTCCAAGTGTATATTACGTAGTAAAAAACTACATCAACTTCCTTATAAAACAAGATATTCCCTCCATCCCAATTTATAATGTCTATTTTGGTTTACGATGTTTGACTGAAATTATTTTCAAATCATTTATATGACAAATGGTATAGAGTTAAAAAATAAAAATTAAATATTAAAATATTATTTTAATATACACTTGGAGTATATTAAAACAAAAGGAAAAAAAAGAGGCATGCCTACAAAAAGAAAGAGGCATGTCTACAAAAAACGGCATATTAACTATTAAGGGCAGCTCAGTGAGGGTTGTAAAACTTATAAATGGCTAAATTAGTGTCCTTAACCAAAGAGAAAGACTATATAGAATCCCTGTATGTGAACATAGTACCAAAAAAACCTGGAGAACCCTTAAGATTAAACATACACAAAGGACCATTAAACTCAACTTTTTTTTTATTGTTGGAGGAAAACAGAACACTTTCATGAGCAATGATAATCTTAAGTAACCTCACCGGGTGGGATTAGTTAAGGATCGGGTCGGGCTGCAGGGCTTTCTGGACGAGTTCGGTCTGCTCTTTGGAGTGAACCTGTAGGAAACCGGTAGCGGTTGAAGCGGACGGAAGGCGTCCCACGTATTTGATGTCGTCCATGTTGCCTCTTCCGACAGCCTTCATTGCGGTACAAAGGCGGGGCCCAACGTAGTAGAAAGCACCCATGTTCATTGGCTCTTCTTGGCACCAGACGATCTCCGCATCTGGAAAAAGGCAAAATATTATAAAGTGGAATCATTCGAAGTGCCCCTAGCGACGTTCTGAAAACTAGACATAGAGTCTATCCTAACGCGATAAATAATTGGGTCAGTGTTCTAAAAGGTGACAAATATCTAGGTGTTATGATTCATTTTGGATTCGATTCATTCTTCATAAATAAACACAGGCCCGAATGAGTACCCTTTGCCGAATCACCCCAGGGCCGATACCCTTAAATCCTATATCTTTATCATAATGGGTAGAATAAACTCAATCCCTAATTTTCTTATGTGTGGGCTGAACTAGTAACCAAAAGAAGGGACAAAAACAAAGACAAAGGCAAGGACAAAGACTCCAAAGTCAACAAAATCTTGTGGAGTGCAATTGACAGGGGTGGGGGTGGGTTCGGGTTGGGGCAGGGTGGGGTGGGGGTTTTACCGGAGATTAGGGGGATAGGAACCATAAACTTTTTTAAACGGAGCACCGTAGGAACCCAGACGTGGCCCATGTCATAGGATGACATGGCGGGTTAATGTCATGGGAACGCCGCCCTAGTTAATGTGTTATTATATATTACCACATGGTTCATTTGACATTGAATTCCAGTGTCATAATATGACACCAGGACTATTTGTGCTCTACGGTGCTCTATTTGCCCCCCCCCCTAATCCTGCACATAGCCCACCCCAGCCCCCCAACCCAGTGATATACCACAAGTTGATTCTACTCAACCATTCCTTGCGCCACGAGAAATTAAGTTGACTATATCTAGCTGTTATGATTGATTTTGGATTGAATTCGTTCGTCCTAAACTAGCACAGGCCCACCCTTAATCCTTATTTCTTTATCATAATGGGTAGAATAAATTCAATCCCTAATTTTCTTATGTGTGGGCTGAATGATTAACCAAAAGAAGGGACAAAGACAGACTTTTCATAAAGTGGCCTTTCAAAGTTGAACTTTATTTTTTCCATATTGCAAAGAAAACTTTGGACTTTGTCTTCCACTTCATCTCATTTTCTTGGAATTATGTACGGAGTATTTGAATTTGTACTTCCTTGTGGCCTTATATATTCGGACATGCTCATTGTAATCCACATAGAACTGAAGTTTGAAATTATATTAGTTAATACTCTTTGAATGTTAAGGAGTATCTCCTAAGTGTGATACTTATTCAAACCATTTCCTAATTTATACTCCCTCTGTCCCACAAAAGTTTTCAGATTAAGGATTAGAATGGTTGGCTGAATTTGTTTCTAATTCAATTTATATGAAAATTGAGGTAAATAAAATTAATAAATACTCCCTCTGTCACCAGTTAAGTCCTGAAATCCTTTTTGGAACATCCCAAAAAAATACTCCCCCATTACATATTAATTGTTTATAAACATTTTTTGGCACATTGAAACACGAATGAATGGAAACATAAACTATGTCTACTTTCATTCATTTTTCAATGTATCAACAAAGTCATAATGGACAGTTAATATGGAATGGAAAGGGCAGTCATCTTTCTACTTTTGGAAAGGATTTAGTGGCTCATATGTTTTCTCTTACGAGTACAATTTCACTTTTCCGGCGTCATAAGATAATACTAATTTTTAGGGTAGTTTAGAAGATAGGATTAATATTTAAGAGGACAAGAGAGAAGAAAAAAGGTTTTTGTTTGAAAATCATGAACCGACCGAGTCAACCAGGGTTGCCTGGTTCATTGATTCTGACGGTTTTGATCGGTTTTTGGCCATTCTGGGAGTGTGTATATGGATTATGGAAGCGGACCAGAACCATGACAGGGTTGAGGTAAAGTCATTGGTGCTGAGGCCCTGTAATTTCAGTCTGCTCCAGACTCCGAGTCTAGAGTAACTACATCCAGACTCCAAACAAAATTAAGATGTAAATAACATGCCCAAATTCTAGTTTCTTCTCCCCAAAATTCATATGTAAAACTCGCTCTAAAGGTGAGGTTGCTTCTTTATAAGAATGAAAGATTGTTCCCATGTTTAAATAAGTTTTTCTGCATTGAAGTATATCATTTTTGTTTTAGTTTATATAACCTTGTACAACAGTAATTACCAAACAAGGCATAAAAGAAAAAAGGGGAAGAGGGCTCAAAATACATACTTGGATAGCGCTTCAGCTCACGCTGGATAAGGTCGTATGGGAAAGGACACAACTGCTCTACCCTACAAATTGCAACATCTTTGCCATCAACTTTTCTTCTTTCCTCATCAAGCTCGTAGTAGACCTTAGACAATCAAGAACAAAATGAAAGAAATGTCATCAAATTGTTTTATAGAGAAGCAAAACAACAACAAACCCAAATAAAATACCACAGAAGTAAAATTTGGGGTCCAAGAGAACCCGACACAAAACATAGAGTAAAATAAAGTTAAACGCACTAGCACAAACAAAGTGAGAGCACACACTCAAGAAGCATATGTACTAACACTAGTAACTATGCCCAATACACAGGGCACACACCTACAATGTGTATAAACCACAAACTACAACCCAAAGGTCTACCCTGCTATTCTAATCCTAGGAAAAAAAACTGAAATCAACAAGAAATGGAACTTCATACAGGAAAATAATGCAAAAAAGTAAATACCTTTCCCGAGCAAAGAACCAAGCGTCTAATGCCCTCCTCGCGATCCGAATGGTAATTCTGATCTTTTATGAGTCGCTTAAACCTAGTACCTTGTTTGTCGAAACCAGGGTGGCCTTGGACATCATCAAACTCAGAGAGGTTAGACTTGCACTCCTTGTGCCTAAGCAAACTCTTTGGGGCCATCACAATTAGAGGCTTACGGAATTCCCTGTGTAACTGGGGTACAAATAAATTGTGCATGAGAATACAATTCAAACGGAGGTTAAGCCCTTGTTTGATTCAAAGAAGGGGAATGTAAAGGAGATGTCACTCTCCCTTAATATCGTTCTTCTTTTTAAAAAAATTATAATAATTCCCATGCAATTCCTTTCTAATCCAAAGGAGAGAACATCATTACCCAACATAAATCCTCTTCTACAACAACAACCCAGTATAACATTATAGTCCCGACTCCGTTGTGGTCTAGGGGGTCAAGATGTACGTAGCCTTACCCCTGTATTTTATACAGGGAGACTGTTTCTCTTAGACCCTTGATGCATTGCTGCTTTTATTATCGAAAACTTTATTAAAAGTATACTTCCTTCTCATTTACTAAATTTATCCAAATCAAGCAGGTTTAATATGCTGCTACATAATACACTCTTCATTTCCTTACCTAACCTCTCTTTTGCCCCTCAAGCCAAACACGCTGTAAAGGTAAGATATTTAGAACAGTCTCTCTGCAACACTTACTTGTCGTCGGAGTACATGGAAATAATTTGCAGGAGTAGTCACATTCACCACCTGCAAATTGCACTGTTGAATCTGTTTACGAAGTGTAGGGTCCATCTCAGGGATAACATAAGGGTTGTCATCACTCATCTGCAATCGAGATTTTTGGGACAGTATTAATGAAATGTCGTTGAAAAGTATCCTTCTATGATGTGAGGTATAAGAATAAATATTCACGAATCAAATCCTAATCGTGTTCCAATGCATGTACTTCCTAGTTCCTAATGTTTTTCTGTTAATATTTTTTCCTTTTAGTGTTGTTTTTTAATGAACTTTTGTATCCTTTTTGGTAAAGACAATAGCTCATATGCTTCCTAAATGTTACTCCAATCTATTTTTAATCTAAAATGGTACTCCCTCCATCCCGCTATTTTTATCCATTTTTACATATTTGTGCAGTTCACATTCATATTTTATCTTACTTTATAACATCAATATCAACCACACAATCTTACGATTATTAAATTTCATGTCACTCCCTCATGTCCCAAAAATAGTGGGACGGAGTAAGCAAAAATTTAAGAGAAAAATGAAGATTAATAATCAAACAACCAGTTCATGACTGAGCGGAAAAGGGGGGAAAGGTCAGAACAAATTAGGCTGCCAGTGGCCCCAGCCCACCTAAACTGACTAGTCATCTAGCCAATTTGACCAAAATCAGGGCGCCTGTCCCCCACTTGGCCAAATTTTTAGAACAATAGGCAGTGGAATTTTAGAGGGTGTTTGAGACTGATAACAACAATAACCCAGGTGAATCCCACAACAGTAGGGTCTGGGGAGGGTGTGTGTACGCAGACCTTGCCCCTACTCGGAAGTAGGGAGGCTGTTTCCAAGAGACCCCCGGCTCCACCTGCACAAAAATATGGAAGGGAACACAGTCTAACACAGATAAAGCACCAAGTACAAGCAACAAGTACAAGCAATAGCAGAAGATTCCAAACGAATACAACACACTACAAAACAACCTCTACAACACCAAGCTCTTATCCAGCTACTCTAATTCTAGTTTTCCAAAGGTTCCTATCTAGGGCCATATCCTCAGTCAGGTCGAGAAGTCCTAAATCCTGCCTAATCACCTCCTTCCAATTCTTCCTAGGTCTACCCCTTCCCCTACTTCCCCGATAACTGTAATCCTCTCGCATCTCCGTACAGGGGCGTCAGGATCCCGCCGTCTCACATGGCCAAACCATCTCAACCTCGCTTTCCGCAACTTATCTTCCACAGGTGTTTGAGACTGATTTTGAAAATAATTCATAGCTTTTGCTTTGAATATAAAAAGTTCAGAATGTTTGGAATATTGGAAGTGTCTAATTTTCAGCTCACTTCTGAGATGAATGAGAAGCAAAAGCTAGGAAGCATCTTTGAGATGCTTTTAGATTCTATTGTCAAAAGTCATTTTAAGAAAAGAAAAAAAGCACGCCCAAACATCCTCTGAATATAGCTCAGCAGATAATAATGTTTTTGTACCTGAAGAAAGCGCTCAAGACGTGCACTTGAATGTTCAGGACCCTGGCCATCATACCCATGAGGTAAAAGCACGACTAACCCAGTCTGGCGCAACCACTTGGCCTCACCACTGCTCACAAACTGGTCAAATATCACTTGAGCCCCATTGGCAAAATCACCAAATTGTGCTTCCCAAATTATGAGTGAATTAGGATTTTCCATTGAATAACCTAATTCAAATCCTAAAACGCCAAATTCTGAAAGAGAGCTGGAGAAACAACAGAAATTCACATCTTCATTATAACATATGAGGTTTAATAGCAATCTAATTGAGAGCATAATATGTCACTAATAGAAGAAACAAAAGAAAAAAAGTTCCACAATTCTTTTTTGCTTGTCCCAAAATAAGGTTCCACCTTCCCTTTAAAGAAATGATTATATGGTTCACTGTTCACATCCTTTTCTCTCTCATCTGCATTCACTCAACTACAATTTCACCTTTCTTAAAAATCATGCCCGATCAAATGTAGAACCTTAATTTAGGACAAATGGAGTGCTACAGGAGCTGATCCTAAGATACAGGCACGAACTTGTTCATCTCTACTGAACAAGTTTTTAAATTTTAGCAAGGTAAACCAGTTAAAAGTCACCAAAAATATACTTAAATTTGCTAAAATTTATTTTTTGGTTTGAATATATTTATCATATTTGACTTGTTCATTGCCTTTTTTGGAAAATTACATGAAAAACTAATTCAATGAAAACATCATGCAACAGGAGAACTTCTATAAGGATGGATTTCACCATAAAATAAAAGGAAAAAAAGTAGTGCACTAACTTAAGTATCAACCCTAGAAATTAATTGCAACAACAATTAACCCTGAGAAATGCTTTCAGGAACAACCCAGTAAAATCCAACAAAAAGTATGGTGTGGGAGGGTGTGTGTAGACAGACCTTACCCCTAAAAAGTTAGTAGAGAGGCTGAGAAATGATTACAGGAATACATAGAAAAAAGGTAATTAAAAATGTAAGTAAAATTACATAAATAAATGAAATTATCTAACCATCATTTCAAACAAAGTTCGCGCCAAAAAACTACCTGTTGCTAACTGTAAACATTTCTTCATTTTGGTCTTTCATAATGTGATCAAGAGGACAGTACTGCTCCCCTGACTCTTGATCATGAAGAACAGCATGTCTGTGACTAAAAGTGCCCCTCTCAACATCTTGACCACTCAACCTCACATGGTTACCTTCCACGAGCAATGTTGCAAAAGCAAGTGATTCTGCAAGTGCCCAGTCAATGCCCTCTCCAGTCTCAATCATCTTTCGGCGCTCATCAAAAATTCTTTTTATCGCTCTGTGGGGCTTAAAATTTTCAGGAAGGGTTGTGATTGCTTTTCCAACGCTTGCCAATATCTCTGGCTTCACACTGCAGAAAAAGCCAATAATCATATTATATTTTCATTTGGTATGACTAATGGCAAATTACTTTCCAAATACTCCTTCCACCCCATGATTAAGTTCCGGCTTTGATTTTCAGAGAGTTTAAGAGGACAAAACATAAAAATTGATTTCAATAGCAACATCAAAATATTACGGAGGACTTGAATTAGGAGAAAACAATGTTTTTATCTATTACAAAAAACATCCCAAAGTAGAGGCTAAAAGTTCTAGCTAAAACACAAAAAAATAGAACAAAACAGTAGAGAGAAAGCATACCCAGTATTTCTAATGCGCGAAAGCTGTTCAGGAGACTTGAATCCTGACCAAAATGCTGAGAGCCAATCCCTTTTTTGAGGAACATAATCCTTGCTAGAAATGAACTCTTCATTAAGTATAGAATTTATTTTATTATGTATCTTCTCAACGTCTTCTTTTGTCACATGACCAGATTCCATGAGTTTCTTCTGATAGATCTCTAGTGAAGAAGGATGATTTCTGATGACCTTAAGAAAAACCAACCAAAAATGTACCGTCAAATTTATAAGTTATACCATGAACCATAGAAAGTATTACTAATAGCCAGCTCCTTAATTTCAAAATGGGACAAGGAAAATAGTCAAAACACTAAGGCTCTCTTCATTTGAGTTTTTAAAACATAGTTGGATGTTGGAAGAAGCTGGAAGAAGGTAAAAGAAACTAGAAGGAGTCAGAAAAAATGGGAAGGAGTTGAAAAATGTTGGAAAAAAAAAGTGTTAAAAAAATCACTCAATTAAATAATCACCCAAATAAATATGTAAGAAACTAATTTTGGCTAAAAAAAGAATTCATTTTTATATGCATTTGAGGTGGATATATGATATGATTGTATACTCATCATATGTAAATACTTTTTTTTAGTCGTTATTGAAAGAAACTGGAAGGAGTTGGAAGAAATTAGAAAAAGTAGGAAGAAACTAGAAGAGTTGGAAAAAGTTGGGAGATAAGTTTTCCAACCCAAACGAACAGACCCTGTCTATGTTTGGTTTGCGGAATTAGGAGGGATAAGAAAATGCTATGAAAAGAAAAAGTAAGTCAAAGAAACCAATTATCATGATCCTATTTGGTTAGTATAGAAATTGGTGAGAAAATTACTTTCTTAATAACTCCTTTGTTTTGGTTGTTGTAGACAAAATGAAAACATGATCAAAAGGGGCGGGAGGCGGAGGTGGGGGTGTTGAGGGAGCAGGCCGGATGACTGTGTTGCTCTCTCTCCTTTTTCCCCACAGAAATGGAAGGAAAAATATTTTTCCAATTTTACTCTATTTTCCTTGCCTTCACTTTTCTTTTCTAACCAAATGCCAAAACTACTTTTCCTTTCTTTTTTCTTTTCTTTTCCCTTTTGAATTCCTTTGATCACATAGAGTGTAAGGAAAGAAAATAAGGAGGAAAAAAGAGTAGAAAACTGGCAAATGAATTTGGGAGAAAATAAAAGATGAGCTCAAATGTATTTTCAAAATCATCTTATTCCTGGCATTCATTTGTTTTTCAAAGGGAACACCAAACACAAGAAAATAAATTTACTTGGCATTTTCCAGGGTCCAAACATACCCTTACATAGAGAAGAACAATGAGCAGCATGCTTCCTTTACATAAGTCTAGGATTCCAAAGAATGATGGGAAATATGTATTTAAAAAGACATCTAACCTGATACATTTTGGGTTGAGTGAAGGATGGTTCATCAATTTCATTATGTCCAAACCGACGATAACATACTATATCAACAACCACATCTGAATGGAAAGTCTGTCTCCACTCTGCAGCAAGCTCACAAGCATGCACAACAGCCTCAACATCATCACCATTGACATGAAAAATCGGAACACTCAAAGCCTTGGCAACATCAGTACAATACTGAGAAGATCTTCCTGATCTCGGGTCGGTAGTAAATGCCACTTGATTGTTAACCACAATGTGAATGGTCCCACCAGTGCTGTAATTCGGCAGAGCACTTAGATGCAACGTCTCATAAACAACTCCTTGCCCCGCAAAACTGCCATCTCCATGAATAAGAATGCTCATGTTCTTTGTCCTATCCAGATCATTAGTGTAATATTGTTTTGCTCTAGTTTTCCCGATCACGACAGGGTCCACGGCTTCCAAATGACTGGGGTTTGCAACCAATGAAAGATGAAGTCTCTTCCCTCCCCGTGTTGGTCGATCATAAGAAGTTCCCAAGTGATACTTGACGTCCCCAGTCCCCACATAACCGGCATCATCCACAGGTTTCGTGCCACCACTAAATTCACTAAAGATATGCCGGAGAGGCTTACGGACAACGTTACCTAAAACATTCAACCTTCCTCTGTGTGACATCCCTATGACTATGTTCTCCACCCCAAGATCAGCCGCCTTGTCAAACATTTCCTTCATACCAGGAATCAATGTCTCACATCCTTCCAGCCCGAATCTCTTGGCAGCCACCCATTTGGTGGCCAAGAAGTTCTCAAACTGAGTGCTCCACATCAGACGGTCAAGAATGACAGTACGCCTTTGGCGATTGTACTCCATGGGTATAGGGGTCTCGATCCTCTCCCTCAACCAATTGCATTTTTCTCGATCAGGTATGTGCATATACTCAAACCCAATCCTCCCACAATAAGCTTGCTCGAGCCGGGTCAATATGGATCTCAATGTTTGGACTGGACGGTTCTCGGACAAGAAACCAGACATCCTCCAAACACCAAGGAAGAATTCGCGGTCAAGATCAGTTTCAGTAAATCCATAAAGAGCGGGGTCTAAATCTTCGGGGATCTCTCGTTCTTCTAAATCCAACGGATCCAATTTGGCTTTCATGTGGCCATTTACCTGATAAGCTCTCACAAGTAACAAAAGCCGCATGCTTTCTTGAATTGTTTGACCAGATATCCCTGGCGATGTAGTTGCCTGACCCACAAAATTCCTGAAGAAATTATCCCATGATTCGTCAACGCTGTTTGGGTCTTTCTCCCATGCCCGCTGAAGCTCCTCAAGGTAGACACTGCTCGTCCCATCTAAGAAACTGTCTGTCAGCTTAGAAAGTGGGACAGGACGGGGAACAGGGGCAGAAGATTGTTCCTTTGCTCGAACAGCAACTGAGCTGTGGAAGTGCCGAGTTTGAGAAGGAAGTGGACGGGTTCTTGTAACATGTGATCTACTATGTGACAAAGCTCTCCTAAGAGAAACCATTGCCACATTGGATCCAGCTCTAAACCATACCATTGTGAACCACTACAGTTCTCAAAATTCAATAACTCTTCACTTAGCCTCGAAAATGGTATAAAGGCACACTCTTATCTTGAAGGCAACCATGATTACCACATGAAAATAAACACAAACTGATGCGTTAATAGCTCATTAGAATGAAGGCAACCCATAACCAAATGCATCAGTATGTTCATATCACCTTGATAAGAACTAGGTAAAGCAAGAAAACACACAATTTATAGGAAAACTTAACAAATAATTGACACCACACCCCCCTCCCTCCCTCCCAATAGTCAATTTTCAACAACTTCCCCTCCTAGAGTCACAAAATGTAATACCCACACTCCTTGAAGCCAGCCGTGATCAACACATTAAAGTACAAAAATTTAAAAAAATGAATTGCAAATAGACAAGCATCAATCTTTGTTACTTCAAAATGTGCAAATCAACCATATTAAGATTTAGGGCACGACACTCCAGGAAATGGAGACTTTATATTAATTTTAGAAACATATTCATTTCATCTAGAAAACACCGAAGTAAGACCAAAAATTTATCTAGTCCCTACAAATAAAACTAAGAATTTATGCCTTGAATGGGTTTAAATACACGGGATAAAGGAAGAATATTTAAAATATATCCAAAAAAAGTTCACGAGATCATCCATTCCGGCTAAGATAAAATTGAAAACTTTCAATGTTAGCAAAACAAAAAAATTCCAGGATTGGGAGAAAGGCGGAGCTAGAGCGATACCTAGAACGGGCACGTCGGGAGAGTTACGAGTGATCGGTTCAGATTATCTGATTAAGCGGCCATGGCCATGAATCCATAAAAGCTCCTTGAGCTTCAATTTCACACTTGCCTTTTTTGTTTTTCTCAGTGGCGGCGAATGGCTACTTCGGACTGGATTCTAGGCCCAGTTACATTCTTTTTGTTCTAAGTATAGTGATATAAATTGTCCGTTTGGACCCAATATTAACCGGAATCATCACTTATTTTACATGGTATAAACTCCGTTATGTTCACTTTATACCAGTAGTGCCTCACTTTCATTGCAATGATAATAATTTTATTTTTATTTAATATTTACATATTTATATTAAAATTAAATTATATCTTTTATCAAAGAATGAAAAATATTTTTTATATTTTCGGGTTTATTATTATTCTTTTTTCTTTCGATTTTATTACTGTATTTCTTTTGTTTAGGATTATTATTATCTTTTTTATTTACTTCTATTTTTATATTATAACATTTAAATTAAAAAAACATAAACATCAAAAAAATAAGTTCTTTCAATTTATTTTCTTACCATGGTCAAGGAAACAAGAAAAAAATACTCGGCTAAATAATAAGCAGAAAACTTTAGTGCACAACTAAAAATAGGATAACAACTTTTTCTTCATACGACACACTTTTCATATGACACCCAAAAAATAAAACAATTAAATTAAAAACGCATAAATTATAGTAACACAGTTTGTTCAATTCTCAAGTATTTGGATGAAAATATGAGCGGGATATAACATCAAAATTTTATATGCTATACTAGTCTCGTTGGGTAGACCTTGTGAAAAGGTTTCCAACATACTATTTAATTTGTCATTAAATGACTTACGTATAAATTTGTCATACCAAATAATTTGATTTGGTAGGATATTTGACGTCGTACCAATCCTGAAATTTTGGTTTGGTATGGTTCGAGATGATTCGATATCAGTTTCACGAGAAATTAGGATGAATACATACGGAACTAATTTAAACTTTAAAATCTCACATGCAACATATAATTTTTTACAAAATTAAAAGTATATTTAAATAAAAATTATAAACGAAAAATGAAAAATGAAATGCAAGAATTGCTTATGCACAATCATGGCCTAGCTCGTCGTCCTTTTTCATTATCTTTCTGTTTAAAAAATTATGAGCGTCCATAACAACCTTCATCCCTTATCTCTCTCTAAAAAAAACTTGTGTGCGGGATCGAAGAATTAGAAAGCTGCATTTGTCTGTGTTTCTTCTCAATTTCGAGAGCATAGAAAGTGATAAAGAGAGACATTGAACATCCCACAAGGATCGCAGAAAAAAGAAACTCCTCGCCCTCGCTTGAATTGTCAGCATTCCCTTTGAAAAAACTCAGCAAACGTAATATCAATCTCGTTTGTCATGTTACGAAAATCTCTCTCTCTGCTTCTGACAACTATTTTCACAAAACCATTTCTACCAGCTCCATTGCAGTACTTGTACTTCAAGCTGCTTCTTGTTACCGATGATGAGCTTGCGGAGGAATTTAGGAGTAACAGAAGTATTATAAAATAGAATATTGTTATTATTTACATTTCTTATTCTTACCATAATTCCTTAATTATTTTACTTTGGTTATGATTCTCTTCTCTCTCTCTCTCTCTCTCTCTCTCTCTCTCTCTCTCTCTCTCTCTCTCTCTCTCTCTCTCTCTCTCTATATATATATATATATATATATATATATATATATATATATATATATATATATATATATATATATATATATATATATATATATATATAATTTGTCAAAGAATCGACTCAAGCAAGAACTCAAGCTTTGTGGTTGTAGATATAGAAAAGGTTCTATGGTCAACTCACCCTTACACGAACCTTGGATAGGAACATTAATTTTTTAAAAATTAGGTGGCGGCGGTGATATTTGAACTAGGTCAATAAGATTTTCATACTATGTTAAGTAACTAACTCAATCACAAGCACAAGTCTCAAAGTGATCACGTCTCATCTGTATGTGAGGGGCGTGTTAGAACTAAGAATATAAGAAAACCTCTCTCAGCTCGGGCAATGGTGGATCCAGAAAAAATATTGATTGGTGGCACCATAGCTTAGCTATAAAAACATGGTGGGGTTCGGGAAAAGCGTCACTAAATGTTTTTTACAAAGTCAACTTGAAATGATAAAAAAGATTCATATAAACAAGTGTAACTTGGACACCCACCCATGTTGTTCCATGAATAGAAGAGTTTGAGGTTAGAATTGGGTATTTGGGTTCGGACAACAAATTAAAATTTGAAGACCGACCAGAGTGTGGTAGTTAGTTAGTGTGTATGTGTGAGGGAACATAAATGATTTTGTACCAGAGAGGCCAACCAATGAACACTGATGAAAAAGCCTCTTAATTACCTATTGTTGTGTCCTTCTTAATACAGATGGAGACTGGAGATCATACTTGGGTGGGGTAGTGGGTGTGAAAGGCCATGTGTGGCCGTGTGGGGACTAGATGCATGGGTGGGTGCCATCCAAGCACTTTATCGGATGAGTGTGAGAAAAATCTGGGTCTTATATTCCCTCTGTCTCACAAAACATTTCCGGTTTAACGTGTAAAAGATTTAAAGGAGTTATTTTGGTGTTGACTTTTCAAAAATATGTGATGAGTACAAACAGGATGTGATGAATATATTAATAGTAAAAATGTGATGTGATAGGTGTGTTAAGAGTTAATAGGTGTGTTAGAAAGATTTTTTTTGAATTGGGACCGATGAAAAAAAAGAGAAAGGTTGGGTGGGAGGCGAATGTAGTATAACTTAGAAGAGAATGTGATAAAAAAAATGCTGAGGTTGGTGAAGCAGGCCCGGTTCTGGCCTCTGGGGATTAATCAATGGCCCTGAACAAGACAAAGAATTGGTCTTGACCATAAAAACTAAATTATATAAATTATTTTTCTTTGAAAAAATAATATTATAGTAGTACACAGAATAAAATTATATCGCAATAGCTACCTTGAAAAATTATGTTCTAAATTTTTTTATAAAAAATATAATACATATTAAAAAATAAAAAATATTCGGCCAAAAAAAAGGCCTGGTCGGTAGGGTAACTTATTCGGCCCACCCTCGGGCCGGTCCTATAATGAACGTATAGATCGTCTTTGATTTGAAATGGAACGTGACCGAAAAGTGTCGCGGCGATCGCGCCACGAGAGAACTTGTGAAGGGTTGTGATCAATAATTGGTCACACTCGTATGAGTGAGACTCTGAGAGTGTAATGGATGGTGTGAAGATTCCTTTTAAGGTCATCATCATCACGCACAATTTCAAGGCGCACCTGCTCTCACTACAAGCCAATGCTTGGTGACATTTAATTTACTACGTAAATGAACAAATTGTTTTTTGGTACTTTCACATTGTGTTTGGCAAAGAAGGGAAATAATGTGGTAAAAAGAAAAAAAAAGTGTAGGTAAAAAGAAAGGTAAAGAAGTTGTTGAAACAATAGACTTAGGCCCAATTCAATCCCAAAAGATAACTCAAGAAGTTGAGGTACCCAAGCTATTAAATAGCAGCACAATATATGGTTGCATTGCCGATGTGGGATGAATAAGTCAACACGCTCCCCTCACACGAGGCGCAGATTACTGCGGGCGCGGTCCCAACATCAATGGCTTAGCTCCGATGCGATACCATGTTGAAACAATAGACTTAGGCCCAATTCAACCCCAAAAGTTAACTCAAGAGATTGAGGTACCCAAATTATTACATAGCAACACAATATAATACTGCACTGCCGACGTGGGATGAACAAGTCAACAGAAGTGCTCCGTAAAATACTACTATGTAACTCTGGGTACTTCATTTCTTTGGTTAAAACGTACATTACGCCTTTGTTTTGATTACAATATTCTCCTTTTTTATTGTCCCAAAATGGGTTACCATTTTGGTAACATTTCAACACCTTTAAAACAAATATATCAATTTCGTAACATTTGAAGGGGCTTAGGGCAGGACTGGGGTGGGGCTTGGGTGGGAGTTTAGGGGTTGGGTTAGTGGTGGTAGTAACCATTAATTTTTTCAATTGGTATATCAAAAGTACTCTAAAAATGCAGTGGCGCCACTAGTGGGGCCGTTGGCGGGTGTCAATGCCCACTCTCTTAAAAATATTACTCAGGTGTACTTTTTTTCCTTACTGCCTTCCAATCCTCTTCAAAATACACATCCCAATTACACTACAAGTTTTAAGTTTAGACTAAGTAACTACAGAGTAATTAAGAGGAGGAGAAATTTAACTAAATAAATCTAAAACATAATGATTTTTCCTAAATAGCATCATATGTTTTTATTTTCCAATGTAGCACTCTTAGTCATCATGCATTAGTCCTTACTCAAGTAATAATAATATTCACCATCACTAGACATTATTCCTTCTTCTAGACATTATTAAATACTATATTGAGAATAAAAAAAGTTTAAGTCATATATTCAGAGATAACTTATATGTTTTAGTGTTTTTTAGTGTGAATATTTCTTAAGAGAAGATGTATTTTAATGTTTGACCTTTCACAAATGCCCTTAGGATATTTCTTTAAAAGTGATGCTTCACAACAATGAATAGTTAAGAATAATAGAGAAGAGTAATAATTTTAAAAAAGTAAGATGAGATGAGACGGACATAATATGAGAAAGTAGGGTTAAAGAGGATATTTTAGTTCTTTTGGGAGAAATTGAATTGTTTTATAGGACGGATAAGATAAGAAAGTTAAAATATTTTGTGGGACGGATGAAGCTATATTATCAAAATAAAATATTTCAAAATGAATACATTGATATTAAAATTAAATTTATATAAAAATATAATTTAATATCTTTTTTCTGTTTTGACTAAAGTCAAATGAGAAAGTTTAATATATAATTTAATATATTTTTCAGGGTTTGCACTAAATAGCAATAAAACTTAAGTCATTTTCCTAAATTGCATTTAAACTGTTTTATTTTCTAAATAACACTTAATAATGTCCATAATGTCCGATGATGACGAACATTTATTTGAATAATGACTAATGAATAATGATTAAAAGTGCTACATTGGGAATAAAAATACATGAAATGCTATTTAGGAAAATTCATTATGTTTTAGTGTTATTTACATAAATTTTCTTTAATTTTGAGAGGGAGGGAGTATATATAAGATGAGAAACTGTGAGAGTGTTTATCTCAGCTCACTCATCACATGCAGATACATACTCGGATAGATCCCGGCCAATTGAATGAATACAAATTAATTACATGTCCTGAAATATAATATAATATAATAAAATGGTGAATCCGATATCGGCGGGGGTTCTGGAGATATGGGACGACTGGAAGATCAAAGGGTCGGTGCTGGGCAGTTTGGGCATCCAAATCAGCCTGGTCCTCATGACCCCCTTGCGCAAGAAAACCAGCCTCAGGGCGGTGATAGCCATGGTCTGGTCCTGCTACTTGCTCGCCGACGGGGTCGCCGTCTTCGGCCTCGGCCAGATTTTCAACATCAAGCAGGAGACCGGGTCCGAGTGCAACTCCAGGCCCCCGTCCTCGTTGTCCTCCACCTCCAAGAACAACGAGTTCGGGGACTTGGCGGTCCTGTGGTGCACTTTCCTCCTAGTGCACCTCTGCGGGCCCGACACCATCACCGCCTTCTCCCTTCCCGACACGCAGCTCTGGCTCCGCCAGTTCATTCAAATGCTCGTCCAGGCCGTCTCCACTTTCCATCTCATCTTGCTCACCCTCCGCTGCAACAAGGTATGTACCTCTGTTTAAATACTCCTCCGTTTTTAACAACACTTTCTTCTCTCATTTTTTCTACTTCCAACAAAACACTTTCAATTTATATTAAAAACCTCCTTTTATCCCTACTTTTTCTTACAATACCCATCACATCATTCGTTTCCTTTAGTAATCTATCTATCACATCTTACTTTTACCACGCTCAGGACAAAATTCAAAGTCAACTAGAATTTAACATTTTCTTATTTTCCCATTTCGTCAAAACTAGAACTCTTTTCAATAACGGAGAAATTAAGTACAATTTTCATGCACTTTCATCTAAGTAAGTTTGTAAATAACATGCTTCCTTCGATTCACTTTTATGTGAGTAGTTTGTAGATAGCAAAAGAATTTTTAAAAACAAGGAGTATGATTAGTTTTTTTTCCATATATAGTTCACATTATAGAGAGATGTAGGCGTGCTGGACAAAATGGACAATTGACTTTATTGAAGCATACAAAATAGATTGTGGAGAAAACGACAAAGCTTTCTTGACTCATGTGAAAGTGATCAATGTTTATTTGTTTAAGTGTAAATTTTGATATTTTTAATTGGTTCAATTGAATAAACCCAAAAAAATCGTACTTCCTCCGTCCCAGACTTTTCGTCCAGTTTGACTCTCAATTTGTATTGTACATCAATACAATGGAATAAATTTTTGAAAGTTTAAACAATTTAAATATACTAAAAATCAAAGTTCGTCCAGTTTGACTCGAAAAAAAATTAAACTAGACAAATACTCTGGGATGAGGTAGTAGTATTTATTCCCAAAATAAGAGTTTTATATGTTTTTATCTCCAAAATAGGAGTTCAAATTATGATAATGTTGCACTGTAAATTGACATGTCACGGTATGTTTTGATATTATATATTGATATTATTAACATTGCAATTCTTATTTTGAGATGAAAACATAATAGAGTTCCTATTTTGATATTTTATTTATTTATTTACTTCTATTAGATTTTTTTTCTCAACCAAATTAAGAACCACATGTTAGGGAATGGAACATATTCAAAATAACAAATAGTGAGAAAGATTAGGACCCCTATTGAAGATAGACATGGGGCATCTACCCTCTAGCCTACCTATCCGTCCTTAATTAGGAGTGGGTTTTGGAAAAGATTACCCTATTTGTATTCCGTGTGATTATGTGCATGCTTTGGACTGTTTTTATTAGTGGTAACTGGTAAGGCTGTTTTATTTTTGGTATGGAGTGTGGGGTAGTTTTTTTAAGTGTGATTAATATGAAGTCTTTTTTTATTGGTTCAATAAATAGTCTACGTACTCATTATAATGTACCGAGTATGATATAGGGCCGGTTTGGGAATAGCGTTAGCTATTAGCTTTAGCGTTTTGAAAAGGCTATCTACGGGTAGCGTTTAGCGTTTTCAAAGTAATCTGCACCGTTAAAATTTTATCCAAAACGGTAACGCTAATCTCTAACGCTATTCCCAAATAGGCCCATAAAGTTCATTGATTATAAACTTAATTACAAAGGTACCGGAAAAGTCGGAATTGAAGTACTCCGTACTAAACAGATTTCTCTTGGCCTAAATGAATTGAAAAAAAATAAAAAAAATATTAATCCCTCTAGTTTACCTATATTTTTCTTTATATTTGATTTATTAGAATATGAAATCTAACACGGTGATCATTAATATATAATGCCCGAGTAATTGTATTTACTTATATTGTTATACTTCTTTTGTCTAAAAGACATTTCCTATTTCATTTTTTGCGCATTCTATAAAATGCTTTTACACCATCTAAAATATTTAAACTCCCAAAACAACTTTTATCCATAATAAAGGAGAAATATGGTGAATCTAAGACATTATAGATATGTATAAAAATGTAATTGAGATTGCGCAAAAAATGAAAATAGAAGTTTTTTTTAGAGCAAGAGGGAGTATTTAATAAATACATACTCACTTCTCTCAAATATAAACTCCTACTCCGTATTTATTTATTCATGAAGTTTAAGAAAGGGTTATATTGTTTGATTAAGATTTAGGGAAAGTAGAAGAGCAAATTAATATAGATCATCACGTTTATTCTTTAGAGCTTAATTAGTTGGAATTATTTTGGTGGGCAGGAATTATGACTTGGCCGGCAACACTCACTATGTAATGCAACTTAATTGTACTCTCTCTCCTCAAGTTTGACTACATTAATTGTACACTCATTATGTAATGGAACCAAATTAAGGTAAATTTACGTAAATAATACTCCCTCCCTCCCGGATCGTCCAGTTTTGACTTTTGGAATTGCTCATTTAAGTACTTTGACTCATCAAATTCTCTCAATGTGTAAGTCTAAATATAGTCATGTGTGATCTTGTTTGATTTGTCTTAACATATTGATTATTAATATATAATTTCTATAATTTTTTAATATAGAAATTACAAGATAAAATGGATTAAAGAAGTGTATTGGATGGTGTGTAAAAATGAAAGTGGACAAATACTCTGAGATGGAGATAATATTAAACTATAATGACATTCCCTAAATAACATCACATGTGTTTTTTTTTCAATATCCCTAAATAAACTTCTCTTTTTGACTTTTTGAGGATTTAAGAGAGAAATATTTTTGTGTTGAATTTCCAAAAATACTCTTGATGTGATGTGTAAAAGTAAGATGTGATATATAGATTATTAGTAAAAAGGTATGATGTGATAGGTAGAGTATGAAAAAGTAAGGGTAAAAGAGGTTTTTTAAGGGAAAAGAGAAGTTTATTTGGGACAAAGAAAAAACGAAAGATGAAGTTTATTTAGGGACGGAAGGAGTAGTACTTTTTGTCATTTTCCTTTAGTCATTATTCAAGTAAAAATATTGGTCATCACTTAACATTATGGACATTATGAAGTGCTATTTAGGGAATAAAAAAAATTTAAATGCTATTTAGAGAAATGATTTAAGTTTTAGTACTATTTAGTACAAATACTCCCTCCGTCAAACTGAGAAGTTAATTTTAGGACGGATGTAGTATTTCCTAAATTAATCGTGTTTGACTTAAGTCATACTTCGGGTATATAAACAAGTGAAATTTGCACTAAATAGGACTAAAACATGATGATTTTTCCAATGTAGGAGTTAAACTTTTTATTCCCTAAATAGGACTTAATAATGACCTAGTGGGAGGAATAATGTCCAATAATGATGGACATTAAGTTGAATAATGACTATTTGATAATGACCAAAGATCCTACATTGGAAAATAAAAACATATGGTCCTCTATTGGGAAAGTCATTATGTTTTAATCCTATTTAAGTAAATATCTCATATAACAAATATGTTTTGCTATGTACTCCCTTCGTCCCCCTGTATTTGTCCACATTTGACTTTTGGAACTATTCATCTAAGCACTTTGACTCGTCAAATTCTCTCAATGTGTAAGCCTAAATATAGTCATGTGTGATCTTGTTTGATTTGTCTTAACATATACTCCCTCCGTCCCCAATTAGATTACAATATTCTCTCTTATTTTTGTCCCAAAAAGGATTACAAAGTGTTTACTTTTACACTAAATAGACTCTTTTACCCTCCCTCCCCTTTATCATTTCAATGTCATCCACCCACCCATTCCTATACTATTTGGGGGGTAATTTGGGGAAAAAAAATAGTGATTTGACTCTTCCTTAATTTTGTCTAAAAGGGAATATTGTAATTTAAAAGGGGACGGAGGGAGTAGAATATTAATATATAATTTTTATAATTTTTTAATATACAAATTATAAGATAAAATGGATTAAAGAAGTGTAGTGGATGGTGGGCAAAAATTAAAGTGGACAAATAATGCTGCGACGGAGGGAGTATAATGCAGGTGATTGGGCCAACGTTGTTGATGCTTATATTTGGGATTGTGAAGTACTCCGAGAGGTGCGTCTCCCTCTACCTCGCAAGTGTTCGGGAGGTCGGTAAATGGCAGTCCACCTCCGCGGATTTCGAAAAGCTCATGGCTTCCGACGACTTGACGACTGTGCTGCCACCAGTAGAAACCGCCGACGACCGCCCACGAGGACGTGCAGAGGATCGTGTCCGAAGCTTACGACTTCCGGGGAGCCGTCGGGTGGGGACCTTCTTCGCGAAACCCGAGGACGGGTTGAGAATCACTGAGGTTGTCATGAACATGATATACGAGAAAGTGTTCTCCAAGGCTCTGGTCCTGCATTGTGTCTCGGGCTACACCCTCCAGTTCCTTACGTTGTTCTTCACCGCCGCCGCCCTCTTCCTCTTCTGGTTCCAAGGACACAACCATTACTACGATTACTACGCAACCAAACATGTCCGCAGCGACATCGGCGTCACGTATGTCTTGTTCTGGGGCGCCATTGTTCTCGAGCTGTATTCCATTCTCATGCTCTTCTTCTCCGATTGGACTCTCGGGAAATTCGACAAAAGCCCGGAGTTGATGAGCAAGTGCCTTCGGCGTTGCGAAGCTCTTGTGCTCCCCGCTCTCCGGAGACTCGCCAGTTTCAAGATGATCAAGTGGGACGGCGGGGACGGGGACGGGTACGCGTGCGGGAACGTTTTCTTCCGTAGGTGGTCGAGACGCGTGTCCAGGTACAGCTTGACGAGGGCGTACCACCTTTGCCATGACGAAGACGGTAAATTTGGGATGACACCAAAGTCATTCTGCTCTTCCTCGGTTTACGTAAACGTCGTTAGAAAGTTTGTGGCCGTTTGCAGCCATCGTATACAACTTCTGCCAGTTTGAGTACGACGAGTTGATGTACGTCTCCCACGAGCCCCTCACCTTACACTTCTGGCAATTCGTTTTCGGCCATTTACGGCAGAAAATCTCCCAACCCAAACCGCACAACTTCACCCTCCTCTCGGGAGGATGTTTGGCGCTAAAGCCTACCGCCAAAACCCACCGCGCCGCAACTTCTTCTTCTTCTCCTTCCTCCTCTGACAATTCTTCTGGCGACGATAACGACAATGATGATCCATATATAAGCCTTGTGGTTGGGATTGACGAACCTTATATAAACCTTGTCATGGAAGATATGAACTTCGGAAGGAGCCTTTTGATCTGGAACATGGCCACCGACATGATTTACGCGGCGGATGGCGATCGGATTGAGGAAAACCACAGCCGGAGTAGTGTTAATAATGCAAAGAGGATTAGAAAGATGTTGTCGGACTACATGTTGTATCTCCTGGTGTTGAGAAAGGTGTGGCCTCAAATGGGGACCTTCCAAGGCCGCTTCTGGGAGTTATGTGTGCGGTTGGAAAAGTTGGGCAAGGAACACGGCGGCGGAGGCGGAGAGGGTAAAAAATTATCTTTAATCCATGCTATTGATGACCCAAAGAATGATACAGATATAAAGGACATGGAAGCGGCGAAGCTGTTTGACTGTGCGGCTAAACTTGCCAGGATACTGTTGGAGGCGGCGGACCGACTGGGCGGCGGCGGCAGGGAGGAGATGTGGAGGGTGGTGGGGAGCGTGTGGGCGGAGAAACTGTTGCTGGGGGCCATGAAATGCGACGTGAACACTCATCTGGAGCTCATGTGCAGAGGGGGCGAACTCCTCACGCTGGTTTGGCTCTTCACCGCAAAGATCGGGTTTTGCGTTTCCGAACCGTCCACCTCATCGATCCCCGATCACTTCCGCCCCATTCCCTCCGCGCCGTCGTCCACGGCCAACACAGGGGGCGGCGATGGACTCCCCATCTGAATCACTGCCGGGGCGGCGGCGGCGGCCACCCCTGCACACAGCTGTTTATACGCAAGTCTAAGGCTAGGGAGGTAAACAAATCAAATACTCCATCTATTCCAAAAAAATTTACACGTTTTGACTAAAGTTGAAATTAAGGGAGCGATGATTTTGTGTTGACTTTCCAAAAATACTCTTGATGTGATGGGTAAAAGTATGATGTGATGTGTAGATTATTAGGAAAAAGGTATAATGTGATAGGTATGTTTGAAAAAGTAAGAGGTAAAAGTGGTTTTTTAATAGAAATGGGTAAGGAATTCTGGGACGCAATTTTTTTTGAAACGTTATACCTTTTTCCTAATAATCTACACATCACATCATACTTTTACCCATCACATCAAGAGTATTTTTGGAAAGTCAACACAAAATTATCACTCCCTTAATTTCAACTTTAGTCAAAACGTGTAAATCTTTTTGGAACGGAGGTAGTATTTTAAATTCGATTCGCAATTTGTATTCGAATATGATGATTCCAATTCGCGTTATTCAAATACAATTTTAAATTCAAATATTATTTTTGATTCGAATATTAATCAAATACAAATAGGGATATATTCGATTCGGATGATATTCGAATATATGTATATATACACAGACCATGTTTTCAACATCAAAAGTCAAGCAAAGTAATATAGTATAAAGTGTATTTAAAATACTAAGAATTCAATAAATTAACGTAACACAAAAATCTAAAGCATATGATTTTTAATAGTTATATTTTATAAAATATAATTTGTGTAAGATGCAAATGTATTAATATTTTTATATACGGAATATAGTATAGTATAAAGAGTATCGTAAGTTAAATTATAAATTGATATTGGTCCATCATATAAATTACATAGTATGATTATTCAAATATTCGTTTATGATTCGGTAACTATTCGAATATTAATCAAATACTTATTCAAATCTTATTTTGAATTCGTCTCATATTCGGATTCGTATTCGAAAAAATTAAACAAATACAAATTCAAATATATCGGTATTCGCTTCGATTCTATCGGCGTACATTTAATGTGGTAAATAATGATTTGTGCCCATTGGTTTAGGAAGGAAACTTGAGTGTAGTGATATTATTATTGTTAATTTGGTATTTCTGTGTCTTTAACGTAGGAGATGTTATACTCCCTTCGTTCCATAAAATCCTTTCTCTTTCGTTTTTTTTAATTTCCTAAAACACTTTCACTTTCTATTAAAAAACCACTTTTACCCTTACTTTTTCATACTCTAATAACCAAACTATCACATCTTACTTTTACCCATCACATCAGGGACAAAATTGGAAAGTCAACCAAAATTACAGTTTCCTTATTTTTGCCAAAAGTCAAAAGTGGAAGGGTTTAAAGGGACGGGGGGAGTATTAAATACTCCCTCCGTCTAAATAAACTTCTTCTTTCGTTTTTTTTGTCCCTAAATAAATTTCTCTTTTCCCTTAAAAAACCTCTGTTACCCCTTACTTTATCATACCATACCCATCACATCATATCTTTTTACTAATAATCTACATATCACATCTTACTTTTACACATCACATCAATGATATTTTTGGAAAGTCAACACAAAAATATCCCTCCCTTAAATCCTAAAAAAGTCAAAAAGGGAATTTTTTTATGGACGGAGGGAGTATTACTAGTTGTCATATTACTAATTTCTTTGTTAGTGCATTGATAGGGCCAATAGTTATACTCCCGGTTATTTACTTCTTTCGTCCCTAAAAGATCTTCCTCTTTCATTTTTTTCTTGTCCTCAAAAGATGTTCTTTTATTTATTAAAAACCATTTTTACCCCTTACTTTTTTATACCCTATCTATTACATCATACCCTTTTACGAATAATCTACCCATCACATCTTACTTTTACCCATCACATCAAGGGTATTTTTGAAAAGCAACATAAAAATATCTCTCCCTTAAATCTTCAAAAGTTAATAAGGAAAGATGTTTTAGGGACGGAGGAAATATTAATTTGTAGTTATTTGATATTCAATAACTAATCTTGTTTAGGGTTTTAGTATGGATCTAACTTCATTAGGTCAATTAGGGTTAGAGCCTGTTTTTTATGCCTTGAACTCTTAACTTCCAGTTTTTTCTAGTTCCTTACAGTTTTTTCCAGTCTTTTCCAGTTTCTTTCAGTTTCTTCCAGTTTTTTCCAGTTTCTTCCAACTATTTTCATTTTGTTCAAACTCTTTCTACTCTTCAACTAATTACTCTAAAAATGATATATTTTAATGTGATTATTATTATTATTACAACTGTTATGTTCATAACTATAGTTTATAAATAATTTTTTCATTTCTCTAGTTTAGATCCATGATAATTTTGTTGTCATGTAGATTAATAAATATTCCTTATTATTTTAAGTTTCAAAAATTAAAATTTGGCCACTTCTCTTTCTCTCTCTACTACGGAGTATTTTTTATCAACTTTTTTTTTTAAATTTAATTTTTTTATAATTACTCCGTATTAATTTATTATTTATTTTTCAATTATGCCCCTCTACTTCCTAAATATTCTCTATTAGTTTAAGTTTCAAAAGATAGATATTTAATTATATTTTAATTTATATTAATAAATTGAAAATTTTACTTAAATTTGAAATAAAATGATAAATTGACATAAATAAAATGGACTTCTTTTCTAATGTAATTTTGCAATGTTGCACAAATATCTTTCTTTGAAACAACATTAACTTACACTGAATTTGAGTGTATTAAATACTATTAATGTTAAAAAATTCATTTTAATAATCTATTTACTATTAAATACTCCGTAATACGGAGTAATAATCTATTTACTATTCTACTTTGTTAAAAGTTGGCATAAATAGAATTATAAAATGGACTTTTTTCAATTGTAATTTTGTAATATTACATAATTATGTTTCTTTGAAATGACATTAACTGGCAGTGAATGTTAGCTTCCTAATTACATTACTAAACGATATGAACTCAATTTATTTATGGAGTATTTATTTATTTTCGTAAAGTGATCTACGGAGTATTTAGTATTACACTTTATAAATTTTTAAATTATGAACAATTCATTTTTGCTATACTAATGTAAATTTTAAATTTACGTTATGAGAATTTGAAAATAATAATTCAAAAGTTGTGAAAATGACACAATATTTTTTCTCCAAAATGGTCCTAATTAATTTTGTAACTCACTACATTTTTCTGTATTGCAATTTATTTTTCGAGCGATAATCTGAATTATTTTTCAATAATGTAACATTATATTTCTTTCAGAACATAAAACAAAATTTATAAATCGTTATATTCTTTAAAAAATTAAGGCAAATCTCTAACAAGAGTGTACTGTTACATTTAAAAAAATATAAATTTTAAAATTAAAAAAAGAAAAAATAAAATTGCCTAAAATAGTCTCACCTTTCATTTTTTTGTGAAAAATAAGCATTTTCCAAAAATTCCGTTAAGTGACCGTTAGCTTTTTAACGGCGGTTCAAAACTCGCACACATGCAGTAAGATGAGATAATTTCTGAGGATAGTGAAAAGTGGTACGGAGTACTATTTTAGAAAAAAACGTGAAAAAGTAGGATGGTTTAAGATGATTTTTCTATAAAAACACTAATCAATATTGTACCTTAGATTTTTGTCTAATCATCCATTAACTAGCTTTGCACTATGAGTTATAGGGTCCACTTCTTGGTTTTCTTTGTTTCCTTCAAGTAGACTCGTTGCAGCCCAAATGCCCTGGGATTAGAGCATTGGCAATGACAAGTAATGAGTGAAATGCCACACGCTGACGTGGAATAGTTTAACCAATAAAAAATAAGCTAGTCAGCGTGTGGCAAATGAGTGGAGTGTCAAACTTTACAATGACAGGTCATAGTTTTTATTATCTTTTTATATTTTTTGGCATATTTTAATTATTAAAAATTATTATATTTATTTTATATATCATAAAAATATTACTTCTCCGTTTCTTAAAATCCTTCCTCTTTCATTTTTTTTATTTTCTTAAAACACTTCCCTTTTCTATTAAAAAACCACTTTTACCCCTACTTTTTCATACCCTAGCTATCACATCATACTTTTTTCACCAATAACTAAACTATCAAATCTTACTTTTACTCATCACATCAAAGGCAAAATTGGAAAGTCAACTAAAATTACACTTTCCTTATTTTTTCCCAAAGTCAAAAAAGAAACCGTTTTGAGAAACAGAGGGAGTACTACTTACTCAAAAAAAATTAACAAATTTTTTTTCTTAAAAAAAGAAAAGAAAAAAAATTTAAAAAAAAAAATGGGGCCAAGAATGCCACGCTTGTGACTTGCAAAGAGAGGTGGCATGCTCCTTCCACGCATGGAATAATGTGATTTATGATGATGTGGCAATGAGGCATGAGCAAGGCATGAGGCACTCTACGCCATTGCCCATGCTCTTATCTTCGTCCGTGACCGTGACCCATAACAAAAACAATTCCATTTTTCTTCATATGTTCTAAAAAGTAAAAACACTTCAATTTCCAATTAATTAAAATCTCACCATTTTATTTTATTACGAGTAATTATTGACTTACATGTCACATCATATCTCTTTATTACTCTCTCTGTCACATTTTAAATTGCTTGTTTTCCTTTCTTTTCTGTGCCAAAATAAGTTGCATGTTTCTTGTTATCGTAAACTTTTAAGAGTAAAATACATTATCTATCTCTAAAATAGGTCACTCTTCTTCACCTTATCTTCTCATTCATCGTCACCTCTTCTGTAAAGTAATGACAATTTCGAAAAATCAACTCTATTTTTTCTCTTCCTTAAATATGCTTCAAAGTCAAAACAGACGATTTAAAACGGGACGAAGGGAGTAGTATCAATTCATCCCAATCCTATGGGTTTGAAGTCTTGAGATCACCGTACCATCACAAGAACCTCCTGCTCTCACTAGACGCCAATGCATAGTGACATTTGAATGAACCGAGCCTTGCCGGCTCCGGTTTGTGTAATTGTGTACGTACCACTCACTCATTGTGTTTGCCAATGTATGGTCGGTCATCCATTATTTTTGGTACTTCAATTCAGAAATGGGTTTGGCAAAGAACGGTAATAAATTGAAAAAAAGAAGTGGAGATAGACATGGATTTGAAACTCAATTTAGTTTGTTTGGTTGGAAAGGATTAGCTAGGAATCCTAGGAGGGAGACAAGTTCTTTTCTAATCTAAAGTCCACACTTATTTTATGGATCTTATTATATAAATATCATCGATGAATTGAGTTATTTGAAAAAATAAAAATCACCATGTCGATCCATTAAAAGTGTGAGAAGTCATTCTAAATAGGAGTAAAACATAAAGAAAATATCCAAATAGGAGCTCCATATTTTTATTCTCTAAATAGGAGTTTACATTGTAATAATATGACCGTGTAAATGAACATTTCACTATACTTTTGGTTAATGTATATGGTCATGATTAGCATTGTAAATGAATTTTAACTACTATTTTGGGAATAAAAATATAAAACTTCTATTTTAGTAATTTTTTTGTTTTACTCTTACTTTAGTTTTTCCATAACAAAAAATCAGCACTACCCACTGTAAAAATATCATTTAGCATTTCGGACATGTTTGAGAATAGCATTAGAGATTACCGTTAGTATTTTGGATAAAATTTTAACGGTACATATTATTTTAAAAACGCTAACGCAAGACGCTACTCCGCATATTAATTGACCAAAAAATATTTGTTGGAATTGTGAAAGACAATGGGAAAAATGGGAAGGAGAGTTAAGAAAATCACAAAAAAATATTATTTCAACACATCAATTCTTATTAGAGTACAATTTTATAATACTACCTTCTTCTCAATGTGTTTGTTAGGTTCGGGTTGACTTTTTATAAGAGTCAAACTAGACAAACTTCAATTATAAATTATTCTCCAATAAAAATTGTACTTCATCTGTTTCCACCAATCAATTAATATTTCAATTTTCACGTGTTCCATAAAATAATTTTACTTTTCATCAAACGTCTATTTTACTCCAAGTAACCCTTACTCAACATATTACATGATATCAATTCAATATGGATTCATCGATCACATCACATCCAAAAGCAAAAATAGGAAAGTTAACAACAAAAAAAAGCTCGTTAAGCTTGCCAAAAGTAAAAAAATAAAAAGAAATCACTCTAAATACGAGTAAAATATAGACACAGTATTAAAATAAGAATTTCTGTTTTTATTCATTAAACAGGAATTCACACTGTAATAATATGAAATTATATACTCTCTCTGTCCACCATAGATCTTCTCAATAGCCCTTTTTCTTTGTCCACAATAGATATTCTCATTTCATTTTTTAACAAGTAAAATACCACAACTACCCCACTTACTTTATTTATTACACCCCACCCACCTCATTTAATACACTCCACCCATTTTTCATTAAGGGTATTATGGTAAACTTTTACCTTTTTTCAACTCTCCTTAAAACCACCAAAAGTCAAAATGAGAACATCTTAGGCGGACGGAGGGAGTATATCCAATTCACGTTGGGGAGGATATATATATACACACACGCGAGGAGCAGCAGCCCCCATTTCACCTCAATAGATAGATTAGGTAGGTAGGTAGAGATAGATAGAGGGAGATGGTGGATCCCATTCCTGCGGGGGTTCGGGAGGCATGGGAGGAATGGAAGATAAAAGGGTCCATTCTCGCGAGTCTGTACATACAAACAGTGCTCGTTTTTCTCGCTCCCTTCCGGAAGAGAACGGGCCACAGGCTGGTCATCGCCCTCGTCTGGTCTTTCTACCTCCTCGCAGATGGGGTCGCCCTCTTCGCCCTGGGCCAGATTTTCAACGTCGAGGAAGATGCCGGCGCCGGCTCCGGAGGCAACGGCAAGAAGAAGGAGAATGAGGCCGCGGCCGGGGACTTGGAGGTACTGTGGAGCACTTTCCTTCTGGTGCATCTCGGTGGCCCTGACGCCATCACTGCTTTCTCCATTGCTGATACGCAGCTCTGGCTTCGCCATTTCCTTCAATTGCTCGTCCAGGCTGCGGCTACTTTCTATCTCATCTTACTTACACTCCCCTCCAACCAGGTATCTACATACCAACCTCAAAGCTTCTACTCTCTCCTTCTCTCTTCTTACTCCCCCTTCTCTGGTTCGGTATGGTCAAGTAGTCTCCAAAGTGGATGCAGGGGTTAGGACTTAGGAGTTAGGACAGGTAGGTATCAACAATCAATTTTATATCATGACATTAGCTTTGTTTGGGCCCTTACGGCGGTACTATGTTCGAAAAAATTGATTGTTTATATCCACTTAACCTCCCTTATAAACTCCACAACCGGCCCGAACCAAAGCCACCCCCACCCCCGTCAAAGCATCCCACAAGATTTAGTTGACTTTGTAATCAAATTTTGACTTCAAAGTCAACTAAATCTTGTGAGATGCATTGACGGGGTGAGCTCAGGTCGGGTGGGGGCGTTTATTGGAGAGTTTGGAAGGACAGGAAACTTTATATTTTCGAAAGGAGGACCATAAGGACTTCGAGTCATCCCATGACAATGACTCTCAATGTCACGAGAATCAAAGTGTTCCATATATTATCATCAATTCTAAAATATTGCATTTGTTATATTCTACCCCCTCATTGATTATTTCTCAAATTTTGACTTCTTTAGTTAAATACTCCCTCCGTTCCACTATATTTGTCCACTTTTATTTTTGCACATCATCTAATACACTTCTTTAATCCATTTTATCTTGTAATTTATATATTAAAAAATTATAGAAATTATATATTAATAATCTATATGTTAAGACAAATCAAACAAGATCATGAATGACTATATTTAGGCTTACACATTGAGAAAATTTGATGAGTCAAAGTGCTTAGATGAACAGTTCCAAAAGTCAAAAGTGGACGAATATAGCGGGACGGAGGTAGTAATTTTTAACCCATTGACCTATAATTAAAAATATATATTGCATTTTAATAGATAGAATAATGTTTTAAAAATATTTTATAAAATAAATTAAATAAATATATTTTTTTTATAAATATCTAATATCAATTTTTGTGTTGATTTTTCAAATATCCTTGATGTTGTTTAAAAAATATGACGTGATACGTAAGATAAGTTTTAATAGAAGTAAAAGTGATTTTTAAATAAAAAGAGGAAGACTTTGTGGGGCACAAAAAATAAAAAAAGAAGATTTTTTTTAGAGCGGAGGTAATATATGAAATACAGAGTAAATGTGTATCTTAGTAATAGCAACAAAAAATTGCTACTGGGCATCACATATTTTGTGATAAAAACTGCGAGCTACCCTAGTTTTCAAAATAAACTATCAGGTACCTCAAAATGTCAGAAAATAACTCCAAAGTGACTTTCCGTCCCTCACTCCGTCAAACCCCAATCTCCGTCATTTATCATCATCATCTTCATCATCTTCTTCTTCTTCGTTCTTCCTCTTCTCCCTTTCTTTTCACCTTCTTTCTTTCTTCTTCTAAATCTTGTACGAAGTAATTGACGAGGGTGAGTTCAACTCACGTCGGGTGGGGGCATTTATCGGGGAGTTAGGAAGGACACAAAACATTAATTTTTGTCAAACGAAGGATCATAAGGACCTCAAGTGATCCCATGACATTGATTCATATGGTCATGTGAACCAAAGGTGTTTCATATATCATCATCAATACTAAAATATTGTACTTGTTATAATATACCTCATCATTGATTATTTATCGAATTTTGACTTTTTGTAGTAATTTAATTTTAACATTTGACCTATAATTAGAAACATATAGCGCACTTAAATTAGAGAAAACAATATTTTGAATTTTTTTTTTAAGAAAATAAATGAAATAAATCTTGTTTGTGTATCAATATCTAATATCAATTTTATTTAATGCACGGACGCAGCTGCTTGGGCCGACGTTGTTGTTGTTTATTGTGGGGATAGTGAAGTACTCCGAGAGATGCGTGTCCCTATGCTTGGCATGCCGGCGCGAGATTGGTAAATGGGTGTTGTCCTCCACTGAGTTTGAAAAACTAGTTTTGTTTGATATGGTTTCGGCAACAGGAATGGAGTTTGCCCTGTTCTGTGGTAAATTGGTAAATGGGTTCTTTTCCTTTAATTTTCTGGACATGCATAATAAGATTGGTGTTATTATTCACACGGAAAAGTCTAATAATAATGTTTTGCTACGACTTTATGTAACTAATAAAAGATTGATTTTGTGCCTAGCCTATTGAGATTGACGAGGAGGTGATTGTGTCCGTAGCTCTCAAGTTCAGGCGAGCATCCGATAATAATAACAACCTGGAGAACTATGAAAAAGCAACTGATGCGTTGAGGATAACAGAGGTTGTGATGAATTTGATATACGAGAACGTGTTCTCAAAGGCACTGGTCTTGCATTGTGGTGGCTGGGGTTACGCTTTCCGCTTTCTCACCTTCTCCTCCACCGTGGCAGCTCTCTCTATTTTCTGCTTCAAAGAACATCATCATTATTATTACAACAATGGCCGCGGGAATGATGTTGGAGTCACTTATGTTTTGCTCGGCGGTGCCATTGTACTCGAGTTGTACTCTATTCTTATGATCATCTTTTCAGACTGGACGTTCGCTCATATCCGCCCCAACAACAACAACAACAACAAGTTTATTAGATGTGTTCAGAGATGTTGTGCTTTTGTGTTCCTCCCCGCTCTCCGCAAACTGGTCCGTCTCAAAATGACCAAGTGGGATGATAATGACCGCGGCCGTAGATGTGGAGCCTATGTTTTCCGAAGGTGGTCAGGACATGTCTCCGGTTACAACTTAACGAGGATTTCATCCGCACAAAAAGCGACCACCACGCCGGAAAATACTAGTAATAATAATAATTTTAATGTTGTTGCAAAGGTTAGGGCCGCGACAATCAAACCCTTTGCGGTTGCCAAAGACAAATTCTTTAAGGCCGAGTATGACGAGTGGAAGTACGTCTCCCATGAGCCGCTAACCGATCCCCTCTGGCGATTCGTCTTCGATCATCTACGCGCGAAAATTAAGCAGCCGGACAAACCACCCAATTTCAGACTCCTTTCGGGAGGATTTTTGGCTCTAAGGCCTCAGAAAACAGCTCGTAGTAATAACAATAATAATAACCATGATGTGATGGGCGTGATTGGTGATCCGTTTATAGACCTCCTGGTTGAAGATTTCAACTACGGAAGGAACCTTTTGATTTGGAGCATAGCGACCGACCTGTTATACAACAACGCATACGACGATAATGATATCAGCATCAGTAGCAGCAGCAGCAGCAACAACAACAACAACAGCAATGGTAGTGGGAATAATAGTAATGCAAAGTATTGCAGTAAGATATTGTCAGATTACATGTTGTATCTCTTGGTAGTGAGACAACTGTGGCCTCTGGGGGACTTCAAGCGCCAGTTCATGGAATTATGTGGAGATTATCATAAAAGAAAAGGTGGGGTGAAAGATGACATACTACGACCAGACGTCATAGACCTTGATGGTGCATCCACAAAGCTGTTCGACTGTGGGGATAAGCTTGCCAGGATACTGAAGAAATTGGCTGGAGAGAGAATGGGAGACGGCGGCGGGGAGGAAGCGATGTGGGAGGTAGTGGGCAGCGTGTGGGTGGAGAAACTGTGGCTGGGAGCAAGGAAATGCAGCGCAAGTACTCACATTGAGCTCCTCTCTAGAGGTGGTGAGCTCCTCACTCTCGTTTGGCTCTTATCTACCAAGCTCGATCGCGATTGCAGCTGGAGTACGTCTAATTGATGTGTAATTTGGTCTGCGTGTGGATGCCCCACTCCGAACCATTAATTAAATAATTGTCGCATGAACTAACTTCTAATGTATGAATTCTACTACTCGGCAATATGAATTTAGTGGCACCAATGTCACTCCCTTTCTCTTACTTATCTCATTAGTTAGTTTCCTCAACCAAGTTATTTTACTATTCTTTTATTACCCCCATAGTTTATTACTCCCTCCGTTCCTCTAAGATGTTCTCATTTTGACTTTTGGTGGTTTTTAAGAAGAGTTGAAAAAAGGTGAAAGTTTACCATAATACCCTTAATGAAAATGGGTGGAGTGTATTAAATGAGGTGGGTGAGGTGTAATAAATAAAGTAATTGTTCAAAAGTGAAATGAGAAGATCTATTGTGGACAAAGAAAAAAGACTATTTTGAAGATCTATGGGGGACGGAGGGAGTATTACCCAATCTCTTATCATGGGTTTCATGGGGAATTTAACCACCGCCATGTAGGCGCTAGATAGGCGTGTCATGTGGATTGTCCTTCTCATCAAGCCCCCATATCACTTATAGATACGTAATATGGTATTGTGGGGGACTTGACAAGGGGTTTGACCACTGTTTTGTAAACAGATACTACCTCCGTCCCATTTTATAACGCCTGTTTCGGTTTACGATGTTTGACTGAAATTATTTTTAAACTATTTTATATGACAAATGGTATAGAATTAAAAAATAAAAATTACATATTAAAAAACTACATCAAAAGATCTACAAAACTAGTAGTGACAAGAATATTTTATTTTATCAAATTGCTAACGAAAATAGAGAAAGAAAGTGAATGAAGTTTGACCGTGTGAATAGTAAACATGCATTATAATTTGGGACGGAGGGAGTAAATTCTAATATTAATTTAAACATAATTCAAACTAAATGCATTGATACATGAAAAAATTGCAATTAAGAAAGAACAACGAAAACAAAAGCAACGGAAAAAAAATAAAAATGGAAAACAATTAGAATGAAAAAATAAAACATCTAGTTGCCTGTTTTTCATTTCGCCTTCGCCTTGTTCGTGTGTTTTCTAGCTTGCCCGGTCAAGTGATCTTGTTGGAGAGAAAGAAACATTTTCACGTGCGTTGATATCTCTTCCAACTTTCTACTCCCCGAGGGCATTGGACGTTTTCCTCGAACGTTGCGTCCGGGGGAGCGGGTGGCGAGCTGAGGTTCTGGAGGAGGGATGTCCCCCTCATCTTCATCAGAGTTGTTCAAAATTATTTCAACTCGAGAGGAGGAATGTCCTGAACCCATCACGCTCACTAGCGTATTGGGCCAATGCATCACTCATAACCTATGCATCGCTTTGGCCACTCCTCCGCGACCTATTCACCTCGTTCCAAATACCACGGAATTCGGAAACCTTCGCGTGCATGTCTCGCCATTTAATTACCTGATATCAAGTCGTTGCTGCGGTATTGGCCTCGACCCATTGTCTCAAAAAAATTCAGTGGTTATGATGAGACAAGAAGCCTCAAACTGCAAGCAAGCTAACATCTCTAGTAAGAAAACCAAAATGTCAAACAAAATTAAGGAACAAGAGAACAGAGAATTCAAATAACCTCGATCACAAGGTTAATTAATAATACTCTCTAGGTTATGAATATACTCATAAAACACGTAATAGTTGATTTAGTATCAGCAATGGATTTCAATTACTCACCCAATGAAATCTACAGATCGGCTAATAAAGAACATAGAATGCAATTTAGGATTCAAATAACATTCGTGGATTAGAATATCAGATCTCTAATTAAATGATGGAAAGAGAGGAACAAAAAGGCTAAAATTATAGAACCTGAACATCGTTAAAAATCTGACTGAAATCATCCAATTACTGAACGCCGCTGGATCTGGTCGAATGGGTGAAGATGAAACCGAATTTGTGCGAGAGAATGGCAGACAGCGGCGGCGTGGCTACTCTGTGAGAACTTCCTGCCATTATACAATAACACATAAAACATCATCACCAAAGAGTAATGCTCAATTGACATAGGCTCCGTTTGGAAAATGGCATTTCGGCTCTTCTTTGACTGTACTTGGCTGTTTTGAATAGTCAAACAGCTAATTTAAGTGTTTGGATAATGGCTTCTTTGTTTAGCAGCTTGGTCTGAACAGCCAAGATTCAAAATGCCAAGAAGATGAGCGTTTATGTTCGGCAGTTCATTCTTTTTCTTTAGTGCCCTTTTTCAAGTATTTTCCTTTAAATAAGTATCTTTGTTTATTAAAATTAAAAACAGCATCTTCGTTATACACAAAGAAAAAACTGCTTTGATCCTTCAAAAAAATCAGCAGCTTCAAATTATGGATGATGTATGTTGTTTGTCTTTCTTCAAAGCCAGGTTCTCAATACTCAAATCTAAATTACTATGGAAAAAAAATATGATGTCTTCTCCTAGATCTAAGCATCGTGCCATAGAGAAAAAAATTGTAAAGATTCAGTGCAATTGATATTCACAATATATAAGAAACAAGAATGAAAAATAAACAAAAAGAAATAAAATAAAGACGCCTCGAAGTGAGATAAGGATGTCATTTATGGAAAAAAAAGACGGTGTAGGTAAAAGTTTGAGAAAAAGTTGGAAAGAATTGAGTGAAAAAATACTCCATACCGAGTAAAGAATATAATGGGTACCCAAAATGATATAAAAAAGTTATATGTATACAAAAATTTAAGTTACCTAAAAGTAATAAATGAAAAAAATTAAGTATATATAAAAATAAATTTTATATATATGTGTGTGTGTGTCTATATATATATACACATACACACACACACATTAAAAAATAGAGTATGTAGTATGTCCTTAAAGGTAATTTCATTCGCAACAGCTAAGTTTGCCAAACATTTTTTCGTAACAGCCAATACAATCAGCCAGTCAAAACAGTCAACTCAACCAGCTATTCAAACCTGCCAACACAAACAGCCAATAGCCAACAGCCAACTACTATTTTCCAAACAAGGCCATAGTCACAAATCTTACAAAATATTTGATTAATGACTCTAGCTGTCTAGCTTGAGAAGGTATATGGTACATCCGGATGTACCTAGAAATATGTGATACTCAAATAAAATAGTATTCATTCTCGTACAAATATAAACATTCATTTCGAAATACGTGATACTCATTCTGAAATAAGATAATACTCATTATTAAATAAAGAAGTACTCATTTTTATACATTTGTCTAATATAACTATAATAAATAGCATAGTGTTCATTCTTAAAAAAAACCGTACTCATTCTCAAATAGGAAAATGCTCATTCTGAAATAAAGTGTTGTTCAATTTTTTCACAACAGTATCCTCATTATCAGATTCATTCCAATCCCCAAAATCTCTTCAACTTCTTCAGTCCCACCCACCTAGGGTTTCCAGGCTTCCTGTTCAACTTCTTCAGTCCCAGGGCTTCCAGGCTTCCTGTAAAGCCGCCGCCACCATCACCATCCCTCGTCGCCCTCTCCATCGTTTTCGCCTCCTCCCAATCGTCGCGCCTCGTCGTAGCCTTTCTTTCGCCGGCCTTCTTCGATCGTCACCCTCCTCTCTTCCTTCGCGAACTTCTTCGATTCTTCGCTCCTGCCGCTTATTTCCGCCGGCTGTACGGTTCTTCCCGTACAGCCGGATGTACGATATAATTTGCGGTCTAGCATTACTCTCTTCAAAAGTGGTATCTTTTGGATCCCAAAAATAAAAAAAGAGTGAAGTTATTTACTATCCAAGAAATCATAACTAAAAGTTTGCACTATAGTAATATGACATTGTACTTATGCATTTTGTTATACTTTTGGTAATGTACATAGTCATAATTCGTAATGTAAATGTATTTTAATTCTTATTTCGCGAATAAAAATATGAAACTCTTGTTTGATATATTTTTAATGTTTTTACTTCTACTTTGATCTTTTCTCATTAGTTGGGCATGAATTGGAATTGATTGAAAAAAATAGATGGATGCAAGTTTTGTGTTGCCGTTAGAAAGCTAACAAACACTTAAAGGTGATTTTAATTTTGGTGAATGCTATTTTTATTTTTTTTAATTTTTAATTTAAAATATATATTTTTAAAAATATAATAATACACTCTTGTTAGATATCTCTATCGTCTTTTTTAAATATAATAATTCAAATATTTTTATTTCCTTTTGGAGGAAATATAAACCGATGTATCGCTCAAGAAAAAAATTGCAATACAAAAGAATTATATTGGGTTATAAAAATAAATAGTGCCATTTGAATGAAAAATTATTGTGTCGTTTCCCCAATTTTTTAATTATCATTTTTGGAAAAACTTTGTACTAAATTTTCAAAAAAAATTCACAAGTTTCATAGTGTCATGTTGGAAAAAATGATACGAGTCATAGTTGATTATCGATAAATAATTTAGAATATTGTTGATGAAAAATTTGCATAGAAACTAAATTTAGTGGGTTTTAAAAATAATAGTTTCATGACGGAGAAAAAAATATTTCCATCTTTATAGTTTTTGTAATGTTGTTTTGCAAAAAATATTTATAGTGAATTATTGAAAAAAACACAACTTTATAGTCTTAGTATTTTAAAAAATAATGATAGTATCTTATCAAAATTGTAGTGAGCTATGGAGTAAATAAATTAGTTTCATCTTGTAGAATAATTGATTTTATAATTTCATAACATCTGGATTATTATTTCAGAAAAATAATTATTACCCGATTATCGCTTATCGAAAAATATTATACTTGACCCATATATTCTTTTTATACATTCACAAAAATGAGCATTAGTTATTTTTTATCTAAAATTAATATAACTAATTTATTTTATTAGTTATAATTTCATATTCTACAATTTAGCTTATATTGTTTTTCTCCTGTTTTTTTATTTTATTTCAATCAAATACCCCTGCATTTTAAAATGGATGCCTTGTCATTATTAAAGGCTCTTGATAAACTGTCCGTACACATGTTTCTTTCATGTGATAAAATAAAATGTTTTTATTATCTCTTATTTTGTAAAACTTATTATGTAATTTTAAATGATGTTATGTTATTTATTTTCTTTACTGTAAATAAAACACTCGACCTCTCATTTGGGAGAGACATAACGGTGCAATTGGACTACAAGGTCCTACACATATTTTTTATTTCTATACTAATTTGTAATTAAAATAATCTAAAACGTAATGAGATAATGCACGTTGTTTGGGGAGTAGTATACATTTGGGTGGGAACGGGGCGGGATGGTTCGGATTTATACCGTCTCGTGTTTTGTCCCGTTTTTTCAAATGATTCAGAATAGTTCAGGCCACAAGCTTATCCCTCTTTGTCGCTTAATATTCATTATTGGGATAAAACGGAACGAGTTTGGGTTGTCATACTTTGTCATTATCCGAAACTAGATATAAAAATATAAAATACATAAGGCGGAGGCATTGAGGCAACCCATTTTGACTTACAAAGTAATGAAAAAATGATATATATATATATATATATATATATATATATATATATATATATATATATATATATATATATATATATATATATATATATATAGAATATTTTTGAAAGGCCAAAACAATAAAGATACATGAAAAAACGTAACAACATACGTCAAAAGTCAAGACTATAAGCTTCATCAAAAAACTATGAGCCAAAAATTAGCGCGGATCAGGTTAGAATGGTTTAGGTTTTAAGTATTCCGTTCATAGTTCATTTCTTTAAATATTTGAATATGTATATTTTTTATATCTATTTTTAGAAAAACAAAAATTATGATATTTTGTGGTATATCATTATATAAATAAATAGATATATACATTTATTTGTTTTTTAGATATATACTGATATACATATAAACGGGACAACGAGACGAACTGAGAAAATATTTATGTGTTCCTGTTTTGCCATATTTTAAAACGGTTCAGAATGGATTTGTGACAAAACTTTATCATCCCTAACAAAATGGAATATTACATGGACGGGACCAAAATATTGCGGATCGGGATAACGGTTTCGGAATTCTTGCCCACCCCTAGTTGTTAGACGCCTCGCACACCTCTAGAGGGGGGGTGAATATAGGTGTTCTTCAAAAATCAAAACTTTTGGAAGATTAAACAAACAATTCGCAGAATTATATCAACCACAAGAAGACAAAGAAGAAGAGAAGGAGCAACACACGATGTATATTGGTTCAGCCTAAATGCCTACATCTAGTCCCCGAAGCAATCGTGCCCAGGCCTTCACTAACCCGTCAAACTTAACGGAGTTTGACCATCCGAATACAACTCGAGAACTTGATTTCACAAGTCTCTTATCTTACCACCAAAGTTTTGATTTCAAAAAACTTAGGATTTCTTCCACCTAACGTTTGATTTCACAAACCGTTAGGATTTCTACCACTTGGTGTAATCCCAACACCAAGAATACAAATCCCTTACAATAAAGTAAGAAAAACAAACCGCAACCGAGTAATTCTCCCAACACGGAGTAGATTGTTGCAAATACAATGAAGTCCTTTAGAATATGGCAATATCTCTCAAAGACTCAAGCAATGAGGAAAAACTCAAGCAAGAAATGATTTAGCAATCAAAACAATTGCTTTGCTTGGATATAAGGAGGGAATTGAGTAGAATCTTTTTGGATATTCAAAAGATATGTTTTTGAAGTGTCTTCAATGTATATTCTTGGCCAAAAACACGAGATAGGTTAGTTTATAGAAGTTAGGGAGTGGATAGGGATGAAAAGCATTCAAAAAACTAGCGTAGTTGAAACTGTCGAACTATTCGACTAAGTCAAGACTTAGTCGACTAGTTTTGGTGAAACTGCAATCTGACTTATTTAACTAATTCTTGATTTATTCAACTAAGTCAGAATAGAAGTTCAGGGATTTATTCGAATAGTTTTCAACTTATTCGAATAGTTTGCTGAAAAAAATGTGTTTTAAAGGTAGGATGATAAGGGAATGAACCTTAGAGATGCCATATTCTTTAAGACAAAATCTAATACTCCATTCGTCCTAAAACTTTCTTCCCATTTCCCATTTTTCCCCGTCCTAAAACTTTCTTCCCACACCCTTAAAAAAGGTGTGTAATGTCTAAAATACCCCCACCTTCACATTTACGCCACAACCACCACACCTCCACATTTACGCCACATATCTCTTATACTTTTGTACTCTTCGCCTCCTCTCTCTAAACCTAGATCTATATCTCTGCATCTCGCCATTTCTGCATCTCTCGTCTTCGCCATCTCTCTTCTTCGCCATCTCTCGTCCTCGCCATCTCTCGTCTTCGCCAGCTCTCGTCCTCGCCATCTCTGTGTCTTCCTCTCCGTCTCACCCTCTATTCGTGTCTCTGTAAATTCCTTCTCCCACAAAACCCTAGATCTAATCTTTATCCCCAACATTGATATGGATTCTCAGATTTCTGAGATCCAGTTACTTGTTGAATCTCAAATCGCTGAATACTATCAAGGGATGAAGCCAAAAGATGAGAGGTTTGAGAACGGAGAGAGAGACTATGGATTCATTACACAGTGAGGACAGAGAGAGTGAGTCCACTAAGACCAGCTCTGAAGTTGGCATAGTCATTGCTGACAGCGAATACGAGGAAAGTGAGATGGAGGATGAGCAGATGCGAAGCTTTGGGAGCGAATTGGATGAAGAGTAGCCAGGTCTTGAGATGGGCAGCCACTCCAGTCTACCGGAAGAAGGGGTTGGCGCGGCTCAACCAATTCCAGGCTTGCTTTCTCATCGGGAGTGGAAAGTGAAGTTGCTCTTTCTTTATTCTTTGCATTTTCATGGGTAGTTGCACACATTATACTACATACACAGCGATGATGAACATGTGATTAAGTTGTCTAGTTCAAGTAGTTCATTAAGGTACATAATGCGAGTGGTAGTAAAAGAAAACCTACTGGAGTACATTTCGAGTGGTTGCCTTGATGGTGAGACAAAAAAGTCAAGGTGTTTGATTGCATTTGAATGACTTCTTAGCAAACCTCTTTTAATACAAAGATTAATTGTTGATTTAGACATACCGAGGGAAGCAGCCAGTGATCTAATGGTTGTCCTTTGGGCAAGAGGAGTGTTTCCAATGGTCTCAATGTCTATAGAAACTCTTTTTCTGCCTGAATTCACTGGAAGTCTGCTTTTCACATCAATGGCAACACCTTCTAGTAGTTGTTTTCTAGCTCTGCTCCATATGGCACCTACTGTCCTTCTTGAAACATTAAAATCTGCAGCAACTTTGCTGATAATCCCTTTTTGAGCTGTGTACTGCCCTGAGATGTTCTTTCTTGAATATAGTAGGATAAGTTCAACAATTCTTTGTCTTTGTGCGTTGGATAGTCTTTTGGTAATTTCTTGATGTTCACTTTGCAGATTCTCATGACAGCTTGGGTTGAAAGAGGGAACAGGGGAAACAATGAAAGTAGAATGGTGAGAGAGAGAAGCAAAAGAATTTGCCACAGGAGGGGGCATAACTGATGGGAAGAGAGGAGAAGGAAGGAAGAGTATTGGGGTTACTAAAAGTAGAAAGGTTTGCTTTTTATAGTGTAGTAGTTGCAGGAGAATCTGCAGTTTTTGTTTTTGTGTTGGAGGGAAGTTTCCCTCTTCCCTCCAAACTGAAATTTTGGAGGGATTGACTGTATTTTGCTCCCTCTTGACTGTAATGCTAGTGGGTTTCAGATTTTTGCTTTACAAGGGGGCTGTCCTTGTTTATGTTAAATTGAATGTTTTGTGTTTAATAATTAATGAAATGTTTTGTGTGCTTTTCTCCCTAATGGCGTATTTTTTTTTCAATTTCCAACTTTTTTTGTTAGAGGGGCAAAATGGGAAGTCAAGGCCTAATTATACAACCTCTTAAAAATGAAGAAAAGTCAACCCGGGAAGTAAGTTTTAGGACGGAGGGAGTACCTAAAACACTACCCAACTAAGGAAACAACCTCTTCGGTCTCGTTCCTTCAACCGATGCTCAAGTCCCTTCTTCACGGACGGATATGAACTTATTGTAGCTTTGATTCTTATCCTTGATGCACAATATGATGATGATGTTTTGTCACCCTTTTGTCATTATCAAAAGCTAAAAGACAATGGGCTGAGGACATTGCAAAAAATATATATTCATGATAGCACATTGTCCAACACTAGTATCTATTAGAGAGTGGTAATTATTGTGAGACGAAGGGAGTAAATGTAAGGTTGCGTTTTGTTCAACTTATTACTTATTATGATTAAAATCAAATCAAATTAAACCATATCTGAAATAACTTTAAATATAACTACAATCATTTCAGATCAGACCAAGTATTCAAAAAAACAAATCAAACAAATGCAATGCAGCCTAAGTCTCAAATCTTACATAGTATTACTGACCCACTTGCTAGTGAAAAACATGTATCAACTCGTTGATCAAGTCATTGACCGAGTTCAATCAATTAATTTGTGACCAACTTGCTTTTCGAGTTCGACGTTCCGTCTATTTTTCAGAACATTAATATTTACTATTTTACGAGTAAGACTCCGTACTTCGTATTAAATAAAATAGATAATATACATGATTATGAATAATTGGATAATTAGCCATTGAAAATGAAACAATGAAATTTACATTATGTTTCTCTACATTGATGCTTATTGACTTATTGCTCATGAGAAATTTTTTAATTTATAAACTGCTTATAAGCCAAATATCTTTTCATGGAAGTGAAATGACTTAAATGATAGATTCATTGTTTGGAAATATTTATAAATGGTGATGGGATAGTTTTGTAAATAATATATGGTCAAAACAAAATATAAAAAACTAGCTTAAAATTAAGTGGGTAAGATCTACTCTCTCCGTCTAAAAAAGAATGTTACGTTTCATTTTTTGTGCATCCCTTAAAACACTTTTATATCGTCTCAAATGCCAAAAAAACTTTCAAAACAATTTCATCTTTTAATAAAGAGTAAATATGGTAAATTTTAGAATTTTTAGAAGTGAGTAGCCGTGCTTTTTGTGAAGCGCAAAAAAATGAAATGTAACATTCTTTTTGGGACGGAGGGAGTACTTATTAACTTATTAACATGTCATCAGCTCACTAATAAGTTAAAAACTAATTATAAAAAATTTTGACCAACTTATAAGTACGGAGAAACATCATTATGTTTTGGTTCAGGAAATTTGAAAATGAAAGAAAAAGAAAATAATTTTTACTCATTTCGTTCATTAAAAATTAAAATGAGAAATTTTTTATCATAAAAAATAAGATGAAAATTTGTGGACAATAAAGTCTTTTTTTACATTTTTAATATTTATTTTTCTAAAAATGGAGAAATTATATTTTAGAGAAATATCTTTAGAGAATAAGTATTTATTTCTCTAAAGCAGAAAATGTTGTTCTAGAGAAATTTTTATAGAATAGAAGAAAGTATAGACCAAGCTGCATCCAAAAAAATAAAAGTAAAAAAGGTGAAGAATCTTAAGATGGAAAGCAAGCATTTTCACGCGTTTGGGCCTTCAGCTAATGTGGGAATTAGAATAATCAAATTGCTAATGACTGTAATTACTAATTCCCCCCTAAAATCATACGAGCAGTACAAAACCATCCATTCATGATTCATTCACATAACAAAGAGGTTTTAGAGGTGAAGAAAGAAAGAAAGAAAGCGTTCTTGACGGCGCCAACCGCCACTCCGCTTCCACCTCCAGGTACTACGCCTTTCATAATTTTTGTATATATTATCATTGCCATTATCTTTGTTTGATTCTATAAAGGGAACGATTTAACATGAAAAAGATGGTAACTTTTTTTTTCTCCCAAAATTTGGAATTAAAGATTGGGGCTTTGCCCTTTCCCTTTTCTTTTTCTTTTTCTATTTCTTTTCTGTTTTGTGCTGTGGAATATTTGATCTTTGTTTGAAGGCTTCAAGAACTTTCAATGGGTTTGTGATCTGGTGCAGTTGGGTGTATTGTGTGTGATGTTGCACTCCTCTTTCTGTTCTTGGATCAAAAAGCTTCTTGCTTGCATGGGGTAGGCCTTCAGATTCCACTTCAAGATTTTAATGTTTTCCCTTTTATTTGGTAAATTTTTGCTGTTTAAGTTCTGCCTTGATGCCAAGGGCAAAAATAGGAAAGGCAGTGGAGGAAATTGGGGAAAGTTGTCATCTTTTTTATGTTGATTAGTTTTGTTAGAGTAAATTCTTTGATTTATTTTGGGGTTTAGCCATTTAGGGCAAGTTCTTTACAACTTCGTTTTTATTTAATTCAGTTTTTTCAGTTCAGATCAGCACATAAATTTGCACGTGTTAAATACAAGTTGCAACAAAATTATCCAACTTTCAATTTGTTTCACCACTTCTCCGTCAAGTGAAAAGAATTGACCCTTGCCAATCAAGGTATAGAATGGTAGTAATTTGCCCAAATTTTAGATCACTTAGGTTGAGATATAACTTACAAGAGGTAACTTGTACCAGTGAAGTTGTTAAAGTTGCTTAAATTGTGTTTGATACTTTAAATATGTTTTCTTCATGGGATTGGATTAAAAAATGGGAAGAATTCATTGCAACAACCTAGAAATTTGAGGTTTTTAAGGTGTATCGGTGATCAATGTGATATCATAGCGTATTATTGTATAATATCTAATTACATGAGCTTTGGTGATAACCATGCAATCTTGGAGTATTTTTGTAAATTCTCAAATTTCTAGTAGTGTTTGCATTAATTTTTCCTTAAAAAATGCAGAGTATGACATGTTATATTCTTGATAATTAAAGAACTGTTTCAGTCTAAAGTTTATTATATACTCCATCCTCCGTAAAAACTATGGCCGAAAAGAAGGAAAACTATGCCATCAAACGGGTATTTGTTTGGAATTTGGATGTTTGATGGTCTTTGGATCCAGCTGTTAGAACAAGAGGGTGCTGATTTTCCAGAAGTTTTATGAATTAGTTCTTAGTTTGTGGAAGCATATATTGTCGAAAAAACTTGATGATATTATATGTTTGAAAGAATCAAAGTCCTGGATGAGTATATAAGGAAGAAATAGAGGAATTTCAAATCAGAACCACGCAGATAAATTCCCAACATTTGATGTTTGAATTTATGTTGTTATGTATTCACATGAAAGGATGTCTTATTGTCTTTTAACAGAATCTGAATAATTATGGGTAATAGTTGGCAGAATATACCTTATGGTTAGCTTATAGTCTTAAGAAAATAAAACTCAGAACTCCGAACCAAACCAGCCTCTCTACCCCTAAGTAGGGGAACGGTTTGCGTACACACAATCTACTCTTGTGGAACTCTAGTGGGTTTGTTTGTTTCTTAGTTGTTGTACTCCAAACCGAACCACAGGCACTGGAGGATAAATTCCCAACATTTGATGTATTCAACTCAAGAGTAGGTTTTGGAGGAGAAGATGTACGCTAACCCTTTCCTCTACTCCAAGAAATAGAAACCTTTTTCCGGAAAAAATAAAAAATCCTTCCATGAAACATGCCCGTTTCTCTGAAAAATTTAGTTTTTTTTATTCTCTTTTTTATAATTTATAATAGTAATAATAATAGTGTCTTTTTTAGAAAAGTGCATTGTCTGTTACTGTCAAAAGATGCTTTATGTCGTATTGTATATGCAAATAAACTTGATTGAAACAGAGCAGAGGTTGCTTTGGTTGCTGTGTGAAATCTCAGCCAATAACAGCGGTGGATGAGCCATCGAAAGGCTTGCGAATTCGAGGAAAACTGGTGAAGAAGCATAACAGTTTATCCGAAGATTTATGTAGCAGCAGCACGTTCGAGATGGAAAACAGCACTGTTCAATCTCAAAGAAGTCAGTCATCTATTAGTAGTTCAATTCCGTCCAATCAGATGAACAATGGCCAGAATTGCAGCACTAGCAGCCATCCTGAATTTGTTAACCATGGTAAGTTCCACCTTTTAAAATTTATTTTAAATATTTTTCAATACATTTTATTTATTTATTTCTAATATGTAAAGACCAAATTTCTAATAGTATGTGTTGAAGTAACTAATCATATTTTTTTTCCTTTCTAGTATTTTCAATGATAAAACCAAATATACTAAAATAACAACTTTTTAAACATTTGCTTACTATTTTCTTTTCTCTAGCATTATCTGAGATCCAAAAATACCCTGAGGCAATCTTTGGGACATTGAAAATAGTAGCGGAAGGGGAAAATGCCAAGGAAATCAACTTCTTAGTGTTTGGTTTTAACTTGAAAAAATCCATGGTTAATCTAATTTGGTCAAGAATTTTACATATAATTCCATCATCTCCGATGGGGCCAAAGATTCATTATTTTTTGGCTTTGGGGTATGATGGAATAAAGCAAAATGCCTCTTTAAAATTTTTGCGCTTCTTTTATAGTGAAGAACCAGTTAGTCATTGTAACTCTTGACGCAACGAGGCAATGTTGTTGTAGTCTTTATTTACTAAAAATATAAACACAATGTGTTTGAACATTTATCTATAATTGATTAATTGTGTTTTAACCAATATTCAAATTACATACAATTTTTTTCTAACTAATTTCTCAAGTATTTCTAACCGTAGAATTATCTGGGTTCCAAAAGGACACTAATGGTAGGTTATATTATTATCTTTATGCTTATGAAAGGGGATAACATGCTAAGCAATGTTACTCTGTATTTTTTAATGTTAGAATTTACCCTTGAAAAAGCAAAAGATAATGACATATCTTTTTAATTTTGTTTTACACTCATTAGTCATTATACAATAGACATAAATAAATGAAATGAATGTCAACAAAAACCTAAGATAAATTTGTTGAATTTTAGCATATCTTTTGTTTTCCTCCGCGTTTCATGCCCTTCTAGTTGTCCTCCATGTTTTCCTTCCACCCCGTCGAAACAGACCCGTAATGTTTTCTACATTCAAGCAAGAGGGGATGGAGTCTTGTACGTATACTCCTTTCATTCACATTTAAGTGACCATTACTATTGCAATGCATCAAAAGTTAAATGAATGTGGACATGATATATGCCCTTATTCATTCAACTTTTGGCGTATCACAAAAGTTATACTGATCATTCAATTGTGAAGGGAGGGAATATGTTTCATGTCGACCAGGGCAGAGGATTCTTGGACACCGCCTTTGCTTTTGACGATAATTTTTTTTATTTACTCCGTATTTATTTTAACAGTTGAATGAATGAATTTCAGGTTATCTTCTTTGGAACCAGACAAGGCTTCAGTGGCTTGCAAGTAAAAAACCAGACGAGCAAAGGAAAGTCCGGGAGCCAGTAATAACGTGAGAACCACTTCATGCCAACTCACTTAAACCTTAACGCTATGTTTGATTCAAGGAATTTGAGAGGGAAAAGAAAATAAAATCGAATGGAAAATGTTTTTTCATGTTTGGTTAGAAAGGAATAAGAAAAGAAAAGTGAAAGGAAAAGAGTACGAGAAGACAATATATAGGCTAATAAGAAAGAAAACTGGATTCTTTCCATTTTTGGTGAGCCAAAGGAGAGAAATCATTTTCTTTTCCTTTCCTTCCAAATTCCCATGAACCAAACATAGTGCAAGGAAAATATTTTCTTGAAAAAATCCCTCTTTGGTCCCCAATTTTCATTATTGTTGTATGTTTTTTATTATGTATTTCTTAACACTTTTTGTCATTCCCACTATATATGCTGCTGCCAAAACCAGCTTGAAATATTCACCCAAGCTTCTTGAATTCATTGTCTTTGAGGAACCTTTGTATTTCAAATCTAAAAACAAAGGTTCTTTGCGTGTATCACAAAGATGATTACTTTTTTGTTGCATTTAGATAAATAAGTGCCCTTGAAAGACCCAAAGTGGTAAGAAATCTGTAGTAATACTCCAAAAGTGTAAAAAAAAATCTTGGGAATAAAAGATGAATCTTTTCTTATTTTTTTTCTAGATGTCATTTTTCCTATTCAAATTCTTTCTTTACTGTATGACATTTTCAGTTGGCATGCTACCTATGACACCTTGCTTGTAACTAACAAGCCTTTCCCTTGCCCGATTCCTCTCGCGGTAAGTTCCTTTGCACTATCTCCTAGCTAGATTTACGCATGCATGGTTGTGAAATCCCCAAACAGTCCCTGCATAATATAAGTACGATCGTCGATCGAGTCAATATAAAATTGCATTTTTTTTGTACAGGAAATAGTTGATTTACTTGTGGATGTTTGGGAGGAAGAGGCATTATATGAATAATAGCAACAATGCTGCTGACTTTGAGAGCTCTGGACAAGATTTGTGTACAGTTGAGTTTTCCATAATGGAGAAAGCAGAAGAAATGTGGTGATGACTGATGATATTTAAACAATGGGTTTTCTCTTTTTGAAAAAAAAACTTATATTTTCTTTGAGAGAAAAAACATTTTTTTAAAAAACTTATATTTTCTTTGAGAGAAAAAAACATGTTTTTTTCTTCATGGGGTCAATTTCGTAACCGTTGGTGGTAGGAAAGAAGTGGGAGTAGATATTTCAACTCTCCCTTTAATTTCATATTTGGGTGAGGTAGTAAAACTGTACACTTACATGATTATCGTATCAAATTTGATAAAAGTTGATCTAGCTTTTGACATTGAAAATATTAAGTTTTGATCAAAGATTCTATAGGGAAAAAATTAAAGGGTAAAATGTAAAAAATAAAAGTTAAAATACATATACAATGCTAATTATGCTAATATATAATAAAGAAATCATCTTAAATAGCAGTAAAACATGAATAAAATATCTAAATAGGAGATCTATGTTTTTATTTCTAAATTAAGAGTTAGCATTGTGGTAATGTGACACTCTCTAAGGATATTTCACAATACTTTTTGTTAACGTATATGGTCATGATTTGCACTGTAGGTGTATTTTAACTCTTATTTTATGAATAAAAACATAGAACTTCTATTTTGGTATATTTTCAATATTTTAATCTTATTTTAGTCTTTTTCCCTATATAATACCCATAAGGTATTTTGGAATATTCTATACTCTGTCACATTATCACAGTGAAAACTTTTATTTTGAAGATAAAAATATGAATTCTTATTTTGAAACTTTTTTAATGTTTTGTTCTTTATCAGAGGGATTTTTTAACATTTTTACTAACATAAATAGAAATAAATCGCCTTAAAAGGGGTCAAATTCAAACAAATTTGAGATTGACATGACCAACTCGCTGTGAAAAAACGAGATGACGAACATGTCCTTCTCGTTCTAGTCCTAATGGGGCGATATTTACCTACTTACCGCGGTGATTTGGGGTAGTCCTGTCGCCCCTTCCCGTCCCACACCCCTTCGCCTAAGCCACTAACCCTTGCCCGAACGGACTTGAACATGAAATAAGCAATTACTTCATCTCTCTTAAAATTGACTTCTCTGTTTGATTTTGGTGGTCAATTTTTTTTGAACTTTGACCGCATATTATGAAAACAATACGTTGAATTTTCATATAAATTTAATATCAATAGATTTATTTTGAAACATAGTTTTAAAATAATTTAATTTTGTAGTTCATATTTATATATGAATAGTTATTTTAATGGTCAAAATATTACTCCCTCCGTCCCTACATATTTGCAACATTTGCTTTTTCAGAAGCCGTGGAAACTTTTGTTTATTTCTACGTTTTCATTGATTATTTGATAAAATAAAATATTCTTGACACTTCTTATTTCAAACACTTTTCATGTAGTTTTTTGATATGTAAATTCTATTTTTTATTTCTATACCAATATATAAATAAAATAAATTGAAAAAATCTTGATATTTTACTTCAGTAACAAGTGTGACAAATACTTGGGAACGGAGGGAGTATATTAGAAATTGTGAAAAGGTAAATGAAAAATTAATTAATTAATTTTAAGAGGAAAAGAGTACCCTCAATCATTCTTCAATTCGTTGACTTGTTTGTTAGTTCTATCCTACCCGGCTACACTTGTCCAAGACTCATATGCTCACATAAAGAGGCTGAAACAAACAATCTGAGTCATTAAGTGCTGAACCATTTAGAGGCAAATGTCTGAACCATTCAGACATCTGAACCATGAAGAGGCTGAAACAAACAGTCTGAGTCATTAAGTGCTTACGGTGGAGTTCTAGTGACACCGGAGTACGGTGCCACTAGCGGTGCCACTGGCATTTTGGGGAACCTCCGGTGCTCCGTTCGCAAAATTGACGGTTCCTACCCCCCTAACCCACCCCCTAAATCTCCCACCTTACCCCGCCCCTGCACCCCCACCCATAACTCGCCGTAAGCCCCCCCCACAAAATGTGTGGCTATTATGCAATGCATAATAACCACACATTTTGTGGGGGGCTTGCGGGTGGTTGGGGTGGGGGTAGGGTGGGGGGTTTAGGGGAGATAGAAACCGTCAATTTTACGAGTGACACCGTTTTTCGGTGGCACTAGAACTGGGCCGATAATGTTAAGAGTACGGTATATAGATTGAAGGTTATAAACATTAATATTAGCGGCCACTTTTGTATGTTTTTTTTTTCAAAAATCAGATTTAAACGTTAATACGAATCAATTCTCGGTTCTACCAAAAATTTTCTGCTTTTTTAAAAGTTTCGAAATTATTATTTTTTTCATTTCTCTCTTTCCCTTTTTAGAAAAGCTAATCTGACCCAAAATATATTACTCTCTCTCTCTCTCTCTCTCTCTATATATATATATATATATATATATATATATATTCTAAACAAATTTTAAATAATCTTTCTTCACCATTTGATACAGAGAAAATTGTTTTTTAAACTTGAAACATTTATCATATTTGTCGTAATCTCAAAAAAAATAATTAAGAGTTTGGTTAGGGGTATCTCAAAAAAATAATTAAGAGTTTGTCACAAACACACAGAAACATTGATTCTTTGTGCAGACACAGACGGTTGATGTCTGGATGTACAAAAGCTCGAGTACCTGCAAAGTTTGTCACAAACACATGCAAATATTGACTGTTTATGCAGACCATGAGTGACCCGGAGGGTGTACAAAATGGTCAACCGCACATGGCCCTTAAAATTTTAGGGCTCCATATTTTTTAATTTGTTAATAATTCTAAAGGAAATGTATTCTAAAAAATCAAATAGGGCTCAAAATGTAAATTTAGGATCGGGCCAATTTTATTTTTTCATTTTTCGGGGCCGGCCCTGATGCACACACATTTAGATTACACTGACTTTCTATGAGAAGCTTTTTTTCATGCTAGGGGTACACCAAGAAATGTACCCCAAGTTGTACCTTAAAAAGATGCACCAACAATTTAACGGTTCACACTGACACAAAATATATGTTAGTTTAATAAAAAAATAATACTGATATTTTGTCTTAGTGTAAACTATCATCCTATATCCTATCCTATATATATATGTAAAAGAGAGTTCAATTATTGTAGTGTTGACATGAGGCATGCCACATGTGCACTCACTAATGATGTGGATTTATGCATTTAGAACCAATATTTTCAAAACACTTAAAAACATTGACCAACAATTATTGTAGTGTTGACATGTGGCATGCCACATGTGCACTCACTAATGATGTGTTCAAATTTTGGAAAATTTTACTTAAAAAGATTTAGGACAAATAAAGAATTCATTACTTCGTGACATTAGTTGAGTTTTTATATTTTTTATTTTTTAAAAGCAATTCATTTATTTATTTGTTATGTTGTGATAAAATTAATTAATTATGTTATAAAATCAAATTTGTGAAAGATAAATATAGTATTGTCCGAAATAAAATTATTAAAGGAAATCAATTATATAAAATATAATTTTATGATAAAACTTATTATGATGTAGCAAAAAATTAGTGAAAATATAAAATTGGTATTATCACTTACCATTTTTAGACTAGCATTTTTATGAATCAAATTTTTAACTAAGTGAATACACAAAAAACAAAATTTTGATAATGATATATTTTCATCTAAAAGTATTCTTATATGAAAGAATCAAATATTTTTATAATTGATCCTTTATTTATAAAATTGATATTTTAATTTCTAAGAAGCTGAGATGTGATGTTGTTTACGAGACATTTATAACACGTAAAATATATTATAGAAAATAATAAGTTAATACNGTGACATTAGTTGAGTTTTTATATTTTTTATTTTTAAAAAGCAATTCATTTATTTATTTGTTATGTTGTGATAAAATTAATTAATTATGTTATAAAATCAAATTTGTGAAAGATAAATATAGTATTGTCCGAAATAAAATTATTAAAGGAAATCAATTATATAAAATATAATTTTATGATAAAACTTATTATGATGTAGCAAAAAATTAGTGAAAATATAAAATTGGTATTATCACTTACCATTTTTAGACTAGCATTTTTATGAATCAAATTTTTAACTAAGTGAATACACAAAAAACAAAATTTTGATAATGATATATTTTCATCTAAAAGTATTCTTATATGAAAGAATCAAATATTTTTATAATTGATCCTTTATTTATAAAATTGATATTTTAATTTCTAAGAAGCTGAGATGTGATGTTGTTTACGAGACATTTATAACACGTAAAATATATTATAGAAAATAATAAGTTAATACGGAGTACTATGGTATGAAGTCATTTGGTACAATTAATTATGGAAGAGAATGGATATATTCATTTTTATAATAAATTATTTCCTAATTATGCATATTTTTCTATTCAATTATTACAAAATTCTAAGATCTGGAGGCTAAGAAACGCGTGAAGATTTGTGAAAATTGAAATTTAGATGCAAGCATAATCAATACTTTAAGGAGAACTACGAAGAAGATCTAATGTGCAGAAGTGAATAAAATTTAGGCTCAGCTGCAACATCAAAGAGAAATATAATTTTTAAATTGTAACTCTTTGTATTTTATAAAAAATTATGTATTGACCAAAATACTTTCACACACTTAAATGATTTTATATTTAAAAAAGAAAGCAAAAAAATGAGTAAAAATTATGGAATAGTTTTTGTAAAATTTTCATTAAAATCATATAATCACTATTTTTTTTGCGTTCGTATAATTTTTGAAATAATACAAGGGAGATTAATCATTATATTTTTAATCTATTGTAAAATTTATATATCTTATCATATGATTTTTAATTTATGTTTTCATAATTTTAATAATACAAGAAAAAGGAGTCAATTTTTAATAAGTGCAAAGGGCGAAAGAGAGGAAGAATCACATTAATGCGTCATAGAAATTAAAATCATATATTTCCGTTAATGTAAATTAATCTAGCAGAGAAGAATCATGATTTTTTAATATTAAAATTACAGGATCGGAAATCTAAGTTTGTTAAATAAATGCGGGGGAAAAGAATAATAAAATCACTAATGTTTTTGTCGTATATTTTTTGAATTAAGGGGTGAGAAGAATTATATATTTGTAATAATTTAGTAAACCTAGATTATATATATATATATATATATATTTGTGTGTGTGTGTGTGTGTGTGTATATAATTTAGTAAACCTAGATTATACATATATTTGTGGTCTTATTGTAAAGTTTTTAAGTTGACGAAGAATATGAGATTACATT